TGCCCCCGGGCCGTCCGCCCGAGACCCCTTCCTGGTCCTTTGCCGTGCCCCTGGGCTGTCAGCCCAAGCCCGTCCTCCAGACCCCCTCCACCCACCCTGGTGGCTTAGTGATGCGTTTGGGTAGCGTACAAGTGTTATTGAATTTGTACAGTGTCAATCAGTTGATCTGAAATTAGATGTCAAGGTCAAAACATATGATTTATATTATTCTGAAATAGACCAATCTTCAGAATGAGTACTTTCACTTTTGGTACTTATTTTGATGCTAATACTTTTGTAATTTTACTTGAGTAACATTTTTGAATGCAAGACTTTTACTTGTAACAGAGTATTCCTACACTCTGGTACTTCTACTTGTACTCAAGTACAAGATCTGAGTACTTCTCCCAACTCTGGAACCCTTGCACCTGGGGTAAGCACAGTTTGAATCAGCTTTTGTGAGTAACCGCACACAGAGCCGTTTAAGCCTAATGTTGCTTTTACTGATACTCACACTCTATAAGACTTTTTTGTTTTTTGTTTTTGTTAAATCCATTACTTTGAAATGATCTGGGTCCCTCTATTGTTATGGCTTGCCAGCCAGTAGGTGATACTGGGACACTTCCTCATTTGCCAGGCTGACTGTCTGTGTAAACAGATACTATATGTGCAACTCTAATGATAAGACTATAGTCCTTTCAAAAGTAATAGCTATACAGTAAGGAATCCGTCTGTACACAAGCAGTGTAGGCTTACCCATCTACACCTTTTGTACATGTTAGTTTTGAAGGCAGTGTCTCATGCCATGCTGTATCTTAATACAACAGACCAAAGAAAACAATTAACAGCTTTTTGAACTGTCTCTATTCATATATTGAGTTGAGTGACACCCAGGGGAGTTCGTCCCCACATTTTGCCTTAAAAGTGTTCAAGTGCGGGTTAAAAGCTTGCAAACAAGGGATCTTTCAGTAGTGATTTGGGGACTAAGATACTTCAGTAATTTTATATATATTAATTTTGTTTAGGCTAAGTTATCTTTAAAGTCACTTGTACAATGATATTAATAATAATAAACTTTATTTATATAGCACCTTTCATGCTTGACGCAGCCCAAAGTGCTTTACAGAGTATGACAAAAAAAATTACAATAACAAATGAGGAACATAATTAAAATATATGAAAACAATAAAACATGAACAGTGATACTACTAAAAATGATAAGCCAAATTAAAAAGATAGGTCTTTAATTTACTTTTTAAAATTCCAATTGAGGTTGCCGTTCTAAGATCAAATGGGAGGCTGTTCCACAGTTTGGGGCCATACAAACAGAAAGCAGCCTCCCCAGTGTTCTTGTACTGCACTCTATAGGTACTTTTAAAAGTGAAACATTGGAGGATCTAAGTGTCCTTGCTGGTTGATAAAATGAGAGACAGTTAAATATGTTGGGGCAAGGTTATGTAAAGCCTTGTAAATGATTAAAAGCACTTTAAAATCAATTCTGAAGAGCACCGGTAGCCAGTGCATTGATTCCAGCACAGGCGAAATGTGGTCTCTTTTAGGTGCGTTTGTTAAAATCCTGGCTGCAGCATTCTGAACTAATTGCCATTTATTTGTGGATTGTTTCGGGAAACCAGTAAACAGAATTGCAATAATCCAAGCGGCTAGTAATAAAAGCATGTACAACCATTTCAGCATCATTGTGAGTTAAAAATGGTCTGATCCTGGCAATGTTCCTTAAGTGGAAAAACAAAGTTTTTGCAACCTTGTTAAAATGGCTTGCATTTTTAAATCACAGTCAAAAATTACCCTGAGATTTGTAACTTTAGTTTTTATATATTTAGACATGCTGGAAAACAAAGACTCTACTCTCTGCCGTTCTGCTTTTGGGCCTACTAGTAACATTTCAGTTGTTTGCTCATTTCTATTTAAGAAGTTATCATTCATTCATCCAATTATTTACAACATTAAGACCGGGGGTGAAATGGAGTTATACAATTGTGTGTCATCGGCGTAACTGATATTTCACATTGTAATAGTTTATGATATTGCCAAGAGGGAGCATGTATAATGAAAATAGAATAGGGCCCAGAATGCTTCCTTGAAGAACTCCATATTCAATGATATAGGTTTGTGACACAAAATCTCCCAAACTTACAAAGAATTTCCTTACAGACAGGTATGAGCGAAACCATCCAAGGACTGTCCCTGAGAGACCCACCCATTTCTCAAGACGGTTCATTCAAATACTGTGATCGATTGTGTCAAATGCTGCCCTCAGATCTAAAAGAAAGAGGACAGCTACATTGTTGGAATCGATTATCATTCTTAGGTCATTCACTACCTTTTAATAAAGCTATTTCAGTGCTGTGGTTTGTTCGATAGCCAGACTGGAATGTATCAAAAATGTTATTGTTGTTAAGATGATGGAGTAATTGGTTGAAAATAATCTTTTTATATTATCAAATTATTTTGAACCCATAAATAAATTCAAGGTCTCTGCGCATTGTAAAGTACAGTATTTTTTCACAAATGCAGCTTGATTGTAATATCTACACTGAACAAAAATATAAATGCAACACTTTTGTTTTTGCTCCCATTTTTCATGAGATGAACTCAAAGATCTAAAACATTTTCTATATACACAAAATAACCATTTCTCTCAAATATTGTTCACAAATCTGAAAAAATCTGTGATAGTGAGCACTTCTCCTTTGCCGAGATAATCCATCCCACATCACAGGTGTGGCATATCAAGATGCTGATTAGACAGCATGATTACTGCACAGGTGTGCCTTAGGCTGGCCACAATAAAAGGCCACTCTGAAACGTGCAGTTTTGCTTTATTGGGGGGGTCTGGGGGGGTCCGAAAACCAGTCAGTATCTGGTGTGACCACCATTTGCCTCACGCAGTGCACCACATCTCCTTCGCATAGAGTTGATCAGCTTGTTGATTGTGGCCTGTGGAATGTTGGTCCACTCTTCAATGGCTGTGCGAAGTTGCTGGATATTGGCAGAAACTGGAACACGCTGTCGTATACGCCGATCCAGAGCATCCCAAACATGCTCAATGGGTGACATGTCCGGTGAGTATGCTGGCCATGCAAGAACTGGGATGTTTTCAGCCTCCAAGAATTGTGTACAGATCCTTGCAACATGGGGCCGTGCATTATCATGCTGCAACATGAGGTGATGGTCGTGGATGAATGGCACAACAATGGGCCTCAGGATCTCGTCACGGTATCTCTGTGCATTCACAATGCCATCAATAAAATGCACCTGTGTTCGTCGTCCATAACATACGCCTGCCCATACCATAACCCCACCACCACCATGGGCCACTCGATTCACAACATTGACATCAGAAAACCGCTCACCCACACAACGCCACACACGCTGTCTGCCATCTGCCCTGAACAGTGAAAACCGGGATTCATCCGTGAAGAGAACACCTCTCCAATGTGCCAGACGCCATCGAATGTGAGCATTTGCCCACTCAAATCGGTTACGACGACGAACCGGAGTCAGGTCGAGACCCCGATGCGGACGACGAGTATGCAGATGAGCTTCCCTGAGACGGTTTCTGACAGCAGAAATTCTTTGGTTATACAAAGCGATTGTTGCAGCAGCTGTCCGAGTGGCTGGTCTCAGACGATCTTGGAGGTGAACATGCTGGATGTGGAGGTCCTGGGCTGGTGTGGTTACACGTGGTCTGCGGTTGTGAGGCCGGTTGGATGTACTGCCAAATTCTCTGAAACGCCTTTGGAGACGGCTTATGGTAGAGAAATGAACATTCAATTCACGGGCAACAGCTCTGGTGGACATTCCTGCTGTCAGCATGCCAATTGCACGCTCCCTCAAAACTTGCGACATCTGTGGTATTGTGCTGTGTGATAAAACTGAACATTTCAGAGTGGCCTTTTATTGTGGCCAGCCTAACCCCCTGATTCCACCGGAAGCGTCTGCGCTGCGGCTGCGCCGTGCTGCGCCGTGCTGCGCCGCGCTGCGACCTCCTCCTGCGTCATAACCCACCAGGCGCGTTTCAAAACGTTGCGGAAGCGGAGCGTCGTGTGTGCAGCCTCGCAGTTGTTGGATGAACGTTCCACTTCCTGCCTGCGCCGCGCTGCGCCGCGTCAAAAATAGGATTCATCCTATATTTTAGAAATTCCTTGCGGCGAGCAGCTTCTGGGACGCTTCGAGGCGCAGCGCGGCGCAGCGGGTCTGGTGGAATAGCACCCATTGACTAGAGTGGCCGCGATCGCTAAAAACGCCGCAGCCGCAGCGCAGCGCAGACGCTCCTGGTGGGATTAGGGGGTAAGGCACACCTGTGCAATAATCATGCTGTCTAATCAGCATCTTGATATGCCACACCTGTGAGGTGGGATGGATTATCTCGGCAAAGGAGAAGTGCTCACTATCACAGATTTTTTCAGATTTGTGAACAATATTTGAGAGAAATGGTTATTTTGTGTATTTAGAAAATGTTTTAGATTTTTGAGTTCATCTCATGACAAATGGGAGCAAAAACAAAAGTGTTGCGTTTATATTTTTGTTCAGTGTATCTGTCTGATACAGAAGCAATTATTTTGACTTTTGTGGATGCACCTTTTTAAACACAACTGGTCTGAAAATGTGTTAAATAGGGATTTTGATCTAAATAGGATGTAGAATTTGTGGAATACATTTTTCCTGTGATAATGTAGGAAATCTTATTTCATGGGGACCTTACGTTGGAGTAAACAGACACACATGACATCATGGCTGGAACTAAATAAGAGCGATGAGGAGAACAGGGTGGGGAAGGATTAGTGTGACAGCATGGTAAAATGAAAAGATAACATTACATCGTTGAGTGAGATTGCCAAACACCAAATCAGCCTTCCATCTTTCACATCAATGTTATTTTTTCACTAATTACATAACAAACGCAAACACGCCAAAATTCAATATGCCTTCATTCAACCAGATCCAACGGGCATCATGTCCTACACATATAAGTCTCTCCACCCTGCCTCCGTCCAAAGCACTCCTCCAGGTCAGCTACAGGTACAGTACCACCGCTCTGCTCACAACTGTGCTGTCAGGGAACTATTATAGGGGATTACATTATCTGATTGGGTTTTGGCTTATTTACATTCTTTTTAGGTTTGTGAAGTGCAGACCATTTCTGGAGCCTATCTGAGGTAGCAGATAGTTTCCAGAAGCTGGGACTGAAGGGAATGATTTAAGGTCAATCACTATTTATATTATTTTAGTTATAAGTTCGCTACATTTGTCTCAAAAGTATAGCAAAGATGTACTTTTGGATTACTATTGATACAAAATGTTGGTAATGCAATTAGCATTACATTCAAAATCTGGGTATTTCTTATCGTTTTTTTATCTTTCAATTTGTGGAATTTGAGGATTGCTGTTTCTGGAGCTTGCATGTATCACTTTGCAGTACCTATACCACTGAGGACTGGATACTGTTCTGCACCATCAATTAATACGATGTCATGCATTCATTCTGTAATGGCCTATGCCATGTAGCTAACGGTCATTTACGAGATCACTTTTATGATTGCTTGCAGTGGCATCCATATTTGAAACTTTAAAGTATGTTTACATGGTCTTAGACGTTGTAGGCTTCCTCAGTTAGTGCATATTCGTTTCCTTCTGATACTGCTGATACTTAACATTATTAGTGTAAAAATAATAACACTACAACTGTCTTAAGTCATATTGGTGTTACTCTCAACAGTATAGCTACTTGTATAACCATAGCCTACAGCTATAGACACTATTACTAATTATGCTTGTACTGCTGCCCCCCTTAATTACACACTAAAGGCAATTTAATGAGTGACAAGGTAACAACAATGTCACAATAATCCAGGGTCAATATATACAGTATATATTAGCCTACAGTCATATATCAATAAACCCTGTTCACTGGGGTAAGGGCAGTTTGACTAAGCCTTTGTAGATGGAGAGGTTGCCCCACCATGTGACCTGGCACACAGACACATTCAAGCCTGAAGTTGATAAAGGCCATTGATGCTCCTTTATTTACTAGTAATCTCACTCTCACTCCATCAGATGGCCATTTGTATGTTCTGGAATATCACAGACAGCTCATTAATTAATATATATAATTGTTTTCCTTTAATTTAACATGATCATAGTTGTACACTGAGAGGCAACAGAGCTAATGCAGACATAGGCTTTTTACTGGCCAGATATCTGTGATAATATTATGAGTTAAAATTGAGACATTGTGACACGGCTGCTGAGGGCTCTGTGTTTCATGCTCCCTCCTGACCGGACATATCCTTCATCAAAAAGCAGAATATGAAGTATGACCGAGCATCTGATATCAGGTACCGAGTGGTGTTACTGCAGCAGCAGATCTAATGACACTGAACAGTGGCTGTGTGGCTGCAGAGCGTTAATCGACAGTTGTTATTTAACTCGAAACAAGCCACAATCCTGCGCGTGCACGCATGCTTGCGTCATGCATGCTTCGCTCTGCTACTTAATCAAATAGCACCACACCCTGCTCTTATCTCTGTGGGCTGGGTGAGACTCCAGGACTGTTTGACAGTCCCAGTCTGTCCCTGCTCTACAGATCACATTTGTTAATGCTTTTAAATTAATTTGCTTCTGTTAAATAAGTTTCTTTTGATAAACCATTGTTTGTCTCTCATGTTTGTCATGGTCTAAGAGCCAGCTCTGTCCTGACACACCTCCTTTGGGCAGGCCTGGTCTGTCTGTGTAAACACTGTTGTTCCGCTATAACTAGAGAGCTTTAATTATTCATGTACACAGGCATCATATCCAGCTTATACTATTATATAAAGTGAATCAAGTGTGTCTGTGGGTACACACGCAGTGGGCTTACCCATCTCCACCTTTAGTAGATGTTAGTTAAAGGCAGTTTGCTCATGCCACAATGCAATACAAATGTTTACATCAGAGGATGAAAGAGGCAAAGAGAAAAGAGATTTGCAGAGGGAGGTAATAGTGGGGGTGGGGTTATCTCATATTGAGGTATGGGACCTACCTCAATGTATTCCTAACGTATGTCCTTAGAGATTATTGTATCTAAGGATTTACGTAAGTTATCTTTATAATGAGTGAAAGCTTCTTTGAACCACAGTGACAGAGGACAGAGTCAAGGCCTGGTCAAAGGCAAACATTAGATCTGTTCCACTCAATGCCACACTCAAGGCATTTTGCTGAGTGCGATGGACGTGCAAATGTCACAATAATCCAAGGTTCTATACACAGTATAGTAATATGATGATTAACCTTGGTTATTCAAAACTATTCCAAATAACCGTGAAAAATAAATTGGGTTGAAAACTACACATATTTTTAGGGGAAATTAAAGAAAGCTGCATTCTCACGATTTGTCACTGACCAGGTCTCCACTTTTATTTTTCATAATTAATATTTTCTTATTAACGTATTGGCCTACTTCATCATCTGAGAGTTAGAATTGGCAAATGTATGTTCATTGGATGTTAAATGTCTGTGGGGGGTGGGCGTAAATGCTTTTCCAGAATTGAGTGTGTGCTGCTATTGTCAAACACAGACAAGTGGCCGATGGAACTTGCCAATACGTGTTAGGAAGTGAAGCACAACACATGATGTTCAACACTTTATGTAGATGTATCCTGATTCCTTCTCTGGCATCATGTATATTGGTTTAAAATGCAACTCAACCCTTGTGTGTGTGTGTGTGTGTGTGTGTGTGTGTGTGTGTGTGTGTGTGTGTGTGTGTGTGTGTGTGTGTGTGTGTGTGTGTGTGTGTGTGTGTGTGTGTGTGTGTGTGTGTGTGTGTGTGTCTCTCTATCAGCCATGGACATCAGGCCTCTCACAGTGTGTTTGGCTGTCTGTGCTGCACTCTTGGCAGGTAATATGAGCGCAGTATTAACACTGAGTACTAAGTCTTATTCTTTGTCGTGTTTTAAGTTATGTTAACTCTGCTCTCTCTTCCCCAGTGTGTCATGGTTGTTCTACAGGAAGGGAGTTCATCACCACATTTCTTCCTAATTTCCAGCATGGTTTTTGGACACGGCACACACTCCATTTGGTTTTGACTGCTCAGGACTCTGATGCCACTATTACCATAAAGGTGAGAATCAGAGGTGGGACATGCAACAGCCCAAAAAAGGATTGTTCCAAAATGCATAATGCCGCATTCTGGCACATATAAATATAACAATGACGTCAATTCCAATGTACAGTATTAAAGGCTAAAGCACAGAAGCACATCGTATTCACCAAAGAGAAATATGTGGTGTGTGTGTGTGTGTGTGTGTGTGTGTGTGTGTGTGTGTGTGTGTGTGTGTGTGTGTGTGTGTGTGTGTGTGTGTGTGTGTGTGTGTGTGTGTGTGTGTGTGTGTGTGTGTGTGTGTGTATGTGTGTGTGTTCTTCTTCTTCTTGTTATTATTATTTTAAATAGGGAGAAATTGCACTGTATTTCAAGCTAAACTTGACTGTGTCTTCTGGTCAGTCCATCATTACTTTTTAGCTGTTTCACATTTCCATGAAAGACAGCATCCAATCTGTTCTAATGCAATTTGTTAATCCTTAACACATCCCAGCATATAACATGACATAACATCTACAGGTGTCTTCACTGAAATTCTCCAGGAGGCTGCGCCTCTCTGCAGGTCAAAGCCAGTGGGTTTCTCTGCCATGTGGATCCGAGCTGCAGAAGCAATTTGTTAATGAAAACTCAGCGGTTCAAATCTCCTCCACTGCTGCGATCTCTGTGGTCTCCTTCAACCGCCGCTTCGCCTCAGGAGATGGCGCCGTGGTTTCCCCCACAGAGCAGCTAGGTACTGACTACTTCGTGTTCACACCCTCAGGAGGCTACCCGTGCAAGGACAAGCTTGTGGCTATTGTTAATGGCAAGAGCCAGAATAGGATCACCATCTTACCTGGTGCTGATGTGTCACTGAGAAATGGGTGGAAGTGGAAGCGTGGGGAGGCGATGACCATACAGCTGGCACCATACGCATCTTACCTTTTACGAGGTCGCACAACTTTGACGGGCACAAGGATCCAATCCCAGGAGCCTGTAGCGGTGTTAGCAGGCAACCAGTGTCTGTACATGGGTAAGCACTGTGAACACGTGTATGAGCAGCTGCCCCCGGTCCACAGCCTGGGTAAAGATTACATGGTGCCAATGACCGGCAGAAAGAAGACCACAAACCAGGCAGTGATAGTCGCTGTTGAAGACAACACTGAGTTGACTCTGTACTCAAGAAAACAGTTAAGTTCATTATGAATTCATTATAATATACTGTTGAAGCTACAGCCAAAGATGTCATGGTCTACCCGTGTGCTGGCAGGCCTATCCACCTATACATCCAACACACACATCCACATCCACTTCCATCCATCAAAATAACACATAATACTACACGGAAAAATATCATGTAATAATTACTTTTGGAAATATCAATTGACTCTAGTTTCATAATGGGCAAAGATAAGTTAATGCAATGCAACAGAAAACACAAACTATGCATATACGTAGATGAAAGATGCTGCGAATAAATTAAAATACTAGCAAAAGAAACACGTCGTCAAAACAGAACATATATATGACCTGAAAATACTGAAAACAAGCAGTAAAACACGGCATTCTGCACACCACAGATCTGTGGTACAAGTTTTCAGGCTGATTCAATACCGCCATATGCTGTAAGTGAACATTTGACTGGTACTTTTGGTAACCGTATCTCATAACTATAACTTCTGTCTTAGGATTCAACCCTCTTCTCGTTGTCATATTTATGAGAAAGGTTTTTAAGGTTATCCCTTGTCCCTGTTTGAGAAGACAGAGGCATCATTTTGATTTTTGATTTAGTTGCTACTATTTACTCCTTGGTTTTGGACAGTGCTACATATATCAATGTAAATGAGTATTCTTGATATATTATTATACATAATATGTAATAATATATATAGTTAGTCACTTACTTTAATGTTAGTCAAAACATTATTTGTCCTGTACTGTCATATTATAAGAGAATAATATGTTATATCTCAATTGTAAGTATTTATTGTAAATTAAAGTATCCGATGTGAACTACACTTCTATAACTAAGTTGTATGACTCCAACAGGAAGCTCGCAAAAGCTGGAGACGTCATCCTGCAAAAACTGATCTACAAAAGTCCACTGGTTGTCAAGAGCAACAAGAAAGTAATGGTGCTGCTTCTCAGCGACAACCGTCCATATGACCCTTTCCTGATAAAGCTGATCCCTACATACAAGCTGTCCACTGATTGGGCGGTGGAGACAGTGAGAGGGCTTCGGAATACTGTGTCCATTCTGTCAGAGAGGGAGGGGGCAGCCAGTGTGAAGGTGTGTTGGTCAGGAAGGTGCAGATCACCTCGGTGGAGTTGCCTCCTGACGGACAAGCACTGGGTGTGGTCCAATGTAGATGTGGGGCATCAGCAGAGCCATGTGAGCGTGGAGGGGGACGCCCTTATGGCGGTGTACGCCTATGGAGGGAAGTTCCTCCATTCATACGGCATTGCAGGAGTTTGTTCTGAAGGTACACACAGATTCCCTTACACACACACACACACACACACACACACACACACACACACACACACACACACACACACACACACACACACACACACACACACACACACACACACACACACACACACACACACACACACACACACACACACACTATTTCTACATGTATGCTGTACAATGCATAAGTATTTCTATTACAAGTCATATCACTTTATGTATGCCTGAAAGGGATGACATTGATGAGTTATAGTGCATATGTGACGAGTTAAACACATTAGGATGGCATGATTACATATTCTTCCATGTGTTTATGTTTATGATGTGTTTGTATTTTCTGTAGGTGTCACCCCTCCCACACCTCCACCGGACCCTTGTGAAAATGTGAAATGTCGAGTAAAGGAACGTTGTGTGAAAGGAGAATGTGTCCACGTTTCTACAGCAACCTGCCGTGCGGTCGGTGACCCCCACTACCGCACATTTGATGGCCGACGCTTTGACTTCCAGGTTGGAACATCTTGACCCCTCATCAGCAGCCATTCACTAAAGAGTTTCCTTCTATCATACTCTTGGTATATTCTGTTGACACACTGAACATAAACCAAGAACACAACTTCTATGAGAAATATTTGATTAAAATGAGCAGTAATCTTTGGTAGGAGCTTGGAATCCATTACTCGAGAAAGATAAATAATGTTCATGCATTCATATGATTGTGTGTATATCATTGAAAATGCCCATTTTGTTGTTGAGACTTCCTATGCATTTCCTACACATTATTATGACTATTTTCTGTAATCGCCAGCAGCAGTCAGTTATTCTGCGTGTCTGCTGGATAAGCCGGTGATATGATTCCAACTCACTGGGCCTGGGGGCTTTATAAGACGAAGTGTCCAAAAGTTAAGCAAACTTCATATTTTCTCTCAGGGTACCTGCACATACATTATGACAACAGTTGCAAAGAAGACGTCTGACCTCAGGGAATTCACTGTGACGACCAAGAATGACCACCGAGGTAACCGCCGAGTTTCATTTGTGAGGACTGTTGGAGTCACCGTTTACGAGCAAAACATCACCATCGGCCGACACAGGTCACAAGTGGAGGTAACACTTTGTGATCATCAAAGTTCAAATACAAGCATGCTGAGAGTACAATAGACTATAGAAAGACTTGTAGCAAGCCAGACCAATGTTGAATATTCATGCCAACCTATCTGTATTTAGATAGACATTTTTGGTCCCTCTAATACATTTATTTTCTTGGGACATTTCAGAAAACGAAAATCAAACAGCTCAAACATAATGCTTTTGTCAAAAAAGAACATGATTAATATAATAATATTTTGTATTAATGTATCACTTTATTTATTTGTTTGCTATTGCAAGAACACTTTTAGTTCTCTGTGTGATTGCTACAATGCTTAATTGCAGTTTGGTTCACAGTTCTCTCAGCTTTGACTTCACACAGCTTTCTCTTCACTGATCTTGTGTTGCAATGCATTTCCAGTTTGCACTATTGTTCATAAGCAGTGTTACAACTTGTTCTAAGTGTTGTTGTGTTATTACCTTCAGGTCAATGGAGAGTTACAGTACTTGCCTGTCAGTTTGTTGGGGGGTAAGGTCTCTGTGAAGCAGAGTGGAGCCTATGCTACCCTCACCACTGACTTTGGCCTGAATGTCAGATATGACTGGAACATGAGGCTGTACATCACAGTGCCCTCCTCCTACCACCAACTCCTGGGGGGCCTCTGTGGAAACTACAATGGAGACATGACAGATGACCTGCCTGAAGCAAAGGGTGAGGGTCCCTGTAGGAGGAGAGCTGCTTGGGTGGAGCCAGTAGTCCCCTGTGGTCTGAATGTAACTTCCAACATCCAACAGGGTGGTGCAGTGAAGACGGACAGCATTTTTGACAGGGGACCCAGAAGTTAGCTTTGCAAGGGGTCCCTTGACAAAAAGCATTGTTTTTGAGTTTAGAATATTGCAGAAATAAATATTTGTTTATGATACTTACACATGTTTTACAGCAGGATACTCTCCACACACAACTTGACTTATTCAGACACTGGTTGACTAACGTTTTTTAAGAAACGTAAAAGCTTCAACACACCCCAGTGATGGATTTCATGTCGTAGAACTCAATATGAAAACCACTTCTGCAGACCTTATTTCAGGCTTCTAACCCAATGCACGTTAAACAAATCATTAACTTTGAGACAAGGGAACCCAAAAGTGTTAAAAATGCTAACTCATATCCGGGTTTAGGACTCATTCCTGCACCACTCTTAAGCGATTGGAATGACACTTTCTTCAGAAGACATTCCTGGCGGTAGATACATTATTGTATAAGTATCAAGTCAACCATTCTGTGTTGCATATGCAGAAACACTCACTAACAGGAATGTTAAGAATTACATTCGTGTTGTTATTTTCTCATAGAAGCCTTACCAACTTTTGTTTTGAGTCAGATAGGAAAGTCTCTGAAACTGCATTCCCTTTGTCTGTGGCAGACTCCAGTGTCCCTACTGTGCTGAAAATGATCCGGAAGTGGAAGGCCGAGGATTCAGATCGGTTCTGTGACGATAACTGCGCTGGTCGCTGTCCTCAGTGTTCAGAAAAGCAACAGGCCCACTTCCGTCTGCCCAAACTCTGTGGGGTCCTGACAGAGGCCAATGGATCTTTTTCAGCCTGCCACAAACAGGTGGACCCCTCTATGTACCTGGACAACTGTGTCTATGATGTCTGTGTCGATAAAGGTAAGCCGGTAATTGAGTATGTCCACAGTTTTAGGACAGAATACACAAAAACATTGTCATCATGAGTTATGCTGACATGAAAAGTGTAGATGTATGTATCGAAAACTTAGAAGTATATATTCCTTACTCATTATTGATGCATTTATGGGTTTATCACAGCTGGTAATGGTGGCACTCATTTGAATGACTTTTTATACTGCTTTTAGTTAGTATAGTGGCTGCCCCTGCTCCTAATACTACCATGGGTTAAACGCAAAAGTGACTAATTCCTTCTTAACATGTGTGTGATGATTACAAATCTATATGCATTCAATGCAAACAAATAGCCTATAGAGATACCTCTATTTGTTAAGCTTACATTCATACAGCACAACTTTAAAACTAAACACAAATAAAGACATTCTCACTGACAGCGAACCAACATGTTTCTGAACAGTTAAAGCATAAAAGACATGCCATCATTGATCTAAGCACACTGTTCTGTCCGTGTGTGTGTGTGTGTGTGTGTGTGTCCGTGTGTGTGTGTGTGCTGCAGCCTGTGTACCTAGACTGAGTCACACAGACTGCAGGACTCACTCGTCGTCTGTTTGTTGTGGTTCTTCTCTGTAAATAATAAAGGGTCTGTGTTTGTCTAGGTGCAAGATGGGTTCTCTGTGCTAACCTGAAGAGTTATGGAGATGCCTGTCAGTCAGAAGGAGTGAAAGTCAACCCTGAGTGGAGAATGGTTACCAAATGCTGTAAGTCACTTTTGAACACTGTCATCATTTTAGGTGCCAAACTTATCATAACCCACGCGGTCCTATCATCTGAATCCTATACGGTAAAGTTGTTATTATAAACTTCTAATTCTTATTACTAAAACGGGAATATACTAACCTAAGAATTCACTCGTGGAAATAATGAGAATTTGGGTGACTTTGCTTTCAGTTTTTCTGTGTTCAGTTCTGACTGGCTGGTAGGAACCCAGACATTGTAGAAAAACACGTAAAAGCTTCAATGATTCACCAATAGGATACTTACACACGTTGTATGTGTTAGAACAAGTATCTGAAGCTTGTATTAACCACCATTTAAGGCATCTAACCAAAAAGCACGTTCCAAAAACCATTGACTTTCAGACCGGGGAACCAGGAATCGCTCAAAAGCTAACTCCTTTCCAGGTTTAAGGACTCATTCCTGAACAAATGTGCAGTCACGTGTTGATCTGTTAGCTATGGAAATAAAACCTACAGGATGGAAACATAAATGTCTAATCCAATCATGAATGAACTATTCAAACCTTTTAAAACACATTCATATTGTTTAATAATTGTATGATGTTGTTTTGTTTTAGATTTAAGGGGAACAATGAGCTCAAATATGATAATGATGAATAATGATCTCCCCTCCCCTCCCAGTCCTCTCCTGTCCAAAGGGCAGCCACTATGAGGCGTGCGGCTCCTCCTGCCCGGCCTCCTGCTCAGATCCACACAGTGAGAAGCAGTGTAAGGACCTCTGTGTGGAGGGCTGCCAGTGTGATAAAGGCCTGGTGATTAGTGGAGACAGGTAACTGAACACGTTCTTACGGGGCACATTCTTTATGAATCAACAAGCTTACTGCAAGATGATGTTACGCTATTCCATAACCACACCAAGGCATGAAAACAGGCTCTTTGTGATCTTAACTGTACTCACAGTGAGGTTTAGTGCCTTGGAAAGCATCTGCTCTGTAGTAAATGTGCTAGAACATGCATAACCACAGATATGGTTATTTCGAAGCAGTGGAAATGAATAGCATAGCAGGAATGTTTTATACATGTTTGGTTTAATCAAGTTCCAAGTTCTTTATCCTCCTATGCAATGACAGAGAAGCAGTCTTGGGAATACAAATCTTATACAAAAAAAGCATGCACCTAAACATTTGAAACCTAAAAGCCATAAATATATCACATTTGGTGTGTGTTTCAGATGTGTTCCTCAGAAAGGATGTGGATGCCAACATAAAGGCAGTTATTACCCATCAGGCAAAGCTTTCTGGGCTGATAACACCTGCACCACAAAGTGTGAATGCATTCGAGGGAAAGCCAAGGTTGGTGATTGTGTGTGTGTGTGTGTGTGTGTGTGTGTGTGTGTGTGTGTGTGTGTGTGTGTGTGTGTGTGTGTGTGTGTGTGTGTGTGTGTGTGTGTGTGTGTGTGGCTAGTTTTCATCTCCTCCACTGTGTTCTAATATTGTACTCTGTTCTCTCCTGCTGATGAAGTGCAAATCAGTCACCTGTAAGAAGAATGAGCTCTGTGCTCTGAAGGAGGGAGTGAGGAACTGCTACCCAGCATCCTTTGCAACATGCAAAGGCACCGGGGACCCCCACTACCGAAGCTTTGACCAACGGCGCTTTGATTTCCAGGGCACTTGTACCTATGTCCTGTCTCAAATCATCAAGGGATCAGACAAGGATCTGGAGCGGTTCCAGGTGCTGGTCCAGAACGAGAACCGAGGGCGTAACAAGGCTGTGGCCTACACCAAGACCGTGTCTCTGACTGTGTTTGATAACATCACTGTCAGCATGAGTCGTGGCAACGCAGGGAAAATACTGGTGAGATCAGTCCGCCTCCTGCAGGATATACGGGGAAACATATCAGTAATATTCAGAGTTCAGAGGCTTTATTGTCTCATGCACAGCTAGTGTTAATATGGCAATGGAAATCCCAGGCTCCTCCAACAATGCAACATAAACATATGTCAGAGATAAAACAATAAAACCAATAATAAAACAATAACAATGGTGCTAGAAGAAACAGAGTATAAATATAATAGTGCAAGAGAATGTTGTAACAATAGATACGTGAGATGCAAACACGTATTTGCATCTCACAAAATGAAAATATGAGTTTGCATTTTGTGAAATTTGCTGAAAAATCACTGAATATGAAATGGATTAAATGATTAAATCTAAATTGACAAACCCCCCCCCCCCCCAGGTCAACAGCCAGCCGGTAAACCTGCCTTACTCCATGGAGGATGGAAAGCTTTCCCTGTACCGGCAAGGCTACTTTGGCGTGGTGACAACATATTTTGGTTTGACGCTCAGGTTCAACTGGAACAGCTACGTCAGCTTGACTTTGCCCAGCACATACTCTTCTGCTACAGGCGGTGAGTTACGGTGCATCACTGCTGGGGGTGGTTTACCCCATGAAGCAAACAGTGGCATAATGTATTCAGATCATTCAGATTGTTGCTCGCCCCCCAAAGCTTTATTAAGATAATGAGCAGATCCAGTTTGTTGGGGGGTAAGGTCTCTGTGAAGCAGAGTGGAGCCTATGCTACCCTCACCACTGACTTTGGCCTGAATGTCAGATATGACTGGAACAAGATCCTAGCGTCCCTAAACTCTGCTCTACCTTTGCAGCTTTTTCTTTTAAAGCCATCAGGCTACCCGTCAATCTGAAAGCCTGCACAGATACCATTGTGTTTACAGTGCAATAGAGCATTCAAGCCACAGAGTTTTAATTCTTCTTAAAAGTTGCAACATAAGGTTTTTTTAAGGTGTAATGTGTATCTTGTTTTTTTTCAGGCTTGTGTGGAAATTACAATGGTAAACCTGGTGATGACTTCCTGAAACCGGATGGCACCCTGGCTAACCACATTAACGTCTTTGGACACAGCTGGAAGGTGTGTATCAGCTGAGATCTGGGGTGGCTGAGCATCCTACACAAACCTGAACCGACCAAAAAAACACACACATTAAAAACTCCATTAAGTCATATACTGTAAAATTGAACAGTATATGAAACACAAAGCCAGCACATACTCCATACAGTAGAAATAATAACGTGTTGCTACATGGTGGACATGTCAGAAGGAGAATGACGTCACACCTTCAACGTTGTTCTCTGAAAAAGCTTCAAAAAAACAAAAAAACTTAACATTTTATTTTTATTATTTTAGCTTTGTAATGTCTGTTGTAAAATTGTATAATGTGTTTTTAATGTATTTATTCCTAAAAAGTATTTTAATTTGTTTTGTAAAGCACTTTGAATTGTCGCGTACAGAAAAGTGCTATATAAATAAACTTGCCTTGCCTAAAATGTATACTGTACATCTTAAGGTCCTCACACACCAAGCCGATTTTCGGCGTCGATAGATGTCGGGCCGTCGATGAGCGTCGTGTCGCCCTACTCAGATTGGTGTGTCTTGGTGTGTCCCGCACCGTCGTGTCTTTTCGGCCGTGCCGACACCTTCCGCCGCCGATTCGAAATGTTGAATCGGTGGGCTGTCGGTAACAGGCCGTCGGCTAAAGAAATCACTCTGATTGGCTGTTCAGCTAGCGAATCAGTGCATGAGAAGCGAAACGGAAGTGAGGGACCCGAACAAACTATTAAGAAGGCAAATCTGAGATTTCATTTAACTCCAGCTCTCGACAGGTTCGGGAAAGCCCCGTGAGCTTCTCGCTGTAGAGTGAAAATGGAACGCACACGCTATTTGTTGTTTGTTTATATCACGCAGTCTGTTCTTCTTCTCTCGGTTATCACGCAGTCTGTCTTCCGGTTGTTGCCTCTTTTGAATGACGAATACACACTACCGCCGCCTGCTGGTAAGGAGAGTTATTGCCACTCACGCATGCGCAGTTCGTACGTGCTTCTTGGCCGTCGGCTGAAGTCTTTGCGGTGTGTTCCAGTGTGACACATGGCCAAGACGCAGGAGACGTGAGGCGACGTTCCGTCGGGACGTGTTCTTTGGTGTCAGTTTGGTGTGTAAGAGGCTTTAAAATGAAGAGCATGCTGTGTATGCCAAGTCAAAAACAATCGGAGATGCATGACCATTTGCTGTAACGACTTGATCAAATAATGTGAACAAAAAAACTAACATCAGTTAAGAGAAAGCTGAAGATAAAGTGAGTTTTAAGAAGAGGTGTTAAAGAGGATTCTGAGTTTTCCTGCCTGAGATCTAAAGCTTTAATGAACAACAGTAAATGTGATCAGTAATCCTACCACCTGTTACTAACAGCCTACCAAACAATAGAAAGAGAAACACAATTACATTTGGACCTGATTTAGTTAATAACAAGCCAACACTTCTCAAAAATCTCTCATCTTATGTCAACATCTTTTTCGTTACTCTTTAACACTTAAAAACCTCTGCATATGTCCACTGTTGCTGTGATGTCATTGCCTGCAGGCGGGGGGGGATGCTGGCTGCACCAGTGACTGTCCTAATGGGAAATGTCCGGAGTGTGAGCCTGCGCTGACCCTACGATACCAGGACAAGAAATACTGCGGCATCATCGCTGACGAGCAGGGACCCTTTGGGTAACTGTACTATCCATGATTCCCTGGAAAGATGCAGTGACAGAGATGATGCTGTGTATACGCCATTTTGACATTCACACCGGCACATTGTTCAACTGAAGCTGCTCATGCTAATGTGTTTCTCATCTTTCAGTCCCAAGCACAGAACGGGTTCTTTTCAGACTTTTCATCTCAATGTCACTGAAGACATGTTTCCTTTTTCCTTGTGCTGTTAGAATGATGTATACAGTTAGTCCTTTATGTCTGATACAAACTACCAGAGGAATGATTCAAGTTAAGAAGGATCTAACGTTTCCCCCTTCCTGACGAAGAACAGCTTTTATTTGGCTGCAGATAAAAAAAGAGAATAATATGATTCCATGGCCAGGCCTACAGTATTCAATATCTAGCATGTGCCTGCTTTATAAAGTGACCTCCTCCTGGGTAAAGCAAGAAACCATAAATACGTATGCTTAGTGTTTTAAAAACCAACAACTAAATGCTATTGGATATTTAAAAGCCCAGTCCTCAAACTGGGTCTGGCTCTGTTTATTAAAGTGTTTCTGTCTCTGCCCCTGCAGACAGTGTCACAGTAAACTGGACCACACCTCCTTCCTCAAAGAGTGTGTTTTCGATCTGTGCATGTACCAAGGCCACGCCTCGGCACTGTGCAACAGCCTATCAGCTTTCAGCACCACTTGTCAAGAGGCGGGAACAACAGTGGGGAGCTGGAGAACCCAACAGTTTTGTCGTAAGACACACACACACACACACACACACACACACACACACACACACACACACACACACACACACACACACACACATGCATACTGACTGACTATACATCCATCCATTATGTTTTGTTCAGAATGTAGAGTTCACTAACCCTAACCCCACAATAATTACAGCATGTTTAAGGTGGTGCATGCAGTCACTGGGCCCTTCTGTTGTTAATAAATACATAAATAAAAAATGTCACTTTTTATGTACAGGCAAACTTAACTCTTGTTTCTAACCTGTCCCGATAATGTCCTCTAATGTTCAGATCATAAAAGACACAAGCATTTCTCACTTTCCTTGTGTGTCTCTGCAGCTCCGTCATGTGGTGCCAACAGTCACTATGAGCAGTGTGGCTCCCCCTGCCCGCTCACCTGCAGTGGCCTCGCCCCCCCAGAGAGCTGCGACAGGAGCGCCCCCTGCTCAGAAGGCTGTGTGTGTGACGATGGATTCATGCTGAGTGATGACAAGTGTGTCCCTCTGTCAGAGTGTGGCTGCCAGTACGAGGGACAGTACTATCTGAGTGGACAGGTACAGATGTAATGTCCCCTCTCAATGCTGCGTCCTCTGCCTTCACCTCTACTGATGTGTCTGCTCTCTCCTCAGGTGTTCTATCTAGGAAAGGCATGCAACACTCGTTGTGTGTGTACAGACGATGGAGAAGTGCAGTGTGATCCTAAATCTGGCTGTTCAGCCAATGAGAAGTGTGTTGTGAAAGGAGGCTCCTCCTCCTGTGCTCCCAAAGGGGTGGGCTCCTGCTCTGTGAGTGGAGGCAGGATGGTCAGGTCCTTCGATGGACAGGTAAGTTCTTTTTTTTCTGCACAAGTCAAAAAGTAAGCATATTATCTAGAGTAATGTATCTGAGTGTATTATATTATTGAGCTTACCACCAAGTAATACAGGCACATATCGATAGTACATTATTTGAATATCTATTTATGTAATGACATCAAGGTTTTCTGTCTCGTTGGTTTCTGATTGCTCTCCACTTTCAAACTTTTTGTATCTATTTGTGACATGTTTCAAATCTTCTCCATAAGAAGCATCCAAATCTAAAAGTCATGTTTTTGTTCTTAACAATGTTTTCTGGATGTTTTATAAGGATAGCTTACCACTTCATATTAACATACATTCAGGACATTTGGTTAAAAAATGGAAAGGACAGATAAACCATGTGATAAAGCTCCTCCTCCTCTGACCCTGTAGGCATATCCTCTGTGGGGAGACTGTTTGTTCTTGTTGGCACAAGTGGGAGAGAACGAGGGAGGGCTGGAAGCCTTCACTGTGTTTGTACATCAGCAAACACATGAGGATGGTTCTGTCTCTCGCAGTGTGGAGCTCCAGGTTTACGACATGGAAATCACTTTGAAGTCAGGGGTCATCTGGGAGATCAAGGTATGATTGACAGGTTAGGTATGAAGTGTGTTCTCACATCCATTGCTTTCAAAAGCAGAAGTTACAGTGAGCATCAGAACACTATCGAACAATCTGGTACTAACTTTGTCTATTCTCACTGTCAGCTTAGTCATCATGATGTCCAGGTCCTTATGGACAACAGATAGCTCTTATTTATTGTCCATTTGGTTGAAGAGTATTTCTTTCTAAGGATTGAGGTGTGCATTATTACTGTGAGCATGTTACGTTGAATCCTCTGGGGACAGTCTCAGTCTTCAGTGCTTGACACACCATCTGCAGTGCCTCAGGAGTGGGGGGTGTAAACTGGGATGAACCCATGGTACCAGCTCACGTAATGTAATACTTTGTCCCCTTCTGTGTCTCAGGTTGAAGACATCAGAGTCTTCCTCCCTGTGGCCCTGGCTGACGGGAAAGTGCGAGCACATCAAAATGGCATCAACATCATCATTGAGAGTGACTTTGGTCTGAGGCTGACCTACGACACGTTGGCAGGGGTGATCCTACAGCTCCCCTCCACCTATCACAGCGCTCCAAAGGGTCTCTGTGGGAACTACAACGGGAAGCTGTCTGATGACCCGTCCTCAGCAGACACAGAGGAATCTCTGGTCATAGAGAAGGACGAGGAGCCATGTGAGACCAGCTGTGGGGCCACTTCCTGTCCTGAGCCCGATCAGAATAAGGTCCCAGATGCCAAAAAGGCCTGTGACATCATCAAATCTAAGAAGGGTCCCTTTTCAGGATGCCACTCAACAGTGGCCCCGACTCCAGACTACGATGCTTGTGTCAGGCAAGGATACCTTTATGTCAAAGTCATGTATTTGATACAAACAGTAACTGTGATCCAGGCAGCAGGTTCCTCTAATCCAGTGGTTCTCAAACTTTTTCTGTCAGGCCCCCCCTTTGGAGAAAAAAAAAAGTCGGGGCCCCCCCCAACACAAATAGTCAGGCTCAGTGGCGGCGCCAGAGATTTATTTTGGGGGTACTATGGGGTAGCTTGACGTTTCATAGAGGGTGCTCAAACATTTAGGGTTTCCCATTAATGTACCGGGCGCTACAGTAGAATTTTCTACTGCAACACTCCCCACGCATATACATTACATTACATTACATTGCATTTAGCTGACGCTTTTATCCAAAGCGACTTACAATAAGTGCGTTCGACCAACAAAATACAACTTGAAGAAAACAGAATCATATAAGTACATCAGGCTTCATAGAGCAAAAACATTTCAAGTGCTACTCAACTGGCTTTAGATAAGCCAGTCCTTTATTAGTATAAAAGTGCTTTGTTAATAATTCTATCGCTCGAAGTGGAGTCGAAAGAGATGAGTTTTCAGTTTGCGCCGGAAGGTGTGTAAGCTTTCTGCCGTCCTGATGTCAATGGGGAGCTCATTCCACCATCCTGGAGCCAGGACAGCAAACCCACGTGTTTTCGCCGATGGGAACTTGGGTCCCCCTCGCAGCGAGGGCGCAGCGAGTCGTTTGGCTGATGCAGAGCGTAGTGCACGCGCTGGGGTGTACGGTTTAACCATGTCCTGGATGTACGAAGGGCCAGATCAATTCGCAGCATGGTAAGCAAGTACCAGTGTCTTGACATACATATACATACATATACACAGTGTACCCGCGACTGTTACAATGAAGGCTCGATAATCAGCTCACGGTAAGCAGGGGTAAAGTGCTATTTTTATAGGTGGTGTGTGGACCTCACATAGGGGGGTCCGGGGACAAGCTCCCCCGGGAAGATTTAAAAGCATCAATCTGGTGCACTTTGAGAGCAAAATGAAGAGATCTATGGATACATCTCTCAACACAGAACTGTAAACAGATTTACTATTTCTTTACGGATATTTTACAAATCACTCCCCTTTTAAACTTTATACATTTTTTAATGTCATATAGTATTTCATACCTGTTTTTAATTTATTTATATTAATGGTGACCAAAACGTTTGAGACCCACTGAGATAACACTGAGAGAGTCCTTGAGCTCACTGAGTCTCTCAGTCTGACAGGAGAGGACTCTCCTCCACTTTGTTGTTGAAAAAACTCCTTATATCCGTTAGCGTAGCTCACTAGCACCAGAAGCTAACATCAACGATCTCCGGTACCGGTGCGCTCTCTCTCTCTCGCTCGCGCACGCACACAAAATGGCTCGTTCCACACACACACAGAGCCGAGCTTTAATGAAACACAGACACCCAGACGTAATAGTACTGTACTCTATCATATTATTTTCGAATCAATCATTTTTCAAAATATGATTTATTTATTTATTTTTAACCTTTATTTTTTTTTTTTAATAACCATTTTTCTCCTGGTCTCTCGCGCCCCCCCTGTCATGCCTCTGCGCCCCCCTGGGGGGGCGCGCCCCCCACTTTGAGAACCACTGCTCTAATCTGACGTCTACCTGCTCCACACTGTGACTTGCTGTATGTATGTATGTGTGTTTGTGTGTGGTGTGTGTGTGTGTGTGTGTGTGTGTATGTGTGTGTGTGTGTGTGTCTGTGTGTGTGTGTGTGTGTGTGTGTGTGTGTGGTGTGTGTGTGTGTGTGTGTGTGTGTGTGTGTCTGTGTGTGTGTGTGTGTGTGTGTATGTATGTATGTATGTATGTATGTAGGTAGGTAGGTATGTATGTATGTATGTATGTATGTATGTATGTATGTATGTATGTATGTATGTATGTATGTATGTATGTATGTATGTATGTATGTATGTAGGTAGGTAGGTAGGTAGGTAGGTATGTATGTATGTATGTATGTATGTCTGTATGTATGTATGTATGTATGTATGTCTGTATGTAGGTATGTAGGTAGAAAGGTATGTATGTAGGTATGTAGGTATGTAGGTATGTATGTATGTATGTAGGTATGTATGTATGTATGTATGTATGTATGTATGTATGTATGTATGTATGTATGTATGTATGTATGTATGTATGTATGTATGTATGTATGTATGTAGGTATGTATGTCTGTAGGTAGGTAGGTAGGTAGGTAGGTATGTATGTAGGTATGTATGTATGTATGTATGTATGTAGGTAGGTAGGTAGGTAGGTAGGTAGGTAGGTAGGTAGGTAGGTATGTATGTATGTAGGTAGGTAGGTAGGTAGGTAGGTATGTATGTATGTATGTATGTAGGTAGGTAGGTAGGTAGGTAGGTAGGTATGTATGTATGTATGTAGGTAGGTAGGTAGGTAGGTAGGTAGGTAGGTAGGTAGGTAGGTATGTATGTATGTATGTATGTATGTATGTATGTATGTATGTATGTATGTATGTATGTATGTATGTATGTATGTATGTATGTATGTATGTGTTCATCACTTGGTAAAAGTGTGGTTTATTTCATTTACTTTATGGATATCCTATAATAATATATATTGGTGATCTTTATTTTGTATTAATAATCAAAATCTGCAAAGTAACTAAATAGTAAAAAGTATCATATTTTCCAACAAAATGTAAAGTGTGAGAGTACAAAGTAGCATACTGTGAAAACACATGTAAAGTGCAAGTACCTACATTTGTTTAGTTTTGGGTACGTAGTTACTTTCCATCAGTGGTATACGGTTCTCTGTGTTTCGGGAGTATTAACCACATTATTTCAGATTCACTTGACCTGCATCAGATTTTCTGATCATATGACCCAACCATTCATTCAACTATGCCAACCTATCATTTTGTACTTCCATCACTTTCAACTCTGCTTTAAAGAACGAGTTATTTATTACTAAAGATAGAACAATTGTTCATAAAGCTGCATGTTACCTTAGAACACAGTGATGATGACAGATTATTGACAACATTTCAGATGCACTCCCTTTCCCAAAGTACTTTATATGTTCTGATCATATGATCACCCTCTGACCAGTCAGTGTTGTAACATTGTGTCCATGCTCCCAGATCTCCGCCACTCATTTAGTATATTTGTATGAAAGCATTGAGAGACAAAACAAATATAATAAAGCAGGATTGTTCTACACCAAACTAAAGTTTCTCTGTTAAGGCCCTTCCAGTTGTTCCCTAATGACAGAGGTTTTGTATTTCAGGGAGATGTCGACAGGCGGAGCGGGCCAGGCCGTCCTGTGTCGTCACATCCAGAGCTACGTGACGGCCTGTCAGCTGGCCGGAGCAGAGATCAGAACCTGGAGGAGTGACAGCTTCTGTGGTGAGTCTGCGGATCACTCTCTGAATGCGGCTGATTCTACTCTCTCATGCCCTTTAGTACGGTGGCCTGGGATAAGAAGTACATTAAACAATAAAAACAAAAATATTAAAGAAAATTCATTTGAGTTTTTGTGAAATTCTGAATGTAAAAAGAAAATGTAGGTCACTTCAGAGACTGTACGCGTTATTTGGTTTCATCTTCTAATCTGATGTAACAGAACAGGACATCATTAAACTTGCCATCGAACAGTCAACTTGTGAATTATTGAAAAACAGAAATCAGAAAAAGTGCCTTAATATTTTTAGATTTGACTCAAATGAATACTGTTTGCTGTTGCAGCTGTGAGCTGTGCGGCAGGAAGTCACTACGAGCTGTGCTCCTCCTCCTGCTCCTCCACCTGCTCCTCCCTGCAGAGCTCCGCCCCCTGCCCCCCCTGCCAGGAGGGCTGCCAGTGTGCCGACAGCCTGATGTCTGACGGCGCCCGCTGTGTCCCCGTGGAGAAGTGTGGCTGCGTGGTGGACGGACAGTATTACAGGGTGACTACCATCATCCACATCATAATGTCTATTCAGTACAGGATGAGAGCCGAGCACTATCTAATATGTTGTTAGTCCAATTTCAAATTCAACTTTGATCATGAATTCATGTAAGGCGCATTCAAGACTACGTTCATATCAGAAAGGGGCCTTACTGTCATATGCAAATTAACACCTTTTACATTTAATACTGCTATTACTGGCTGCTATTCACTACCTAAGACTTTAACACTGTGCAATACACACTCTTTTACAATGTATTAACTGGCTGCTATGTTTTCTTACTCTGATAAGGCTGCTATATTCTTTGTTTGTTTGGTCCTGTTTTCTATTGAATAACATGTGCTCGCTTCTTTATTTAATATGTCTGTCTGCTTATTTCGTTGTTCCTTTATCTTCACTGTTCCCTTTGCTATAACACAGAAAATAAACTATTTCTGATTCTGAAGATGTATGTTGCTGTGTGCTCATGTATTTTCAGTCAGGGACATCAGTGTTGCTGGAGGGCTGCTCCGAGCGCTGTGCCTGTGAAGGGGGGCAGTACAGCTGCAAATCCACCAGCTGCCAGCAGGGGCAGGAGTGTCGCAACAAGGACGGAGCGCTGGGCTGCTTCTCTACGGGTGGGACTGATCTCTGACTGTTAGCCATGTTCTGTAGTGTTCAGAAAGCAAGGCATGCACAGTACTGGAGAACATCCTATCAGCATTAGTGCACTCCAGGGTGTGTCAGTTATTTGTGACATCACAGGTGGGTGTGGCTACAGGTGCAACACACTTGAAGGGAGGAGCCTCAAATCTCCTTTCAGCATGATGTTCAGTTATTCTAGGACAGCCACATACTTTCATTTGCAACTTAAACTAACAAAAAATGTACCAACCCCCGAATACGTTGACAGAGCAACAAATAACTGTATGATTAATTAAAAAAAGATGTTCTTATTTTTAAAGCCAATTTGAAAAGGTGGGTCTTGCGTTGGCTCTCTAAAGAAAGAACACGGCCCCCTCAGGGCTTCTGAAGGTGGATCCACAATCGTCTTGTTTTATCTTTACATTAGAAGTCTAGTACCAGAGGACCTGAGGGTCCTAAGGGTTCATATGTTAAACGCAAATCTGATTCAGAGCTAGCACCAACACCAGTTAGAGCTTTAAAAAACAATTAAAATATCTGCTTAGATCATTTATGTTGTTGAAATATGTTCAATGCCAGCGTGAGTGTGATACTCAATTAATTCAATAAGACAAAAGCTGCCTGCTGTCATCAAGCAGCGAGTACAGATGAATCATTCAGCTTGAGTATACCAACGCAAACTCCTGACAGATATTGAGGGAGGTGCTGGTGCACTGTTCTCACTTACCATTTCAAATGTAGCTGTGTGAAGAATGGAGAAGTGAGACGTCCATAGCAGCACCAGAGTTTCTCTTGTCCTCAATAACCATATGTGCCTGTGTGTGTGTGTGTGTGTGTGTGTGTGTGTGTGTGTGTGTGTGTGTGTGTGTGTGTGTGTGTGTGTGTGTGTGTGTGTTGCAGACCCTTGTGCTGAGGTTGAGTGCAGAGTAAAGGAGCACTGTGTGGTGTCAGAAGGCCAGGGAGTGTGTGTTCCTGATTCTACAGCCTTGTGTTGGGCTTTCGGCGACCCGCACTACAGCACGTTTGACAATACGCGGTACTCTTTCCAGGGAACCTGCACCTACGTTCTGGTCAACACCACAGGTCTGTCTGCTCTGCTCAACACTCACATTGTCAACTCTTTCCATTACAATGCCTACCAAAGAAATAGAGTAGTGCAGGAATGAGTCCTAAATCCTTGAATTGAGTTAGCATGTTATCACTTCAGGTTCACTGGCCTTTAAGTCAATGGTTACACTGCTAACATTAACATAAATAACTTCCCCAGGTCTCGACCCCTCCCTGACATCGTTCACTGTGATCAGCAAGAATGAGCTGCGAGGAAACTCTGAAGGCTCCTTCGTGCGCTCAGCCACTGTGGAGATGCTGGGCCATCGGATCTCCATCCCCTCCTCTCAGAGAGGGGTCATACTGGTGGGTCTTTGCTCAGCGTAAATAATGCCAGCACTGCAACTTTTCCTAGTTACACTGATAATTAGATTCAATTCTAATTACCGACACAAAGGAAATCTGATACAGATTAAGTGTTTGGTCATTTCAGTTTTCACTGCTGTTGGCAATGTTAACATTTTACTGTCATTGCTGAGTCAAACGGACACAGTGATATTACAAGGTTAAGTAGAAAGTAGACAGAACATCTAAATATGTGTACTGTATAGAACTCACACGCATGGAAATGTTATCATGTATGGAGATACACACACACACACCGACCAGTTCACCTCCTGGGCTCTGCCGTGGTGCCCTTGAGCAAGGCACCGGACACCCCCCTTCCCCCCTCACTCCCATTGCTCCCCGGGTGCTGTACACTAGCTGCCCACTGCTCCTAGTCCTAGACTCCTGGCACTAGGATGGGTTCAAAGCAGAGAACACATGTCACTGTGTGCTGTGTGCTCTGCATGTGGGACTTTTACAGAGGGGTTCATCGCTCCCATTCTATTCTATTCACAATTCTTTATTCTATTCACAATTATTTACACCATTGGAGAGGTTCCATCTCCCCTGACCTGAATGTGATTGTTAATTGATATGAGAAAATGTAATCTTCTTCTTCCTAATTAAATATATAATGTCTAATATGGGAAATTATATTTCTGTGCCACATAATGCCACTGGTTTAATTACTGTCTTGCATACTATTTCTGAATCAGGATTTCATTTTGTACTATTTTTATAGTGGCATATAATATCTCTTCTAAATCTTACCGCCTTTACTTTTCGTTATTTCACAGTTCCAAAACCTCCTGTGGATAATAATGTGTTTAATGGAAGAGAACTAATATGGTTATATTGACAATATTTTCAAGTCCTATAGTGGATGAAATCATCATTGTACAACAAAGGTTTCAGACCCTCTTCCTCTCCCTCCCTCTCTCTCAGGTGGACGGTATCAGGATGGGGCTTCCTGTCCGTCTGGAGGGAGGCAGCATCTCCATAACAGCGTCTGGAATCAGAGGCACGCTCCAAAGTGATTTTGGCGTGGAGGTCACGTTTGATTGGTCCACACTCCTCATGGTGTCCATCAGCAGCAGTTACTTTGGTAATGTGGCCGGGCTCTGTGGAAACTACAACGGCGACCCGGAGGACGAGATGACGCAGGCGGGGGGGCGGCCGGCTGCCAATTTGACGTACTGGGCCTCCACCTGGAGCCTGGAGGACTACGACCCCTTCTGCTACCACTTCTGTGAGGACGTGTGTCCGCAGTGCTCAGACCAGGACCGCGTCAAGTCAGTACCTCCTTCAATGAGCACTCTTTAGATTCAGTGTCACTCATTATAAACGTGAACATCACTACATAACTAGAGAATGCAATTCCTGAAGACATTGCTGTGTGACCGCTGTGTGTAAGTGATGTAAGGGGGCGTGGCTAAAGTATGGGGGCTGGGGGAAGTAATGACTAAAAACATCATCTCTGTGCCTTCACAAAACGCTTTATGAGCTACTGTATAATATTTCTGGAATTATGAAAGTTATGAATGTCCGGAGTAATAGCGCCCATATGGAACAAGAAAGCAATCAAAAAAAGATGCGGAAAAATAATAAATAATTAATTTTGTTCTGATTTAGCATTCACACCAAATAAACGAAGATAAGTTTAAGCGTTTTTAGGAGTTTATGACAAGAACAAAAAAACGACTATACTAGTTAACATGTTCTAATGAGCACTAAACAGGAAGTGCAGCTCTGGATTATGAGATGTTTTGATCATAAAGGAAGTGACATTTTGAGCTGCTAAACATTCCCCCAGAATCTCGACTAGACATCCCAAGATAAGGAAAGTCATTAGCTTTCATCCTGCGGGGACACAGGACATTATGTTACAACAGAATAATACTTTCTTTTCAGATCAAGTCTAAAATGTTCCTGCACAGCAGCTCCATTTTCAACACATATTTAAGACAAGACAGAAAATACACCCCCCTAAACATTGCAATCACTAACTTATGTTCAAGACCCTTTTAATGTCTTGAAAATCTACAAATATTGTCTTCATGGCATGGTATGAGATGTAAGAGTCAGGAGGGCTGATCATTTATTCCGGGAAATGACTCAGACCTACTAATTAACCTAACAGAAGTTATTGAGTCTATGTAAGTTTACTGCTTGGCTCAGATCCACCACCGTCAGCAAGATCTCACCTCTATTAACTCCTGAAGAACCAGGTTCAATTAACTGATGTTTCAATTCAGACAACTCTCTTAAATCTGTTTAAGCGATCCCGAAGGATTTTGATATCAGTAATGAGGTGTGGCCCTACCTAAGTGTGAGTGAGGCAGTGTGCAATCTTACCTTTGAAGCAGGAGAGGAGAGCACAGATGTCTTTTAAGTTGTCCCAGTCCAAAAAGCTGGGATCAGTTTATTTGAAGAAAAATAGGTCCAAACTTATACAGGGTTTTTACCTTCTCTCTTTACAACATTATAATCATACTAAACATATCATGCTGTGATCATGTTCTAATATGAAACTTTGATTCACAGTTTTACATTTATTACCAAAATTGTAACTTCAACTGCCCAATTCAGTTGTGATTTTAAATCTCCCGATAGAATTTAGAGGCATTTCCTCATAAATGACCGGTGATAATAAAAAGCACATTCAAACTTTCATTCACCAAATCAATTCACATCAATTTCATACCTTTTTTTCCCGACACAGGTGGCGGGACTAACATTCAAAAACCCATTCCTATCCGCATGAATTCGGAGGAAGATTCCTCACAGCTGGCTGGCCTAATATTCACAAACACATCTCAATTAATTCCACTCATTTCACAAAGAAATTCACTCAGCATTCAACCAAGAAATTTGAGAGATATTTACCAAGTCTGAGAGAACCTTACCGAGAGCTATTAACCCAGCTCGGAGGGACAGAGCTTACAGAGAGAGAGCATACCAGGAGAACCCCCCCCCCCTCTTTCTCGCTCTCCCACAAAAATAAAGTCCCTCCCCATCCTCCAGTGTCTTTATGCTCAACAACAGGATAGAAAACCTAAAGACCCTCTTCCATATCCATATTTGTGGAAACTGGGCATGGCCTCTAATGTACAGGACTGGACATGACCAGATATATGATATGGCTATGGCATAAGACACACCTTCCCATGTTTGTGTAAAAAGGACATGACCCCTGCAGGACTTGCAAAATATTATTCTCGGCTATGACATAACCACCTTTTTGAGGCCTCAATGTATTTATCCTTAAGTCAGGAGCCCCCCTCCCTGTGTACTGCTGTGAGGGGAGAGGGAAGAAACTGCCTCCTCTCTTATCAGTGACATCCATAAATGATTATAGGCCTTACACTCAATTTAACAAACCACTTGTGTTTTGTTTATACTGTAAATTAGGGCTGTGCGATTATGGCAAAAATCATAATCACGATTATTTGGGTCAATAATTGATATCACGATTATATTGACGATTATTCATTGACCATTTATTGAACTTTAAAACAAATAATATTTTACCAATAAACAAGATCAAATATGTTGGAGCGCACTTCCAAAACCATACTAAACATATATTATTAATATGATAAATAAAAATAAATTAGACCAACATAAATGAAATCAAACATGTTGCAGTGCACTGTCACAACCTACTGAAAACTCCTTAACATATAGCCAACATTTTGGTAAAACATATTCAACATATTCCACTCAGTTAAACGTTGAAGGCTGGCCAACCGTCATGGTCCAGAAGTAACAGGAAATAAATGTTGAACTACAATTTAAGACCAAATAAAAATGTTTAGGCCACCATGGCAAATGCTGGTAGGGCTGCTCGTGTCATCTCTTAAAGATTGTTCGCAAGAAACACCAGCCTGTTTACATGGTCTGGTTTCAGAGATGAGCGCAGGCAGGTGACGATATTGCAACCTGTACTGAAGACCCTCAGCCACGCCCCGACACATGGGGTGACGCCGGCCAATCACAAAGCTTTGATGCGTTCAAGTGCATTATTCTGGCACAGGAAGATTATGTTACAGGACATTAACGATAAAACAGAATATTGTTGTTCTATTTTTAGACACATCTCGCGATCGACTGGTTGGGCACCCCTGGGCTAGACCATAGGTCTGTTGTGGTAGCAAAGTAGTCAGCTGAAGCCACATCTCTCTCAACTTCCCCACGGCATTTGTCATATAGCGCAGGCAGCGCAGACCTGCTGAAATAATACCGAGACGACATCGCGTAACGCTTGTCCAACGTGTTGACAAGTTGCTTAAAGCCCTGGTTGCTAACAGTGCTAACTGGGCACATATCTTTAGCGATGTGAAATGTAATGGCACCTGTAATATCTCTGTGTCTCTGCGAGCTCGTCGCGTAGGCCGTTGCTCTGTACAATGCGTCCAGAATCGATGACTGTGATGATGTGGTGGATGAAGTCGAGCGGGCATCTGCTTTTTGTTGTATTACTGCCCGGTCGTATTGCACTTTGTGGTTGTATTTCAGCTGATTAAAGAGATTGGTTGTGTTAGCGTGTGGTGCCAACACAACCTGGTAACAAATCCTGCACTGTACTTTGTTTTGCTCCACGTCGGACTCCTGAAAGCCAAAGTACTTCCAAATAGTGGAAATAGTTGTACCCTTCTTTTTAACGAGTTGCTCCTCTTGATCTGACATCTTCGCTCGCGCTGAACACTCACAACACATGTCACTCCCACGTGGCCGAGTGGGCTTTCAGGGAGGGGCGAAGCGCACCCAGCTAAATAATCGTATTTTGTCAATTATGCTGTTTTCATAATCGTCGCAAACCATAATCGTAATCGCGATTAAAATACGATTAATTGCACAGCCCTACTGTAAATATAGAAAAACCTAAAATATGAAGCATTTTCATTATGGGTTATACAAGAATATAATTGATTGTATTTGATTATAACTAACTTTCGTTTTAATTATTCAACCTGATATGGAGATCTCAACACCCTCTTTTTAAAACGCAAAGTTATCAAAACAGCAACAGATAAAATTGTAAACATACATACATATTCAAAACCCATCAAGAAGCATTTTCATTATGGGTTTATACAAGAATATGATTGATCATATTTGATTATAATTAACTTTCGTCTTAAGTATTCACTTGATATGGAGATCTCAACAGAGAGGGATGTGATATTTCATTGTGGACCAACTTACACTGGAAAAACTTCAATTAAATGTATATATACATATATATATATATATATATATATATATATATATATATATATATATGTCAACACCTTTCACATACCTGTATTAGTTAGTTGAATACAATATATTAAGTTTAACCTAATATTTGTTATTTATTCCAAAGTCAACGGTTGAGTATTTCCAGTGTTACCTCCTCAGATCTATCACGGTTTGGAGCAACTCCAATGATGACCTAAATGTGTTTTATTAAAATGATATAATGATATGAGGAGATGCCAATAATCCTCAGCATTTCTCTGATCTCCTCCTCAGGTACACAGGCCCAGACTACTGCGGGATAATAAGCGACAAGAAGGGCCCCTTCGCTGGTTGTCATGGCAGCCTGCCGGTAGCAGAGAATGTGGCAGATTGTCTGTACGATGTGTGCACCAATGAAGGGCGACAGGAAGTGCTGTGTGAGGCCCTGAGCACCTACCTGGCCGAGTGCCAGGAAGCTGGAGCATCTGTGTTGCCATGGAGACAACTGGCCAAATGTTGTGAGTAACATACTGTCAGTGGTGTAATGTAACTAAGTACATGTAATCAAGTAATGTACTTCAGTAGAACATTGAGGTACTTGTGCTTTACTTGAGTATTTTCCCACTATTTTACTCCACTACATTTATTTTATATATTTAGTTACTTTGCAGATTTAGGTTAATTTAATGTAATTTAATGTAAATCGACACATAATTATCATATATTATTATTGATTAAGATCAACAGTAGTGTTTACAGTAATTCAAACGGACCCCACCTTTACCAAGTACAACACTGAAGTGATTAACACATTAATACACCAATCATTTTAATACAATATTTAAATATAGAATGTGTTTAAATGTGCCTTTCTGAGTACTTAAATTACATTCTGATGCTAATACTTTTGCTTTTACTTAAAAAACAACAATTTTGAATGCATGGCTGAGTATTTTTACACTGTAGTATTGCTACTTTACTAAAGTACATCATCAGAGTACTTCTCCCACCACTGCATACTGTACATGAATTGAAACACTACAGGCAGACAGGAAGCCCCTCACTGATGTGGACCTGCCACAGTGTGTTTAGTCTGTCAAAGGTTGACAGTACTCACAACAACTTTCCCATTATAAGATGAACTGGGTAACGCCTTCTGTTAGAGGTCCTATTGCATACCTGCAGGCCTGTGGTCAGATCACATGGGCACCAGTGCTCCCCCTCTCAATTCAATTCAAATAGCTTTATTAGCATGACAATAATGACATACAGTATTGCCAAAGCTTTGTACAATTGCGACATCTATACATAAACATTTGAAATGTAGAGTTAAGATGATCATAAACATTTGAAATGTATCATAAACATTTGAAATGTAGAGTTAAGATCATAAAGATTTGAAATGTATCATAAACATTTGAAATGTACAGTTAAGATCATAAAGATTTGCAACACCGACTTGTTTTCCTTACTAGGAACACAAGGAGTGGACACATTCATTAAGAAAATGAAAAAATAGTAACAATGCTGAAAGTCAATTGCTATAATACATGAGAATAGTAATAAAGAGGTGAGAGTGGAGACCTGGTCAGTTGTAATTGAGGATGCTTACTTACTGTGTGAGGTGGTGCTGCTGTTTCCACACTGTGGGCATAATGGCTCCTCTTTTAGCAGCCATGTTTTATGTCTGCCTGTTGCTATGGCCTGTCTGTGTCCTCATCTCTGTCCCCCCCCCCCCCCAGCTGTGGAGTGTCCGGCCCACAGTCACTACAATGTGTGTGGCTCAGCGTGCCCTCCCAGCTGTGGCCCCCAGCCCGAGGTCTGCCCTAAGGTCTGTGTGGAGGGCTGCTTCTGTGACCCTGGATATGTGCAAAGTGGGAAAGAGTGAGGACAACATCTTCACACGTTACGTTCAAGTTATAGTATTTAGAATATCAATGCTGTCCTTATAGAAATCCTGCTTGCACTCATTATATATATCACTTTTTTCCACCTCATGAAAATAAATGCTGGGAGATTTATAATGTCCTCTCTCTCTTCTTCTCTCTCAGGTGTGTGATCAAGGAGAAGGGCTGTGGCTGTAACCACGACGACCGCTATTACCTGCCAGGTGAGACTTTCTGGGCCGACTCGCTGTGTAGCCAGAGGTGTGTGTGTGACGCAGGCACGCAGAAGGTGAAGTGTAAGCAGGCGGGCTGTCGGAAGGGAGAGAAATGCAGCGTTGTAGACGGGGTCCAAGGCTGCGTCCCCGTGGGCTTCAAGACCTGCAGCACACACGGAGACCCCCACTACACCTCCTTCGATGGACGCAGGTTCGACTTCCAGGGCAACTGTGTGTACAAGCTGGCCGGTGTGTGTGGAGATCAGTCAGGCCTGGAGCCCTTCGAGGTGAGCAGCAAGGAGTTTCATTGTTATTATTATTATTATTGATAATAATGATAATACTATTCATATTATCATTATAATTATTATCATCATCATCATCATCATCATCATCACTATAATAATAATAATAATAATAAATGTAATCATTGTTATTATTATTATTATAATTATTAATATTATCAGTACTATTGTTGCTATTAGTAGTAGTTCAGTCAGACAACTCACGTGTTCCTTTAACATGTTTATTAGAAGCAGCATATAGTTGAGTTTGGCGACTAGGCTCGGGCATCATCACTCCATAGATATACATAGCACGATGAGTGATGATCAAATAACTAACCCCCGAGCCTACAGGTGGAAGCTGGGGTGGTGGTGGGGCAGCAAGCAGCAGCGACGTAGAGGTAGCTGCAGCAATAGCAGCAGCAAGCAATGCATGGAGAGAGATCTGCAGGTTAAATAGAGCGGCATATTAAGGAGACTCTGTTTGGTTGGTTGTAGAGTGGCGAGGGGCGTTATGTATGAATGCAGCATAAGTGCTCGAGTTGACTTCCTGAACTAGCTCGCAGGCTTCGCCCCATTAGTGGTAGGATCATTATTATTCTTATTATTAATACTATTATTCTTATTGTTATTATTGTTATGTAGTTGTATTGTTTGGGAGAATAACTCGTATCACTGACACATGCTTTTATTTTGAAAGTGAAACCACCAGCTTTGTCCTCTCCCGAAGGCGCTGACCCCTCCAAGGGAATGGGATCGATGTTTAAGAAGAATTATTTTCAGATAATGAAATGTTTTTTTACATGCAATTTTCATTTCTGCTTTTTTAGTTAAATATCTAAATGCATATTATTGTTCTCCTCTTGTCTCCTCTCTGTCTCTCCTCTTGTCTCCTCCTCTTGTCTCCTCTCTGTCTCTCCTCTTGTCTCCTCTCTGTCTCCTCTCCTCTTGTCTCCTCTCTGTCTCCTCTCCTCTCTGTCTCCTCTCTGTCTCCTCTCTGTCTCTCCTCTTGTCTCCTCTCTGTCTCCTCTCCTCTCTGTCTCCTCTCCTCTTGTCTCCTCTCCTCTCTGTGCTGCAGATAAAGCTGGAGAATAATAACCGTGGCAACAAAAGAGTGTCGTATGCTAAAGTGGTGACTGTTAAAGTCCATGGCAACACATACATACTGTCAGTGGACCTACCAGGCAGAGTACTGGTGAGGAACACACACACACACACACACACACACACACACACACACACACACACACACACACACACACACACACACACACACACACACACCACACACACACACACCACACAACACACACAACACACACACACACACCACACCACACACACACACACACACACACACACACACACACACCACACACATACACACACACACACCACACACACACACACACACACACACAACACACACTGTATCTTAACACACCAGGTATATATATCCTAGTACATCATAATTCAGTAGCTGATATAAATGTGTTATTGATAATATGAGCCTGCAAAGTCACTCATCTTGTTAAATAAATGTCAGAGTAAAAAGAACAATATTTACTTCCAACATGTGGTGGAGTAGAAGTATAAAGTATTATAAACTGGAAAAACTCAAGTTACCTCAACATTGTAATGAAGTACAGCACTTGAGTAAATGCACTTAGTTACTTTACACCACTGCAGACTCCTCTCAGTCACATGACCCTCGGATGAAAGCTGCTGTTTCAGCTCTCACTTTATCAGTGCCCTGTACTACGAAGCCGGATTTTCGTTTAGCGAGCTAACTTCAGGGAAAGCTATGGGTTTCCGGTCCTACGACGCTGGTTCATTTCTTACCGGGGTAGATCTCCATGGTAACTTATGCTGAACACCTAACCTGCTCCGGAGCAGACAAGTTCCAGATAAGAGATCAACTCATGCCCTAGCCACACAGAGACGAAACGGATCCTATCCGCTACAGCTCTCTATCATATAGACGGTTCGGCCACACGAGGCCGACAGGGAAACGCAGATATTGATAACTATAACGATAACAGGTCCCAAGGTGGGTAGATCTGAGGACGCAACGCTCTGGGGGGCCAAACGGATCCGTGATTACGCCCTATACGATCATTTCCTGATAACGAAAATACTGACGGGCTGTCAGGAGAGGGGGAGGAAAAGAGAGTATATTATTAGAGTCGTTATTCATTTGTTTTAAAGCTCAATAAATAACAAAGAAGACCTTTGACCGGCACTTTTCTAATTTTGTCCGGAAGATTTAATCTTTAACGGACATGTTGACCGGCGAAAATAAATTGTAACTGAAACTCTGCCGCACGGTCCCCTCGTCCCTTGGAAGAGGCGGAGAGGTGGGTGTTTGTAATCTGCTGGTGGACTACCTGAGAGATTTACAACAGGAGAACACGCTTGCTTCGGGGAGGGAGAAAAAGAGCCAGAGCCCTGCCTCTCCCCACCTCTGCTGCTAAATCCACCGCGGAGAATAAACAGAAGGGCAACCATGGCAACCATGCATGCTTGGGAAGTCTTCTTCGCTGCTTTTGGTGTATTTTGTGGCGGAAGTACAGCGCCATTTACAGGCCCGGCATATGTACTACAGCGTCTCCAGCGGGTCGAGTGGTCTCGTGTGAACGGACACGTTTCTGGTGCCGATTGCGTGTGGACGGAATACTTTTTTGATATCGAATTCGGTTCGTTTTCCTTACCGTCTATGCAACTATGTGGCTTTTATCCTGGATTATCAGTTTAAGTCATAGATGTTTAAAGTTTAACTTCTTCATAATGTCTATTATAGTTTACTTTTCATTCATGAAGTATGACGCTGCGCTGTCAGTACGCTTGTCCCTGTTTGTGATTGGTCAAATGTTGCGAACCCCGCCCCTTTCACGTGAACGCGCTCTCAGCCTGACAGAGAAATCCTGGGTTGATAACCAGCGCCGTAGTACCGCTTAGCGAGATCTCGTTTGTTAGGGTTAGTTAAGCCAGATAACTCAAACATATGCAGGGGGTGTTTCTCAATGTCAACGAAGGATGCTCCAGAGCCACTATTTCAAGGATGCTACGTCATCGAGTCCCGCCGAAGGACTGTTCCAATGTCCAGGCTCCGCGGTCTTAAAATCCCCATAATGCTTTGCGCACGGACCAATCTCCCAAATCTGTGGCGGAAAATGTAAGGCGGGGCCTCTGGCCGCATTGTGGGGATTTTAAGACCGCGGAGTCTATACATGTGCAGGCTCGAAATTTCTCGCTCCGAAGTAAGCCGGGCTCGGTAGAATTCCAAGTATGCTGGACATTGGAACAGTCTTTCGGCGGCACTCGATTACGTAGTATGCTTGAAATAGTGTCTCTGGAGCAGCTTTACTTGACATTGAGAAACACCCTGGCCGTTTCTCAATCTCGAGGATGCTGGCTTGGTAGTCGCGTACTTCCAAGTCACTTCCTTCAGAAACGAAGCAAGTATGCTTCCAAGCCACGGCTTCGGAAAACGAAGAAGAATGGAACAGGCTAACAAGTGTGCCACTCTCTGTACCGAAAATAAATACCTCACGATGTCTATCTAATTATGAACTTGCACGGAACACATTTTTGGTGATAACAAACAAATGTAACAAAGTAACATATTTACCAATACATGTCCTACGCCACTATACTTACATATAAATGTGTGCTGCGTCGGTTCAGCCATTCTCCGCAAGGGTTTTTGAAATTGGTCTGTGCGCAAAGCATTGTGGGGATTTTAAGGACGCGAAGTCTACCCATGTGCAGCCTCGAAATTTCCCCCAAACCAAGGACGCGGCCTCAGTGGAATTCCAAGTATGCTGGACATTGGAACGGTCCTGCTGCGCCACTTGATGACGTAGCATCCTAGAAATATTGGTTTGGAAGCCAGTATCCTCGAGATTGAGAAACGGCCCCTGTGTCTGTTGAACTGGCTTCGTAGTACAGGGCACTGGAGTTGCTCCAAAAGCATGACATATATCAAAACCTTTATACAGTCTATGATCAAAACACAGAGCACAGCTTCAAATCTGCAGCAGAACATATGTTGACCTTGAGACTTCAGAACTTCAGATATAAATAAACTGTATTGGCAGATGTTAATTATTTTACAATAGGGGAGAGTGGGGTAAGTTGAGCCATTTTTAACAGCATTCCCACTATCTGTTCTTCTACGCACGAAATTCTTTATTATTCCGCCTGTTATTTTGGCCCTCTTCTCCTCCCACATTCCACATCGCAGAAACTCCGTTCAAACATCAAAACGTTCAGCTCGGTCGGGAATCAATGGCTATTACTTTTCTCATTCATAACTTTCATAATTCCAGAGATACATCCCATAATTCATCACATTTTTTACATTTTAACTTTAACATTGCGCAGCTCGTTAAGGCAGAGTGCGTGATATCAGAGTTACCCCTAGATTCCACCGGGTCCGTCTGCGGCGCGTTACGGCCGCGTTACGGCTGCGCCGCGGCGTCCGCAAGGATCGTGGCCACTCTAGTCAATGGGTGCTATTCCACCAGACGCGCCGCGTTACGGCTCAGGAGCGTCTCGCCGCTTTGTCTATTTTTCGACGCGACGCAGCCGTAAGGTAATGTCGGGCAGGCAAGAAGTGGAACGTTCAGAGCATATATAGCATATATATATACACACACACACAAACTAATTTTGCAGAACCTATCCCTCCGTAGTCTTTCAAGTAGGAGGGAGTATAAATGCCAGCGTTCTCCGGTTTACAGGCAGTGTAAATTATATAACCTATATAGAATAATTATGATGATGAATGCATTTTTTTTTTACCACTAAAACACAACACATCTTTGATTCATGTCGTTTATAACTGGGATATTACAATTATTATTAACTTTGTCTCTACAAAGTAGCCTGTCCAGGAAATATGCCCAAATCAACAAAAACTGCGAGCCGACAGTTTGAAATTTGCCTTCATATATTTTTTTTAAACTGCCATTATTCCCAAACCCTACATTCCTGAGACATACTTTTTCATGACAAACGTAGGAAAACATCTCGTAGCTTGAAAAATAATAATTAAACAAAATGCCTCTTGAGGGCATGAAGTGACAAAAACGTTCAACATGCCTCCATTACATTACATTACATTGCATTTAGCTGACGCTTTTATCCAAAGCGACTTACAATAAGTGCGTTCGACCAACAAAATACAACCTTGAAGAAAACAGAATCATATAAGTACATCAGGTTTCATAGAGCTAAAACATTTCAAGTGCTACTCAACTGGCTTTAGATAAGCCAGTCCTTTATTAGTATATAAGTGCTTTGTTAATAGTTCTATCGCTCGAAGTGGAGTCGAAAGAGATGAGTTTTCAGTCTGCGCCGGAAGGTGTGTAAGCTATCTGCTGTCCTGATGTCAATGGGGAGCTCATTCCACCATTTTGGAGCCAGGATAGCAAACCCACGTGTTTTTGCTGATGGGAACTTGGGTCCCCTTCGCACGAGCCGTTTGGTTGATGCAGAGCGTAGTGCACGTGCTGGGGTGTACGGTTTAACCATGTCCTGGATGTAGGAAGGGCCAGACCCATTCGCAGCATGGTACGCAAGTACCATTGTCTTGAAGTGGATTCTAGCAGTTACCGGAAGCCAGTGAAGGGAGCGGAGGAGCGGAGTGGTGTGGGAGAATTTAGGAAGGTTGAAGACCAGACGAGCCGCTGCATTCTGGGTGAGCTGCAGAGGTCGGATGGCACATGCAGGTAGACCAGCCAGGAGGGAGTTGCAGTAGTCTAGGCGTGAGATGACGAGAGCCTGGACCAGAACCTGCGTGGCTTTCTGGGTCAGCTGGGGACGTATCCTTCTGATGTTGTAAAGCGTGTATCTGCAGCAGCGGGTTGTAGCAGCGATGTTTGCAGTGAAGGACAGGTTGTTATCTAGGGTCACACCCAGATTCCTTGCAGTCTGAGTCGGGGAAACAACAGAGGTGCCAATGTTGATTGTTAGGTTAAGAGTGGGACAATCTTTTCCCAGAAGGAAGAGCAGCTCAGTCTTGTCAAGGTTGAGCTTGAGGTGATGATCAGACATCCACTGAGAGATGTCAGCTAGACAAGCAGAGATGCGTGCGACGACCTGGGTCTCTGAGCGGGGAAAGGACAGAATTAATTGTGTGTCGTCAGCGTAGCAGTGGTATGAAAAACCATGCGGGCTAATGACTGATCCGAGCGAGTTTGTATACAAGGAGAAGAGGAGGGGACCAAGAACAGAGCCCTCCATTAATGCCCATCGTAATTTCAGGCTGATATTTCCTCACAGCAGCAGCCGCACACCTTTAGTTAATCTGCCAAAAAGGCCACATTAATGACCCGAAAGTACACAAAAAGCACACTTCAGATGCTCAACTTCCTTGACATGCTTCACGCTTTGAAATTTCACAGATATCTGTTTCGGTTCTTCAACAAAACGTTCACATGTAACAGGTTTATCTCTCATTCAGAACAATGCAAAGGCTCTCCTCTCACTGATTACTGCACATCACCATGGAAACCTTTGATCTCTGGACACGTCGTTAGCTCAAATATAAACACCTGTGTCATGGAACACAATGATGTCATCACTCCAACTGACACGCTCAGAGCAGCAGACTTCAGATAATGGTTAATGGTCCTGCCCTCAACAGCTCTACGTCAATTATGGGGTGTCATCATATGCCGTTTCCATGGAAACGCATCCCTCGCCATAAAACACAATGTCGCTTTACATTAACTCCTATGAACATTTTCAAAAAGTGCTCAAACTTCACATGTGTGCTAACAGTCCAGCCGTGAAGACATCTACGGGACAGTTGTGAGATTTCTTCAAATGCCGTTGCCATGGTAACACAAGGGTCGCCATGAAACACGGTTTTCTCATAACTTCAGTGAAAATGCTCCAAACGCCCCACAACTTCACAGGTTTGGTAACGATGCAGCCATCAACGCATCTAAGCGTATTATGGGATGTCATCAAATGCCGTTGGCATGGCGACAGATCATTCACCATCAAGTTAGTTCAAAAGTTTGTAGTTCAAATATTCTGCTGCTTTTCCAAGCCTTTTCACTTTCTTTTATTCTCTCATCACACATTCAAGCCCCCAGTGTTCATGTATCATTTCAATCTAAATTCTTCACTTTCTTCTGACACATCACATTTCAGCATAGCAATTCAGCTCAGCTTTTCAGCATAAAGCATTCCCACTAGCAATTTCTTCAGGAATTGCATTCTCTAGTTTAGTTATCCTGTCCGCTAAGCAAGGAAAAATGACACATAGTAAAAATGAAAACACACACCTATAATTCAGGATGTCTCCTATCAATGGCAATGATAATAATTCATATTTTATCAAGGGCATTGAAAATATTACTTCTAAAAAAAAAGTGGTCTTGTGACTCAACTTGGTAAGTTGATCCAGGTCAGGGGGTAAATTGAACCACTGTTCAAACCTGGGCATACCTACAACAAATCTTAAAGGTAACTATAAACAATATTCTCTCCTTATCGATATACCAGCAATAAGCCAATATATATTGTTGGGAAGATACTGAATGTACTCTTCTAATATCAAAGTACACATGATAACAAAGGCCCTATGTAGCTGTGTACCTAACAGGATGTATGATTACCTAGAAGAGCATCAGGACTGTTTTAGGCATATGATAGCTATGTGATTAACATGATGATTCAGCCTCTATGGAGAAAGACATATGACTGTCATGTGTATTGCTTACATGGGCCTTAGCTAATCTGAAATAAACATTGAATACTGCTTTGAACCGGTATTCTGCATCTTGTGACTGTAACACTCTCTTGTATATCAGCATGTGAAGGACACTGTTCAGATAGCTATTTTGTCCCATGCAGCTCTCTATGTGATGACTACTTCCATTATTGAAAGGATAAATACATGTTATAAATACATGTATCCTGATATTGAAGACCAAGCCGGTGACGAGTGATATTTTTCCTAACATATATCCAATAGAAAAACTTTTTGTTGGTCCACCAATTACTTAAAATGGCCTTTAACTCCAAGCTTTCCCTCAACAGCATTGGAAGACTGAACAAGTACTAATACATATGTGTGTGTGTTAATGTATTTTCTGCAGGTGGACGGTCTTCAGAGCTCCTTACCATTCTCCATTCCATCCAATAAAACCCTGGTGCATGTTTACCCCAGATACAGGCAGGCTGTCCTCGAGACAAGCTTCCTTAAGGTAGAAACACACACAGAAACACACCACTCACTCAATAAGAATATATATAATAGTAATGTAACCTGATTACTTTCCGTTACGTTTGGATTACCTCAATATCAAATGCATTATTAAAAAGGATCCTTATACTGTATTTTGTATTCTCAACGTAACGAATAAAAGAAGCCTAAATGAAAACCAAAAATAAAAACCAGGCAGTATTTCTACCTATAATATGTCGCCCTTTATTTTGTATTGATTGTAACAATGTAATCCTGCTTGTAATCCCCATTTTTGTTAGTGAATGTTGTTGTACTGTATCTGATTGCGTACTCCTGTTACATGTACTCCGTTACTCCCCGAGCCTCAATGTTATTACAATATGTCTCAGTTTGAATTGTTGTTTCCTTTATATTCCACATGTTCAGGTCTCCTTTGACTTTGCGAGTTCAGTGAGAGTGGAGCTGGCGACGAGTTATCACAATGCAGTCTGCGGTCTGTGTGGAAACATGAACGATGACCCTGCTGACGACCTGAAGCTACCCAATGGGAAGCTGGCTGCCAACGGCAACAAGTTTGGAGTGAGCCAATGGCTGGAGGACGCTCCGGGCTGCTCCCGCGACTGTAAGCTGAAGCTTGCTAATGGTCCTCACTGTGCTGGGATCCATCAGACAGGCACCTCTTTATGAAATATAATGCCAGTTAGACATGTGAACCACTTATCTAGCTTTGGTTCAGCATTTCTTTAAGAGTTCCAGCAGGTTGACTGCGGAGAGATATCTAAATCCTTTTACAGTGTGAAATTAATCATTCATATCTTGTTGCTACTAATACTCCAATGTTTATAATGATATATTCATGTTATATATGATGGTACAATGTGCTAATTATACTAGACATTTTACTTGAAATGTTTCACATTAATATCTATATTTTCTTTTGATTGAACATTCTAACTTTGGCGTGTATAAACAGAGAAACAATGACTCTGATGTTTGATGCTTAACAAAAAGGAGTCACAGGACGCCAGAGTGATTTGTGTTGCAATTTATACACTTTCTGCAGTTTAGTTTTAAACGAGCATTCTGCAGATAAAGAACCCCTTCACAATGATCACTTCTGGTCTTATCAGCAGAGCGCTGTGTTAAGAGAGATCAATCAGATTACACCAGCTGTATTATAATCATATACAGTCTATGATTAGTATGTGTAATGTGTGATGTTTGTGTGCTGCCAGGTAGCAACTGTGCAACGCCTCTTCCCCCCCACTTCAAACCCCCCGGCTACACATCAGTGTGTGATGTCATCACGGCGAAGGAGGGGCCCCTGGCTGACTGTGGGGGCCGGGTGGACGCAGAGCAGTACCGCCAGGACTGTATCTACGACATGGTGCTGAACGACGGTAACCAGGAGGCCGCCTGCAACATCATCAGTGACTACGTGGAGAAGTGTCAGATGAGAGGAGGCTGTGTGAGGGCATGGAGGAACAGGCGCTTCTGCTGTGAGTGTGTGTGTGTGTGTGTGTGTATTTCTGGGTTGCGGTCAAATGGTAAAATAAATCATGTCCTTTGTCTTTTTCTACTTTTTATCTGCTTGATGAAAACTGTCATGAGGTTAGGAAAGATGTAAAGTATAATGTATTACTTAGATGTGATGTACTCAAGTACAATTTTGAGGTACTTGTACTTTACTTGAGTATTTAAATGTTTAGCTACCTTGTACTTCTACTCCACTAGATTTCAGAGGTAAATGGTGTACTTTTCCTCCACTACATGTATTTAATCCCTTTAGTTACTTCACAGATCTGGATGAATGATGTGAAATCTAATCAAGTGTTGAATCAGACTTTAGTTCCACCTGGAGTAAATCCACCAGCTACCCTGCAGTATACAAAGTCATTCAAACTAGCTGCACCTTCACCAGCTTTGAGAACACTTTCATGATCAATCATTATAAAACATATCATATATATTATTCTGAAATGGACCAATCTGCATAACGACTACTTTTACTGTCGATACTTTAACTATATTTTGACACCAATACTTTTCTACTTTTTCTTTCATTTGTCTTACATAGGAATCTTTCTTAAAATATGAAAAACATAGATCAACTGCAACCATGATGAAGGCACCTTAAAGACATGATCGTGTGTGTTTTTTTTTTTCAGGGATGCATTGTCCAGCCAACAGCATGTACAGTGTCACAGCTTCTGGCTGTCCAATCAGCTGCACTGTTAAATCTCAACCTGTTGAGTGTAAGGCCCCGCCCAGCGAGGGCTGTGTGTGTAACCCTGGTTACCTGCAGAGTCAGGTAATCCACAACACACTGCCTTCATTCACTGCACATGACCTGTGTGGGGGTGGGACATGCTTTAACTCCCACCCTGTCTCTGCTTAGGGAGGCTCCTATGGAATATGATGGATTGTCATCATCAAGGACATGCGTTTGTCTTTATTGGGGAAACGAAGGCTTTAGCTCGAGTTTCAGAAATACTAAGGTCATGAGTCCACAACTCCCCCATTCTATAGATCAGAAGGTTGCACACAAATAACTTGTTTTTAAAACCTCCACACACCTACTGTACAGTAGGTACAGACCAACCCCTACACACTCACAGGTACAAACTCAAGGCGAGCTCCCCTCTAATACTTTTAAAACACTTTTTCTTGTTTTTAAAATCTGATGTTAATGAGCCGCTTGTTTTTTAACAGTCGCTGTTAATATATACAGAACTATACAATCAATTACACATGTCTACATATCTCTAGATTAGACACAGGTCTATAAGGTTCCAAGTGAAAATGTTATGGTTAATGGTTGGAAGGGCACTTAATGTCTGACCTTCCACGGGAATGCACAAACAGAGAGGAAAATGCAATGTAAAAAAGTGTGGGGGGGGGGGGGGGGGGTGTCGCGGTCGGTTTGAAATTTTGTCTGTTTCCTTTTTTCTGCGTTTGTGTTCCTTAAATGGGGGAACAGAACCGGGCTAAGGTTTCAGAAATACTTAAGTCAAAACATTTCCCCAGTGCTGAAGGTTTCGTAGCTCATTATTCAAACCTCCAACCTCCCAGAAAAAGAGGTTATTTCAGCAAGTTGAACAGAGGGATGAGTTTAAGAACTTTAACAGAAGTATATTCTGTTGGAACTGTTGATCAAGTTACCATGGTGATACGTGCTCTCTGATTGTCCACACTAGAACAGGAAATAGGACTGTCTGTTTGGAAGTGCTTTCGTGTGTACTGCAAATCACATTGTTATTAAGGGCCACCATGAGACATGCTAATGAGTGACCTTTGACCTTTCAGGATGGCTGTGTGCCGCTGGCTCAGTGCGGCTGCCTCAGTGAACAGCAGTACATCGTGTCGGGTCAGAAGTTCTACCCTAAGCCCGACTGCATGAAACTCTGTGAGTGTCGGGGGGGGACGGTGTCCTGTGAGGACAAACCCTGCCAGAAGGGGAAGAGCTGTGGAGTGCACGAGGGAGTGAGAGGTTGCTACGACAACCTCAAAACCCATGGCAACAAAGGATAGAAGAGGAACAGAGAAATGCAGAGCTGTGTGTTTTTACAGTAATACGTAGTGAGTAGTTTTACTGTCATTGTAATGATTTTTGTAATGACACATTTCAACTGTCAAAAATCAAATCTATAAAGATTATGATGTAAATGTGTATTAAATCATCAAACAATAAAATCATCAGATTATTCCCTGTTGCTTTATTTCTATGCTCCAATATGTCTTTATGCAGAAACAATTCATTTTAGGTTACCTACTCACCTACAGCAAATTTGAAATCGCAAATGTAACACCCAGAGTTGAAACTAACACTTTGTATGGGAACCACTGGAAAAGTGTTTACATTATTAACTCTATGATGTTAGAATATATGTCTTAAGACTAGAGTGTAACATATTAACACCAGAACAGAAGACACCATGTCGCCGTTCCAAATTCATATAGTATTCATATATAATACTATACAGTCAGATTAACACTATTAGAATACATGTACAACTCTCAGAAACTGCTAATACAACCCAAACTCTGTTTAGGTTGTATTGCCGACGCTATAAGCAGAGCTAGGGAACAGAGACATTTTCAGATCAATGGTTCAGCAGAGAGCCTCTGGATATATTACAAGATCATAACACAGATCAATTCAAGCTAATACATCATCATGAACAGGAAAATCAACCAGAATACAAAAAAGGGTAACTGTATTCCCTTAGTTACATTAAAAAAATATGTACTCAGATTTCACTGATTATAATGTTACTAAAAAAAGGGACATTATTTTTGCTTCGAAACAGCATTATGTGTTGTTCGCATTATGCTGTTTGAAAGGCAGGTTTCCAGAGGAAACATTCCTAAATATCTTGGTTTCTTCTACGGTCACATTGCTCTGTTGTCTTACATAAAACACTTGAGCAAAAACATCTTATTCATACTTACTTTCTATTGTATTTATTTGTATTGCATTTGATATTGGGGTAATCCAAAATGAACCAAAGTTATCAGGTTAAATTACTTTTTGATTCACAGAATAGGTTACTGAATAAAATAAAATGAAGTAATTGAACCATATAACATTATTAAAGTAACCCTCCCAGTGTTTGGGACTGAAATGAAAAAAAGAAGAGAGGAATGAGCAGATAATCTGACCTCAGCTCCTGTGTCTCCTCGTGTCTCCTGGTGTCCCCATGATGTCCATCCTGCGGTGAACTACAGTTCTGACGCACTGAAGGTCAGCATTCTCTGTATGTTTGAATTGTGTTAGCCTAGAATGTCCTCTGGTTGAAATAACAGTGAAGTTTGAGTCAGACATTCTCACCATTAAACCCTGCAAAGCTTTTGAGGGCTCTTCCTTTCCTGGCAGATACAGATCTAACTTGGTTTCCCATTTGGTGATGTGCATAAAGACAAACACAATTCTAATATGTGATTTGATGGTTAAGCATCCAAAAGCGAGCAAATCCTTCATAAATATCCATGTACGTTTTTTGGTGCAGTATTAACAGAACCATTTATTTGTATCTTAAATATGTTCCAATAATTTAAATTAAAAAAAATAGAAACTAGCTACAAAATATACACAACAATCAAAAACAGGTTCAGTTTGTGTAAAAATACATTCTGTGTTCTTTTGTTTACAGACTCAGTTTGAAATGTATCCGACTCTAAATCCCAACAACACCTGAGTATCTTTATTCATTTACTCTTTTATTTATTTGTATTAAAGCATTGCTCCTAGTACGCATTGTCTGTCTCTGATATGTGCATCGAATGTTGTCATCTGAACTCATTGTAATGCTGAGAGGTGAGGGGGGGGGAGGGAGGACCACCCCCTGTCTCTGCAGGTGTCTCAGGATGTCCAGGATGGAGTCCAGCTCCAGACGGAAGGCCTCCACCTCTCTGCTCTTCTGCTGAGCCAGCTGCTTCCAGCCCTCCACCTCCGTCTGCTGACCAGAGTCCAGGGTCTGCCAGGAGCCCCCGATCACCTGCAGGGGGGTGGGGGGGACTCTGAAAATTAGTGGGCATGAATCATATCCAACATTTGGATCTAAATGGCAGTATGGATTAGTGCAGTATCCAATTGTATTAAAGGTAACACTTGGTCAAATATGTGACGATATCCTTTTGGCACATAGTGCTGCAGAGAAGAACCGGCCAACAAGCAGTGTTCTACAGTCCAATCAAAACCCTTGTTTGGTAAGAGAAAATCAGCATGATTGTTTTTTTATATAAACTGCCGTTAAAAAAAAAGTCAACAAATAAACTAAGCCAATCTGTAAGAGCCTTCCATTGGATAATTACTGAAGTGATTCATATGTTTCAGCTGGCAACAAGTTATTTAACCCTAGCTGATGCGGTGAGTAGCTTCTCATTCCTTTAACAACCATGTCGGAAGACATCCTGTGGTCGTGGAAAGGATGTTAATCAGTTTCAGAAGGGGTATAATTATTGGCCTGCATCACGAAAAGAACACAACTAAGGAGAACGCTGAAACTACTCAAATCGGGTTGATAACTGTCCAACACATTATTAAAACCAAATCAATGGATCCAGATGTACCTGTTCCAGAGTGATGGGCGCATCAGGGAAAGAAGAGAGGCGGACAGGCAGCGTATTTTCAATGATAATGTGAACGTTTCAAAGATGATCATTCTCTCTAATATTGCAATTGCAGGAGCCTTGGTTTTCCACTGTGTTCTGAACGACATGGAGAGAAGCTGGGATCCATTCAAAGTGCAGGTATTTTTATATGGGGGCAACAGCTAGTTTAGAAAGAATACTGGAGGACAGAAGCTAGTTTAGAAAGAATACTGGAGGACAGAAGCTAGTTTAGAAAGAATACTGCAGGACAGAAGCTAGTTTAGAAAGAATACTGGCAGGACAGAAGCTAGTTTAGAAAGAATACTGGAGGACAGAAGCTCGTTTAGAAAGAATACTGCAGAACAGAAGCTAGTTTAGAAAGAATACTGGAGGACATAAGCTAGTTTAGAAATAATACTGGAGGATAGAAGCTAGTTTAGAAAGAATACTGGAGGACAGAAGCTCGTTTAGAAAGAATACTGGAGGACAGAAGCTAGTTTAGAAAGAATACTGGAGGACAGAAGCTAGTTTAGAAAGAATACTGGATGACAGAAGCTAGTTTAGAAAGAATACTGGAGGACAGAAGCTAGTTTAGAAAGAATACTGGAGGACGAGAAAGCTAGTTTAGAAAGAATACTGCAGGAACAGAAGCTAGTTTAGAAAGAATACTGGCAGGACAGAAGCTAGTTTAGAAAGAATACTGCTGGACAGAAGCTAGTTTAGAAAGAATCCTGGAGGACAGAAGCTAGTTTAGAAAGAATACTGGAGGACAGAAGCTAGTTTAGAAAGAATACTGGAGGACAGAAGCTAGTTTAGAAAGAATACTGGAGGACAGAAGCTAGTTTAGAAAAGAATACTGGATGGACAGAAGCTAGTTAGAAAGAATACTGCAGGACAGAAGCTAGTTTAGAAAGAATACTGGAGGACAGAAGCTAGTTTAGAGAGAATACTGGCAGGACAGAAGCTAGTTTAGAAAGAATACTGGAGGACAGAAGCTAGTTTAGAAAGAATACTGGCAGGACAGAAGCTAGTTTAGAAAGAATACTGATGGACAGAAGCTAGTTAGAAAGAATACTGGCAGGACAGAAGCTAGTTTAGAAAGAATACTGGAGGACAGAAGCTAGTTTAGAAAGAATACTGAGGACAGAAGCTAGTTTAGAAAGAATACTGCAGGACAGAAGCTAGTTTAGAAAGAATACTGGAGGACAGAAGCTAGTTTAGAAAGAATACTGGAGGACAGAAGCTAGTTTAGAAAGAATACTGCAGGACAGAAGCTAGTTTAGAAAGAATACTGGAGGACAGAAGCTAGTTTAGAAAGAATACTGGAGGACAGAAGCTAGTTTAGAAAGAATACTGCAGGACAGAAGCTAGTTTAGAAAGAATACTGCGAGGACAGAAGCTAGTTTAGAAAGAAATACTGGAGGACAGAGAAGCTAGTTTAGAAAGAATACTGGCAGGACAGAAGCTAGTTTAGAAGAATACTGCAGGGACAGAAGCTAGTTTAGAAAGAATACTGGAGGACAGAAAGCTAGTTTAGAAAGAATACTGGAGGACAGAAGCTAGTTTAGAAAGAATACTGGAGGACAGAAGCTCGTTTAGAAAGAATACTGGAGGACAGAAGCTAGTTTAGAAAGAATACTGGAGGACAGAAGCTAGTTTAGAAAGAATACTGGAGGACAGAAGCTAGTTTAGAAAGAATACTGGAGGACAGAAGCTAGTTAGAGAAGAATACTGCTGGACAGAAGCTAGTTTAGAAAGAATACTGGAGGACAGAAGTTAGTTTGGAAAGAATACTGGAGGACAGAAGCTAGTTTAGAAAGAATACTGGAGAACAGAAGCTAGTTTAGAAAGAATACTGCAGGACAGAAGCTAGTTTAGAAAGAATACTGGAGGACAGAAGGTAGTTTAGAAAGAATACAGGAGGACAGAAGCGCGTTTAGAAAGAATACTGCAGGACAGAAGCGCGTTTAGAAAGAATACTGCAGGACAGAAGCGCAGTATGCTGGCCAGCCGGTCCAATGTTGCAGCACTGGATTATATAGTACGGACAGAGATGTTCACAAGTCTTTTTTTGCAAGTCCAAGTCTCAAGTCTTTGTGGGGTGAGACTTGATCAAGTCTCAAGTCTTTGGTCACGAGTCCAAGTCAAGTCTCAAGTCTCTAAAAAATAAAAGTCTCATGTCTCTTCTGGTTGTAATAAGCCTTCTATTGTCTGCTGCTATCCAGTCTGTTAAGAATACTGCACAGCTATATCTAAGACATTCAAAGCATTTACTGTATTATTATCACTCCTATATCTATTAGTATACAGTATCAGTACTGATTAGTTGTTTGTTATATGATCACTTTAAACAGGCTATTGCAATGCAATATGAGGACAAACATCACACTTTAGCTAAATGCAAACAACTTATAAGCAAAACACTTCAGAATCAAAAATCAGTATCACAAATACTTTATTAATCCCCCGCAGGGAAACTGTGTTAAAAGTACTTAAAAGTATACATTTGTTCTGTGCCATTTGCAACTAAAAAACTATTGCTGCAATATTATCTGAAATATACTGAACTGGTGATATTAAAACATGACCTGTTCCAAAAGAGATATCTACCATTAACACCATTTACCAGCCAAATGCTGGTAAATCATGCAAGTAGCTGGTACTGTATGTTGCACGCACCAGCCACAAATAACAATGGCAATCTATTGAGTGGCTGGTAACATTTCAACATTCACTAGGCTAGCCATTTGGCCAGTGGACAAAAATGTTAAAATTTGACCTCTGCAACCGTATTGTTAAATTACACTGGGTCTCTAATGACATATTTTAAGTCTACTATAAATAAACATATTCCTCTATCCTCTCACTCAAACCCAGTGTAATGGTAACCTGATAAACCTGTAACATTAACGTTACATGGTCAACAATAAACCTGTAACCTGCCTATAAACCGACAGATGTATTTATGTATTTTTCTACGTTTAACGTTAGCCAGTAGATGGTGGCAGCGGAACGTAATGATTAACGTTACCGACCTTTTTTATGTCATGTCGAGAGTTGGATGTCAACGCCACTCAATGCAAACAAGTGTGACAAGCAAACATTCACTCATCTTTCAAATATTCAGTTACAAAGCTAGTAGCAAGCTAAGTTAACATTACATAGCTGATGCTGAGCTAAACATGTTTGCTAACCGTCCATATGCGTTAATGTGACTGACCTCTCCGGGTGAGTTTTCAAGTGCCTGATGAAATTTGACGTTGTTGCACCAGCATCCTTGATTTTAATATTGCAGACTTTGCAGTGTGCGCTCCTTTTGTTGGTGCCGCCGGCGTTTTGTTCGAAGTTTTTATAGTTGAACCTAATTACAAGCGGTACAGCTGCAGGTGTGCCGCCGGTCGCCATGGTGTTACCATGATGTTAATGTTAATGTTAAAGGTGGGGTAGGTAAGTTTGAGAAACCGGCTCGAGATACACTTTTTGTTATATTCCATGGAATGCTCTTAACATCCCGATAGCCGGCCCGGCTAAAGTAACTGGATGGCCTACCTGCCTGTCAGCCTCCCATCGGGGCACAAACTTATCCCGTGCCCTCATTGGTCATGTGCGCGTTCGTGTGTGTTGGAGGAGGGGCTCTGTGAGGAAGTGGCAGATTTTCTCCGGTTGTGTATTTTCAAATTCTAGCGATCTCGAGCCGGTTTCTCAAACTTACCTACCCCACCTTTAATACGCCAAACATAGAAAACACAATGATTGTTCACGAGTCCCAAAACACGAGTCCAAGTCGAGTCCGAAGTCTTTTGAGCAGGAGTCCAAGTCAAGTCTGAAGTCTCTGTGTGTGCGACTTAAGTGCGACTCGAGTCCGAGTCACAGACTCGAGTCCCCATCTCTGAGTACGGAGCCCCTAAAGGGACATGGGAAAAAAAAGAGAGAGAGAGGAAAAAAAAGAAAAGTCAGGGAAACAAATTAGTTTCTCGTGCACACGAGAAACTAATTTGTTTCCCTGACTTTTTTTTTTTTTCGAGAAAGTTACCGGTGTGCCAAGGAGGAAGTGGAGCAGTTTGATGTGTGAGGTGTGTGTGTGTGTGTGGAGGTGTGTGTGTGTGCGTGTAGAGGTGTGTGTGTGTGTGTGTAGAGGTGTGTGTGGTTAAAACGTAATTTAATCAAATAATGTATGCACTGTCATTTCACGTAAACATAACAGTCTGCAATGAAATGGTTGTCTCCAGTGTGCTCCACTTCCTCTTTGGTAACTTTCTCAACAAAGAACTATTTTTAATTTTTTTCACAAGATACTTTCTCGTGCGCACCAGATCCTAACCAGTTATCCCGACTTTTTTTTTTCCATGTCCCTTTACAGTAGGTGCTCCGTAATATAGACCCCAAACATGATTTTTCATAAAGCAGCAGGCAGTAAAGGTGATTAATATTCTCTCTCCATGGTTACCTGCTGCAGCTTCCTCTCTCTGCTCTGGTGCCGCAGCTCCATGTCGAGGATCTTCCTCTCCAGACCGCTGAGCAGCTTCCCCTCGGGGCTCTGAGCCTCTTTAGCTTCCTTCAGATCCTTCAGCAGTCTGCTCAGCTGCACACAGAGAGGAGGCAATGTTTTCAAATGAAAATACATCTACCAAATGTAATAATGAACTTGTTTGTCTTGGGGAAAAATATATAATAATCAATCAAGCAAAGAAACAAAACGATTTTTTGTTCATGTCCTGTGCCATCTTGTTGCACAACACCACCCAATGTTGCAGATGGATTGGAAAACTCAGTCACATCCTGAAAACCAAAATACCAAATTGTTCCAAACTATCTTCTTTAGATCTCTCAACTCTCAATAATATAAGGTTCCTGTCTAAAACACTTGAACGCGCTGTCTTTAAACAACTCTCCTGTTATCTCCATCAGAACAACCTTCTGGATCCGCACCAGTCTGGTTTCAAGGCAGGTCACTCCACAGAAACTGCCCTCCTTGCTGTCTCTGAGGACCTGCACACTGCTAAAGCAGCCTCCCTCTCCTCTGTCATCATCCTTCTTGACCTGTCTGATGCATTCGACACAGTGAATCATCAGATCCTCCTTCGCACTCTCCAAGAACTTGGAGTTTCAGGCTCTGCACTTTCCCTCCTCACCTCATATCTCAAAGACCGTACCTACAGGGTAACTTGGAGAGGGTCCGAGTCCGACCCTTGTCAATTAACTACAGGGGTCCCTCAGGGCTCTGTTCTTGGTCCCCTCCTCTTCTCCTTGTACACAAACTCGCTCGGATCAGTCATTAGCCCGCATGGTTTTTCATACCACTGCTACGCTGACGACACCCAATTAATTCTGTCCTTTCCCCGCTCAGAGACCCAGGTCGTTGCGCGCATCTCTGCTTGTCTAGCTGACATCTCTCAGTGGATGTCTGCTCACCACCTCAAGCTCAACCTTCACAAGACTGAACTGCTTTTCCTTCCGGGAATAGATTGTCCCACTCTTGACCTGACAATCAACATCGGCACCTCAGTTGTTTCCCCGACTCAGACTGCAAGGAATCTGGGTGTGACCCTAGATAACAACCTGTCCTTCACTGCAAACATCGCTGCTACAACCCGCTGCTGCAGATACACGCTTTACAACATCAGGAAGATGCGTCCCCAGCTGACTCAGAAAGCGACTCAGGTTCTGGTCCAGGCTCTCGTCATCTCACGCCTAGACTACTGCAACTCCCTCCTGGCTGGTCTACCTGCATGTGCCATCCGACCTCTGCAGCTCACCCAGAATGCAGCGGCTCGTCTGGTCTTCAACCTTCCTAAATTTTCCCACACCACTCCGCTCCTCCGCTCCCTTCACTGGCTTCCGGTAACTGCTAGAATCCACTTCAAGACACTGGTACTTGCTTACCATGCTGCGAATGGATCTGGCCCTTCCTACATCCAGGACATGGTTAAACCGTACACCCCAGCAGCGTGCACTCCGCTCTGCATCAGCCAAACAGCTCGCTGCACCCTCGCTGCGAGGGGGACCCAAGTTCCCATCAGCAAAAACACGTGGGTTTGCTATCCTGGCTCCAAGATGGTGGAATGAGCTCCCATTGACATCAGGACAGCAGATAGCTTACACACCTTCCGGCGCAGACTGAAAACTCATCTCTTTCGACTCCACTTTGAGCGATAGAATTACTAACAAAGAATTGCTAACAGAGCACTTATATACTAATAAAGGACTGGCTTATCTAAAGCCAGTTGAGTAGCACTTGAAATGTTTGGCTCTATGAAACCTGATGTACTTATATGATTCTGTTTTCTTCAAGGTTGTATCTTCCTGGTCGAATGTACTTATTGTAAGTCGCTTTGGATAAAAGCTAAATGCAATGTAATGTAATGTGTCACATGTTTGAATTGTATGAGGGGAGGGTTACCCTGGTTAAAGTATGATGGGGTTTTTATTACAATAATAAAAGAGTTATCGCAAATAAAAAAACATCCAGAAGTCAAACAAGAAGCAAGACCTTTGTTTTGATATGATTTTATTAAATAACTTCAAATAAATGTTTAGGAAAAAGCCTTGGACCTGTTTCTGCAGAGCGTCCTCTCTGGTCCTGGAGACAGTGAGAGCATCTTTGGCTCCCTGCAGCTCCTGCAGCTGCTCTTTCAGGTGTTTCACCGTCACCTGCAGGGAAACGTCAGAGTGAAAGCAACACAATACTTTCCAGGACTGTTGAAATTCCTGTTAGTGTGTCAGTACCTCCTGAGTGTGTAGCTGATTGGTCAGCTCAGCCACCCGTGAAGAAGAGTGTTCCAGGGCATAGCCGACCCGCAGCGTGTCCAGAGCCCGGAGCTGCTCCGCCTTCATGGAGCTCAGCTGCTCTGCACCCTGCTGCTTCACCCTGACACACACATGCAGGTCAGATATCAGACCACCCTGCTGCTCTGCACAGTGTCAGTGAGTGTGTGCACACACACCTGCTCAGCTCCTCCTCAGCGAGTTCAGCCTGTGCAGTCAGCCCCTCCCTCTGCAGCTTCAGCTGCTCCACCTGCTGCCTCAGAGCCTCGCTCTCCTGCACCACCTCTGAAATGTGGCAGCCTGTCAGTGTCAACAAGCAGCAACAAGAGAATGTGAGTCATTATTTATCTTTTTTCCCCCGCCACCTTAGGTCTTTTGGGGAGAGGAAACAAATTATACTTTTCTGTATGTGATATGATAGTACTGCAATACTACATGGTACAAGTGTTTGTACGATCTACAAGACTGCTCCTCCAAATACAGGTCTGCTCAAAGATTGCACGTCAACCCTTTGAGAAACTCTATGAATCACCGTACTATAATAGCATATTAACATTGTTCCGGAGCTCACTGAATGTGAATGCTCCATCAAATTGTAGATAAAGGGTCCCATGATTTAATAAAGTTAGACTGAAGCACTCTTGTGCACAGGTCAATCCTCAAATTAGAGACAGAATTAAATCTGAGGTCAAATGTACGTTATATGTACGTTGTAATAGTGTTACATTAATTTTTCCTTGTTTCTTATGCTAAATATTTCTCCTTGTCATGACTTTGATAACACTATTAACCACAATTCCAATGAAGTTGGGATGTTGTGTAAAACGTAAATAAAAACAGAATACAATGATTTGCAATTCCTTTTCGGCCTATATTCAATTGAATACATTATAAAGACAAGATATGTAATGTTCAAACTGAAAAACGTTATATTTTTGTTGCAAATATTGACTCATTCTGAATGTGATGCCACGTTCAATAAAGCTGGGACAGGTTCATGTCACCACTGTGTTACATCACCTTCCTTTTAAAAACACTCAATCAGTGTTTGGAACTGAGGACACTAATTGTTGGAGCTTTGTAGGTGGAATTCTTTCCCATTCTTGCTTGATGTACAACTTCAGTTGCTCCACAGTCCAGGGTCTCCGTTGTTGTATTTGGCACTTCATAATGCGCCCACATGTTCAATAGGAGACAGGTCTGGACCCCCACTCTTTACTACGAAGCCACGCTGTTGTAACACGTACAGAATGTGGCTTGGCATTGTCCTGCTGAAATAAGCAGAGACGTCCTTGCGAAACGTCGCTTGGATGGCAGCATATGTTGCTCCACCGGTTTGTACCTTTCAGCATTAATGGAGCCTTCGCAGGTCTGCGAGTTGCCCATCTCGCTGAACATCACAGATGCTTTTGAACTTTGCGCTGAGTACAATCTGTGTCATGGGTTCAATGTTGGTTTTCAGCCTTGCCGCTTACGTGCAGAGATTTCTCTGGATTCTCTGAATCTTTTCATTACATTATGGGCTGTAGATGATGAAATCCCTTGCAATTGTACGTTGAGAAACGTTGTTCTTAAACTGTTGGAATGTTTGCTCACGCAGAAAAGTGGTGAACCTCGCCTCATCCGCTCATCCTTGCTTTTACCCAAGCATGACACTCACCTGTTTCCAATGAACCTGTTCACCTGTGGAATGTTCCAAACAGGTGTTTTGAGCATTCCTCAACTGTCCCAGTCTTTTGCTGCCCTGTCCCAGCTTTTTAGGGACGTGTTGCAGGCATCACATTCAAAATGAGTCAATATTTGCACAGAAAAATTAAGTGTATCAGTTGGAACATTACATACCTTGTCTTTGTAGTGTACTTACTTGAATATAGGTTGATAACGATTTGCAAATAAAAAAATGTAAGGTCATTTTATTGTTCCTCCTGTCGTAAAGAGATCCTTCCAGATCGTGTGAGATGGGAATCTACTCTACAGTCCATTATCCATCATGAATCCAGCTTACTGACTTATTAGGTTTCAGCAGTATGAATTACACACATTAAATCAGTATCTTCCAATATTAGCCTGTTGATTTGTATTCTCTTTGTTTTAACATAGGGAGGCGTGTGGCGCAGTGGACTAGCGTGTTGATGTTTGGATCAGGGGAGCACAGGTTCAAACCCCACTGCAGTCAGCATGTCGTTGTGTCCCTGAGACACTTCACCCCAAATTGCTCCTGTGGGGATTGCCCACAGTATTGTATTACGTCGCTTTGGATAAAAGCGTCTAACAAGTGACATGTAATGTAATGTAACATTGTAGTCAATGTATGGTTCACAGCCTCTCACACACAGGGTTGAAGAACTCAAGTCTGTTCTCATGGTATGTTTGGTATCAACTAGTTCTTTTCTTGGCCTTCACAGCGTGCTTGAACTCTTCTCCGTTTTGCCATCACTCTCTTCTATTAAACTAAAGGTTTGGTCTTTACAGAGACACAAAGCCCTGATCAGAACCATCAAGAAGTGACATGCAGAGCTCTTTCCCCTATATCTATCAACTAGGGGTGTAACGGTTCACAAACATTTCGGTTCGGTACGTACCTCGGTTTTTTGGTCACGGTTCGGTTCGGTACGTTTTCGGTACAGCAGAATTTTTTTTCACAAAACAAAACATATATATATATATTTGTATTATTATTATTAAACTGTGAATAATGTATTCACTCAAATAAATACAAAATATAATAAAATAAACATTAAGGTGCAGCATTTCGATGAACTGAAATAATCTGTATTTGAACTTTACTGTACTAGTACTCACAAAACATAAACTATTAGTTTTGGGTTTTTAATTATTATTAAACTGTGAATATTCACTCAAATAAATACAAAATATAATAAAATGAACATTAAGGTGCAGCTTTTCGATGAACTGAAATAATCTGTATTTGAACTGTACTGTACTAGCACCTAAGCAGCCAGTTTGACATTAGGACTTGCTTGTCATTGTATTTTCATGTTTTTTTAAAGAAAAATGAACTTGTCCACATTGCTTGCCGAAAGGGCAGATCTGCTGGCACTAACAATGTCTCCTGCTGTGGAGAACATCCTCTCGCTAGGGACAGAGGTAGCAGATACAGCCAGGTAGCGCTTTGCTAACATGGCAACATAAGGATATTTGGTGTTTGTAATAGCTTTGGCTCGGTCTGAACTCTTCTGCGAGTGGTGGAGGCTTACATGCTAGTGGGAGTTGGGTTTGCACTTCAGTCTTTTTTCTTTTGGTACCGGTGATATTCACGTTCGGGTGATGCCTTTTCAAGAGTGTGCAAGTTTGATGTATTGCCAGCCGCGTAACCAATTTTAGTTGAACAATGCCGAAAAACAGCTTTGGTTCAGTCCACCTGTCTTTGTCCGTCATCCTTGTACATAACTGTGAAACCAAAATGTTCCCAAACCGGAGACTTCAATGATGCTGGAGGATTTTCGAGCTCAACTTTATCTGCGTTCGCCATTAATTTTTGACAGTTCCTCAAATTACTGACTACATTTGAACGCATCCCTCTGACCAGCTCTCATAGTATGCCTCTCATCCAATGAAATGACTTGCTCGCTCTATGACGCGTTGAATCCAATGTGAGCAAATTACTCTGAATGCTGCGACGCAGCACCTGAGATTACTTCCAAAAAGTTATTCACGTTCTCAATTTTTTACGTTCAACGTTATATTCGTTCGGTACACTTCGGTACACACCTGTACCGAACCGAAGGGCCCGTACCGAATAATTTCGGTACGGGTACGTGTACCGTTACACCCCTACTATCAACACAACCTAGTCAACTTGTATCCTAAAAAAACTTAAATCCACCTGACTGAAGGCCATGGTATCGATTAGATGTATGAAATCATTTTTAGAAGCTAACAAGCCATTCTGCTGAAACCAGGGAGGTAACAAAAGGAGGCCTATGCACGAGGTATGAGGTAGTGTCCTTACCTTAAATGGTTTGATATAAACCTGTTATTTGGAAATTACTAAAGCAAATATTAGATAAATGTGAAATTGTTATGCAAGAAAAGACTTGGAAAGTGGTGTACCTCACATCGCATTTTAGGTGCATCTGCATTACTTGATATTTGATTTGTGTTTATATATTTGACTCAAGCCCTGGGTATTCCCAGTTGAAGAATGGATATACAGTATTTGCATCACATCAGTTTTTTGTCAGTCTGGTTTTGTTTTTGGATATCGTGACGTATACAACATATTATTCCTGTAAGCATGCAGATGGAAGAGGATGAAGGGCAGGTCTGTACCTGTGAACACAGTGGGCTGGTAGGTCTTCTCATACTGAGCAGCTGGAAAGGTTTCCCCCCCACCGGTCTCCCCCCCAGCAGCAGAACTGAGGCTTTTAGCTGCGGGTCGTTTGCTCTCTGCTGGGGGGGGGGCAGACAGCATGCGGCTCCTCTCCCTCTGCAGCCGGTCCACAGTGCGGCTCAGCTCCTGGACGCTCTGGGTCTTCAGGGCCAGGTCTTTGTTCAGACGCTCGATCCGGAGCCCAGAGGCTGCCTCGGCCTGGCGCTGGTGCCGCCCCGGACTGGGCTGAGGCTGCAGAGGAATTCAGTTACATTGAGTTTTTTCAATTAGCACTTTAAACGGTGAAGGCACTTGCAATGGATGCGTTGGGATGAAATGTAAACCGTTGGTGTTTAATTTTTCCTATTTACTTAACATGCTGTTGGCCTTTTAAATGTTTTTTCATATCAGAACAAGGGGTTCTTTCATATAATCGGACCACACATAACATAGAAGGTGTCATACTTTCTTCGCAGGAAATATTTATGATAACTACTTACAATGGATTATGGGTGTTTTATTTAAACGTATAGCATCTGTGATCTTTCATTTGTAAATGTTAATGAGTTTTCTGACTAACTTTGACATACAGTCTGTGCAGTGGCGAGCCGTGACTTTTATACCTAGGCCCTCTGACCCTCCCCCCCTTCCCTCGAAAAAAATAAAAAGGAAGAAACCCATTGCTTTTGTGTCGAGGGAACCCGAGTGCAGCTTACTTCCGGGTTTTAGGATGCGTCACTGCACCACTTGCATAGACTTCACAGCGGGCGGAACTTGTCATAAAGTCCGCGAAAATAAAGCCCGCCCATTTAGAGGAAAGATATGATTGGTCAATTGTACTGTCATTTGACATTACTCTCTTGTGGAGTTACTGTAGCCCTCTGTGAATTTACAGCAGGACAGTAACTCGCAGAGAGGGCCAGACGAGCTTCTTTCATTTAACCAGTGGCGGCGCCAGGGTATGGCTGGGGTAGGCTACAGCCATACCAAGAAATGGCTTAGCCCCACCTTAGCCCCACCATGAAAAATGATGTTAAAGTAAGCCAAATAAAGTCCGCCAACTCGCGCAGAGTAAATTGCACAGACAGCAGTTAGTAAGATTGATTTCAGTAGCCACTCTGGAAATACCGAAGACTATAAACGGTTTGAAAACTTTTGTCACGTAGTGATCGTCTTCTCAATATAGTGGCGAAGTCCCTCCCCTTCCGGTGGACCTCCATGGGACCTTATTTCGAAAAAATGATGTATTGAAGTCAATGGAGAGACAAAGATTATCTTTCGATCCCGTTTGAATTGTGCCACGAATTACACATATGATGTTTATCAATTTAAAAGATAATTTTGCCAGTCAAAAAAAAAAAAATGTGTCGTAAAACTGTGAAGTAACACATTTGTTTGTGTGAAACGCTCAATGAACTACATCTCTGGTCTCGCAGAACAACACACGTCACCAAGATGGCCGTCACTACTGTCTTGTCAACAAAAGGATTGACTACCCTCACTATCACCACAATGAAACACGTCCAGAAGAATGTCATGCAAAGCTGCCTGCCTTCCTTTGATTCTCTCTGAACTACCTGGTCTTTTTAATGTTTAATGTCAACCATTTGTGCAGATAGCGTGAAGTAGAAAAGATCGGCGATCGCCGATGCTAGCGTTAGTGTTAGCATTTATCCCCCGGGCTTAAATTGTGTATTATAGAATGATCACACCGGTGACAGTACTCTTCAAAGGGTTCACGAAATATGACTACTACTCTTACTGTTTAACATTTTGGGTTACTTCAAGTTACTTCATGTTAAGGCTAATAAAAATGACAAGGCTGTAATGCTAACTAACGTGCTAGCTACTAGCTAGGTAGCTAACTTGATCCAGACACTCCTGGTCCTTTCATCAGACGGGAAGCGAAAGAACGAGCAAGACCCATTGCTGGTATGATAACAACCTGGTACTAAGCACACAGGCATCTTGTTAAAGTTATCTTATCTTAGCCAGCGCCATATAGATAGATTATATCTATATGGCGATGATCTTAGCTATCTCTTAGTGGAGGAAAGCGATTGTGACATCACTTACGAGACTCTGGGATTTGTAGTCTTTCTAGTTGCATATTTTTCATAGTCTTATATTTCAACAGTTTTACGACAAACTGTGACTTTTTTGACATGGAAATTATTTGTTAAGATTCACATCATATGTGTAATTCATGGCACAATTCAAACGGGATCAAAAGATACGTTTTCTCTCTCCATTGACTTCAATACATAATTTTTCCGAAATAAGGTCCCATGGACCGGAAGTAGATGGGCATGACTTCGCCACTCTATTGAACATCTTTGATGATGTCTTCTGGCCAATCAGAATCACGATAACGGCGTGATGTTGTTGCAGGAAGTCCCGATACATCGATACAACATTACGTGTTGATAGAAATCAACCGGTTCAGCTTTCAGAACAAAGTAACAAAAAACTAAAATGGCATTCATTTAAATATGTCGTGGAGTAATAGATTTATTTATTTTCTTCTCAAGAGAGTTCCAGAATGTGTATTTTATGTTAGTATTTAAAAAAATCTCCTGGGGGAGAATTCCGCCAGACCCCCCTGCAGGGGTTGGGTTTTCAGCATGTCAACTCTTTCTTTTAAATACAATTAAATGAAGTTATTTTGGTAAAACTAATGAAAAATATAACTAAAAAAATATTGAAAAAAAAAACATTGACGGCTCGCCACTGAGTCTGTGATTCTCCATCAACTTTCTCTCCTCTGATCTTAACTAAAGTCCAAAATATTCAACATTTTTGACTTTCTATACTCAAAAGTAGTTTCAGTATAATTTTGTGTATATTAGGTCATGACAATAAATTCCAAAAAGAAGAAGGATGATGTTGGACATTGTTGGGAAGACGATACAAAGGTTAACATTTAATTCAACTTTTTCTTCCAAACAAAACAAAGATCTTGGGTAGATAATAATAAATATGAGACTACATTTAAATGATACCCTTTTAACAAAAAATAAATCAGGTTCATAAACAGCTACTACTCATTGTTCTATTCAACATGTCCAGTGTTTCTAGCCTACCTTGTGTTTGAGCTGCTGCTGCAGGGACTCTATCTGCTCCTGGAGAGACTTCACTCCCTCCTGATGGCTCTGCTTCACCTGCTGCAGCTCTGTCTGCAGGGTTTGAACCTGAGACCTCCACAGCTCCGCCCCCTCTGCTGACTCTCCACTGTCCAGCTGCAGTTTGGGTTCCAGCTGCTGCTCCAGCTGTGAGATCTGCTGCTCATAGCGCAGCTGAGATGGAGAACAAACATGCGTGTAGAAACTCATAGAGACTCAAGCTTGTGAGAGTTTGTGAGTAATGAGCTCAGGAAAGATAAATGAGACTCTGAATACACTGCACCAGTTACGTGAGAGTTTGTAAAAGGCAACTCTAGACATGGACCCAATTAATTCAAGACATTTTTCAGTATTTGGATTGCTTATAACCCTGGAGACATGTGAGAAAAACTTTTCTTCAAGAATTCAAGGTAACACACGGTGAGTTATTGTAATATAAATAATCATTCTTGGATGAAGTATTCATTTAAGTTAAAGTTTGATAAAAAAAAAAGGCCAGGTTATAAAATTGTTAAAGGAATGGTATGCTCATGACACTCATTTTTAAATAATTATCATCCGAGCAGCGGGAGCGGTACTGCAGTCGCTTTACCGCACCGTTGTGACGAAAAGGGAGCTGAGCCAGAAGGCAAAGCTCTCTGTCTACCGGGCCATTTTCGTTCCTACCCTCACCTATGGTCATGAAGGATGGGTCATGACCGAAAGAACGAGATCGCGGATACAAGCGGCCGAGATGGGTTTTCTCCGCAGGGTGGCTGGTGTCTCCCTTAGGGATAAGGTGAGAAGTTCGGTCATCAGGGAGGGACTCGGAGTTGAGCCGCTCCTCCTTCGCGTCGAAAGGAGCCAGTTGAGGTGGTTCGGGCACCTAGTTAGGATGCCACCTGGGCGCCTCCCTAGGGAGGTGTTCCAGGCACGTCCAGCTGGGAAGAGACCAAGGGGTAGACCTAGGACCAGGTGGAGGGATTATATCTCTTCGCTGGCCTGGGAGCGCCTTGGGATCCCCCAGTCAGAGCTGGTTGATGTCGCCAGGGAAAAGAAAGTTTGGGGCTCTCTGCTGGAACTGCTACCCCCGCGACCCGACCACGGATAAGCGGGAGAAGATGGATGGATGGATGGATCATCCGATAAAACAGACCAGTCTCTGCCAGTCTTTTTGTTGTTGTTTTAATCCGATGACATTATCAGTGATTTTAAACTGATTAATTACCGAAATAACATCAACACTGTGGGCGGCGCCATTTTACCGGACGTGACGTAAACCATGCGTTTGGTTTCGAGGACACGTTGATGTTCATGTTATTTACTGTAGTTACTCTCTTCAAATATGCCTCATTGTATCGCGAAACATTGCCACAATTCTGATAGGAACAATCCACGGAATGCTCGGTTCCATCTGTTGCCAAAAGGTAAGCGTAGGAAGTACGTTTGGAGGCAGTGGCTAGCGAAATGTGGCCGGCCCGAACCGAAAGATCCACAGGCGCATGTATGCAGCGAACATTTCATGTTTCCGGACGACTACTCTGAGAGTATGATGAAACATAACATGGGATTTATTGAACAACCATTACTTAATGGAGATGAAGTACCATCGGTCTTTCTGGTGTCATCACCGACCAGGACACCAGTTCGGCCAGTTGAGAAATCGCCCTCTGCAAGTGTGAAGTGACGGAGGACCAGAAGTAGTGCTCGGAGTAAGAATAAGGTATGTTATGGCGCATTTCTATTGCGTTTAAACGTCCTTTATCGTCCAGGCCAGGCCAGTTTTTGGTGGCCTTTCCATATAGCGTGGTACCGGCTAGTGGGTATTTTCCCCCAGTTTTTCCGGCCCCATAAAATCGTGGTTCTAGGTACACCATTCATGTACAGGTCTTCCTACTCGCCTCCCGAAATCAATTGCACGAGTAAAGGGATCGTCTCCAGCAAGATCACCGTGCTGTTCATCCTCATCGTCACTGTCCCTGTCCCTGGATTCCTGACGGTTCTGACTACTTGGCTCGAACCTGTATGGCTGAATTCCCCCATCCAATCTCTTCATATTGCTCAAAACTTCTTCCTCGGCTGACGAGTCCGAACTCAAATACTCCGCCATGTTTTCGTGTGTTTACAAAGTGAACGCATGGATGACGTCACGACCATCACGTGACTACTGAAAATGGCCAAAATGGCAGCGGCCTGACGGAATATACAGGTTTTGATAAAAAAGAGCTATAAAATCATTATTTACCGGGGAATATCGCTGATTTCTTCAGGGTATGGTTTAAACATAATGTTTCACTAAATACTGAAGTTTTGATTAATTATCTGATGAGTGGAGCATTCCTTTAAAAACTCAGTGATATTCATTGAGCAAAGGATGCATGTTTGCAGTGTAAAATAATTAGCTATATAAAAATACTAATACCAATTCTTATAATAATAATATCTGTCATTTTGACGCTGAAAGGTCAGTCTATCAAATGGCAGTTGACTGATTCACCTTGATCCTGAGGAACTGCTGCTCCATGGCCCTCAGGCTGCGTTTGGCCCCCTCATCGTGGCCCTCCAGCTCGGCCTCAAGGCGCTGGATCCTGCGCTCCTGCAGAGCACTGATTCTGCTGGGGGGGGACGTCCCATTAGCCCCCTCTTCTGCCCCTCCAGCTGTGGCTGCAGCGTAGATCAGAGCCGGCAGGGAGTTTGGGTTTCTACGCCTCAGTATCTGCTCCAGCTCCTTCACCTGGGAAACACAGAACAACACTTAATAACTAGAGAATGCAATTCCTGAAGAAATTGCTAGTGGGAATGCTTTATGCTGAAAAGCTGAGCTGAATTGCTATGCTGAAATGTAATGTGTCAGAAGAAAGTGAAGAATTTAGATTGAAATGATACATGAACACTGGGGGCTTGAATGTGTGATGAGAGAAGAAAAGAAAGTAAAAAGGCTTGGAAAAGCAGCAGAATATTTGAACTGCAAACTTTTGAACTAACTTGATGGCGAATGATATGTTGCCATGGCAACAGCATTTGATGACACCCCATAATACGCTTAGATGTGTTGATGGCTGCATCGTTACCAAACCTGTGAAGTTTTGGGCCATTTCGAGTATTTTAACTGAAGTTGTGAGAAAACCGTGTTTCATAGTGAGCATTGTGTTTCCAAGGCAACGGCATTTGAAGAAATCTTAAAACTGTCAAATAGATGTCTTCACGGCTGGACTGTTAGCACACATGTGAAGTTTGAGCACTTTTTGACCAATTTCATAGGAGTTATAGCAATATCGTGTTTTACGGCGAGGGATGCGTTGCCATGGCAACAGCTTTTGAGGAAAACTCACTAATGTCACATAGACATTATCTGAAGTCTGCTGCTCTGAGCATGTCAGTTGGAGTTATGACATCATCGTGTTCCATGACAGGTGTTTATATTTGAGCTAAGACGTATGCAGAGATCAAAGGTTTCCATGGTGATGTGCAATAATCAGTGAGAGGAGAGCCTTTGCATTGTTCTGAATGAGAGATAAACCTCTTACATGTGAACGTTTTGTTGAAGAACCGTAACAGATATCGGTGAAATTACAAAGCGTGAAGCATCTCAAGGACCTTGAGCATCTGAAGTGTACTTTTTGTGTACTTTCGGGTTAATAATGTGGCCTTTTTGGCAGATTAACTAAAGGTGTGCGGCTGCTGTGGTGGGGAAAGGTGAGGCTGAACTTACAATGGGGTTTAATGGAGACATGTTGAAAGTTGTTGTCACTTCATGCCCTCAAGAGACATTTTGTTAAAATGTTTTGCTTGATTTTTTTTCAAGCTACGAGATGTTTTCCTACGTTTCTCATGAAAAATTATGTCTCAGGAATGTAGGGTTTGGGAATTATGGCAGTTTAAAAAAAAAAAAATACAAAGGCAAATTTCAAGATTTCCTACACTCTAACTCTGACATCACACACTCTGCCTTAACGAGCTGCGCAATACACACTAATGTTAAAATCTGAAGAAGGCCTCTTTACCAAGGTCTGAACAATGTTTAATATTTCTAAAAGTATGAATCAGATTTAAAAGTTGTTTAATATGAATAATGTCAGAAACATGTGTAACATTTTAAAGTTGGAATGAGGTTTCTAACCCTAACTCTATCCCTAACACCAGTGAAAGTATGAAGGAACAGTTAGCAGTTGAAGTCGCATGAAGATTGTTGAAGTCTGAAGAATTTCTCCATTGACTTCCATGTTAAAAATGTGATGAATTATTATCTCTGGAATTATGAAAGTTATGAATGAGAAAAGTAATAGCAATCGATTCCCAACCGAGCTGAACGTTTTGACGGAGTTTCTGCGATGTGGAATGTGGGAGAAGAAGAGGTACAGAGGGCGGGGGGGTAGTTTGTGTGTGTTTGTGAGAGAAACCTGTCGCTGCAGGTCCTGCATCCTCTTAGTTTCCACTACTTTCTCTTTGGTCTTTGTCTGCGCCTCGCTGCTTCTTTTGCCCACATCACTCTTCAGTTTTTCTACCTGGAATGAAGAAAAGCTGTTAATTCAACACAGTGCACAACATTAAAGTGTGGAGCTGGAACTGGCTTTCTGTACACATTCCATCCCTCATCGCAGCTGATCCTCAACAACTCAGTTCCTTTGGAAGCTGCTGCCCTCACACAGCAGGCACACTGAACATGAAATGGAAATATAGGACTTGAGATGAATTCCTTCTTAATAGTCAGACATACATACATGCACACAGCACCGCACAGTGAAATGTAGTCTATGCATTTCACAACTCCTTGCATTAGCAGCAGTAGGCAGCTGTTTTACAGAGCACAGGGAGCAGCCTGGGGGTCTAGTGCCATGCTGGGGGTCACTTGGCATCTCTTAAAGTCTAATCTTTGTACGTTCAGATGCTTTTATCCAAAGGCACTTATAATAATAATAATAATCCTTATATTTATTATAGCGCTTTATCAATGACTCTCAAAGCGCTTTACAAATACACATTACACATACAGATCATACATGTAATGGTCATCTACTGTGGACAATACCCACAGGAGCAAATTCGGGTGAAGTGTCTTGCCCAAGGACACAACGGCCTGACGCAGTGGGGCGGGAGCGGGTTTCGAACTGGGGTTCCCCAACGCCCCCTTGATCTGATGATCAAACGCACAGACCACTGCGCCACCCGTCCCATGACCTTCATCACTGAGAGAGATTAGGCAATAAAGTGTCTACTGTGGTAAGACACCTCACACTGTGCATGTGCTGTGCTTGAGAACACATTTTTCATGCTGAAATGATGCCACAAGGCAGTAAACATATGACCATTAAAGGGCAATCTCAGCACAAAATGAAAAACATTTGGTTCAGTGATTGTTTGTGTATTGTATGTCTTTGTAAAGATCAGTGTACAGTGGAGGTGAAGGAGCCCACCTGCTCTTTGAGTTGGTGAATCTGAGTGGTAGCAGCCTTCAGTCTGCCAGCGTCTCGATCCAGCAGCTCCTGGTTTTCTGCAAACCACTGCAGCTTTTTGCTCAGGGACGACATCTCCTCTCTGTGCTTCTCCTCCAACACGCGCATATCAAAGGGCTTATCACCTGTCACAATGGATACAGATGTGAGTAAAACCAAACATCACTTATAGATTTAATGTGTTCAAGTCTTATGTTCTACCACTAGCAGTTTTACCTGAGGCAGACACGGCCTGAGCTTTAGCGAGGTCCCTCTCTTTCTTCATCAGCTGCAGGTCCACCTCCAGAGCCTGCTTCTCCTGCTTCACTCTGCGGACATCCTCGCACAGTGTGTCTTCATTCCTCTACACACACACACACACACACACACACACACACACACACACACACACACACACACACACACACACACACACACACACACACACACACACACACACACACACACACACACACACACACACACCACACACACACACACACACACACACACACACACACACACACACACACACACACACACACACACACACACACACACACACACACACACACACACACACACACACACACACACACACACACACACACACACACACACACACACACACACACACACACACACACACACACACACACACACACACACACACACACACACACACACACACACACACACACACACACACACACACACACACACACACACACACACACACACACACACACACCTGAAGGAGCTGAACCACAGCTTAAGAAATAACATTTCAGTGGTTGTGGTATTTACCTGAAATGTATTATTTTGAGCTAACAAGTCAGTAATGCGCTGAGTGTGATCCATCAAACACACATTTCCAACAGTCCTGGAGGTATTTTTCATCTCCTCCCTGGTGAAGTGGTGGAATATGGAGAAAACAAACATTTAACATCATGTTTTTTGCACAAGCAATATTCAGAGTTAGGATAGACACACATTAAGTCGGGCATCACCAAGACGCTGACCTATACGGACCCGTATAGGTCCTTCTGCTTCTGTTCTAACCGGCGCAGAGAGGGGGCGCCAGAGAGTGAAAACAGAGCTTTCAAACCAGAATGGACGGACTCATGCATGTTCCTCCTGCCCACTGGGAGCACAGATCCAGTGTGTGTCATACGCTCAGAGACCGTGGAGCTCATTACATATCTACTGTTTGTGTAAAGCTTCAATAATAAGTGACAATAAATATTGTCTAAATGTTTTTTTAATTGTACTTTCTTTATTTGATTCTTCAGTCAGTTGTTGATTACATGCAGACGTTGATTACAGCTACTACGCTACTTCAATATTTATCACACTAATTCATAACGCAAGTTAGACATTATGTTGTTTTTGAGGAAATGTTCTCGAACTGGACCTCGCTGAATTGAAATTGAATACCCCTGCATTAAGTGAACCCACCTAGTGAAGGCCAGCTCGTTGAGCAGCCTCTGGTTTTCATTGAACATGGCCTCCTCGTTGGATTTACTCTGCGCCTGCTGAGCCTTCATCTGCAGGTACAGCTTCTCATTCTCCTGTAAAACACTCTGTTTTACTGCGGTTTATTGGCACAAATGATCAAAACACAGGAGGAAAAGAAAGAAAACAAAAGCGAAACAATTTTAGATCAAATTGAGACATGGGAGATATTTTTTACTAATTGATGATTTAAGTTTAATGAGCTGGCACAACGGAGACTTGGGCCCCGGCCACACGAGGACGAAAACGGTCGTTTGCGTTATTGTTTAGTGTCATATAGACCGTTCGGCCACACGAGGACGACCGAATACGGCACTAAACGACTGCGGAAACGATAACAGGTCCCAAGGTGGATAGAACGGCATACGCAACGCTCTGGGGGGTCCAACAGCTCCGTGCTATACGATCATTTTCTGATAATGATGAGGCAATAGCCCCGCCTCTCCCCACCTCTGCTGCTGTAGTGGACATTTGTATTATATCCTTATATGCTTAAACCAAATGCTTCTCAACCCATTGTAAAACACCTATATCATTTCCTTAGATGTGCTGTTTTCTTCTTATACTCCACTGTGGGTTTATTCCCAAGCACTTCAAGGCCACACTTCAAGGCCACAGAGCTGATTTGGCTACTAGGTTGAGACTCACACAAAGTCACACAAGAACCGTTATACTATCTACAGCTCAAGGACAGGTGTCTAATAACAATATGACCGTGTGAAGACAGATTTCTGAACTTCCCACTCCTTCTTGTATATAAGCTTTGCTTTCCTATTATATCTGCGCACACTCACGCAGACTATTCTATACTCTGTGAGACCTGTGTCTATTTTATTGTATCTTGTGTATTTGAAGCTTCAAATAAATAACCAGAAAGACAACTGTCTGATTCACCATTTATTTGTTTTGATCACTCTGACTTGTACTCTCCACAGTGTTGGGTCTCAAATTTCCATAACACTGCTCACCCTCACGTCAAAGTAAACTGCACACTGAATTCAGATTATTTATCTTTCTCTCGATATGGACCTAAACGCGAGTGAAGTCTAATCTGACAGGACGGAGACACCTCTCAAACTACCTAAACTAGTTATAAATATGTTTATTTTTACTGTCGGCCGGGTCACTCATTACTGGATCAGCTGCTGCATGAAACATACACTGGCGCTGTCCGAAGAGAGGGAGGAAAAAGAGAGGCTCCGTGTATTTTATTATTATATAGATTCGTTATTCATTTGTTTTAAAGCTCAATAAATAACTAAAGAAGACCTTTGACCGGCACTTTTATAATTTTGTCGGAAGATTTAAACTTTAATACACGTTGACTGGCGAAAAACTCTGCCCGGTTCCCTCGGCCCCCACCGCGGAGAATAAACAGAAGGGCAACCATGACAACCATGCTTCTTCGCTGCTTTTGTGGAGGAAGTTACAGCGCCACGTACAGGCTCCTGCATATGTACTGCAGCTTCTCCAGCGGTTGGAGCTAAACGGAGCTGTCTCGTGTGGACAGACACTATCCGGTGAATATTGCGTGTGGACGGAAGCTTTTTTGCGATTGCGTTTGCGTTAATCCTATGCGTTTAGCCGTTTTCGTCCTCGTGTGGCGTGCCTTGGAGAGCTAAAGTCTAGCTCAAATGTTCTACCTACTAAATCCCTTTCTTCTCACATCACTACATCCTGCAGCATGTAGCAGAACATATAGATTATGAGATTGGGTTCATTTGTATCAATGAAATGTGGAGCAGTGCCTTATGAGATATAGAGGAATACATGCCAGTGACAATACTCAAATATTTTAGTGATTTTGGACCTTTGATTAAACGTTGAATAATTTTTGAGTGGGAAGTAAGATGATGTGAAATTCTCTTACTGCAATCTGGATTTTATGTCATCCTCTCACAGGAAATGTAGCAAGACTCGGCACCAACGCACTGTTGTTTCGGTCCAGAACCTTTTTTATTTATTACGTTTTACAGAGAGAAAAATCAGTCCTGTCCCAAGTTCCTTAAGCTTAATTTGAACGAGACCAGAGTCCTCAATGTCCCATGCTGTTAGGGAGCAGCAGCTGAGGGTCCTCCCATCAGTGAAAATGGACTCCCACAAAGGGAAGGATATCTCATAATTACAACCGGTACAATTTAATATAGGATCTTAATGTAGATTTGAGACTATGTTCAATTAAAGTAATTCGTTTTTTTTACTTAATGAAAGGTACACTATGTATAGAGATATGTTTACAATTATAGGTTGCATTTTTACTAGACTCAGTAACGTACTGTAATAGAACAAAAAATGGCCAGGAAAATAGTAGACCCAAAGGAGGAGAGGATTAGGCTCCAGCCAGACAGAGATACCTACCGACTTACTTCCATTTACATATAGAATACAATATTTAAAACACACAGTGGCTTGCCAATGCTCTCTTCCTATCCAGAAACAGAGTTGATGAAATGAACATTAGAGGGGGAGGCACAAACAGATAAAGACATTCTGGGATGAGTGTTGATGGAAACAAACCTGCTGATATCCTTTGATGAGCGTCTCCTGCTCTTTCATTTCTCTGTCAAGCTGTTGGAGCTTTTCCCCAGAGGCAGAGTCAGAGGCCTCCGCTCGTTTCTTCTTCTGACCTTCGTCTTCTGCACTTCGCAGCTAAGGAGAGAAAGTAACAGCTTACTAACTGCCCATATATTTTTCACTAATTTTTGCATCGAATAACAATTTTAAGATTGATCATTGGCAAATCTGAATTAGTTTGATCCACCTTCATTAGAGCGACACAGTGTGTCAGTATCTGCTCCAGTGTGTGTGTGTGTTCACCTTGCTCTGCAGGAGGTAGTTCTGCTGCTTCAGTGAGGTGATCTCCTCTGCTCCTTCCTTCATCAGCTGCAGCTTCCTCTCTTTCTGAGCCAGCTGCATCTTCAGCTCCTCCTCCCTCTGTGAGACAAACAACAACACTCACATCAGAGACATCCCATGTTCAAACTCTGACACTGATCCTTTGTGTATGGCTTCTCCTAACAGTGATTATACCTTAGAACCAAGGATCACAGCAAGGTGATTTAAAAACAACTGAAATTACACATTTTGGTCCCAAAAGTCGTATAACAATCGGGCCATGCTGCTGTAGTATCTCACAGTGCTCCTCCATCATTACTCTACTTACTGTAGATCCCCATCTAGTGAGCAGATCTTATCATGCTGCTGAGCATGCTCTGTTCTACAGTTGTTGTTGTTTTTTCGCCCTCATCAAAATAGTCATGTGTAAATGAAGTATTTCCCTACGTTTTTGTTTGGAAGATGATGTGTCAGTCCGGTTTCTTGAGGACTTCTGACTTCCTGTGTGTGTGTAGCCTCTTGGTGACTGCCAGTGTGTATCTGCTGCTGGAGGACGGCCACCAAGGACTGAACAGAGGCTACTAACTCACTGCTCACCCTCACACCAGGATCTGCTAAACAAACAAGGAAGAAAGTGATCAGGACCATTTTATCAGGCACACAGCTCCACACCACCATCCTTCATTATATCTATATATGAAACATATTATAGAAGTATCAACAATCATCTTGAGTTATGCGAGCAGTTTAATTACTTATTTTGTGTGTTGGTGCCTCTAATAACCTGTGTGGTCGTCTTTTAGTTGGTTCTTTGAGGATTTGGCTTTTTCTTGCGGACGCTGCAGAGGACGGGGGACAGAGGTCTGGGTTTTGGCTGCAGCTCTGCAGGCCCCCCCCCCTGTCCTCCCCTCCACCCTCCTGCCTCTCACAGGAGCCACAGCGAGCTTCCTCACTGAAGATGTAGAGGAAAGAGAAACAATGGAGCCATGGGACGCCTGGAAAAAAATATCCAGAATTATCCAAAATGACTTAATAGTTCATCATAAAAGGTTCCCATGACAGTGTGGTGGAAGAGCGCTCTGGTTCAAAAAATCGGTTTTTGCTAAATATTAGCTCGCTGAAAAGTTGCTGAAAGCTTTGGATTTTGAGGAAATCATTATCATTAGGATACCCTTTGACTATTTGTGACTTTACATTTCCCTTAGAGTGTTTCTGAATAAGCTGTTAAATCTGTATTATTTTGATCATTTTATATTATTTGGCTTTTAATTGAATTGTATTTATTCTCTTTTTTTCAGTCCTATGTTTATTGACTTTATTTGATGTATTTTTATCGATCAAGTTTTGCCAAACAATTTATTTAATACCTGGGTAGGGAGGTGTTATTTATTGGCATTGTTGGTTTGTGAAGCACTTTGTGTAACCCTTTGTGTATGGAAAGTGCTATATAAATAAAGTTTGATTGGTCGAGGGATTGAGTTAATACCATACAGAGCAGGAATGTGGCAGCGCATCACCAAACACCCTTATGTTTCAAATGTTTGATAAGGCTGTCCTGATCACTACAAATATGTAAATGGAGGGAGATGAAGCCTTGATTTGGCTCTATCGGATCTGATCTCACTACTGCTTCATGTGTTCTGTCCAGTGTTGTGTGTAACGCGTTACTGTAATCACATTACATTTTTCGGTAATGCAGTAATGTAACGCGTTACTGTTATAAATTCAGTAATCACACTATAGTTATTAACATTGCGCGAAAAAATTACTAGATTCTCTCCTTTGACAGACTAGACTCTAGTAGTTACTATATTATTCAGAAGTTCACAGTAACTTTGATAAAAACACGGGAATAATAAACGGAGCCTCTCTCTCCCTCTCCTGACAGCCCGTCTGTATCATGCAGCTCGCTGATCCAGTGAATGAGTGACCCTGACACGAAAGTAAATAATAAACATATTTATAACTAGTTTAGCTAGTTCCAGGGGTAGATACGATTGGTAAATGTAATAGGTCTAACTTTGAACAATTTTAAATATTTCTAGTCACTAGAGGGATTTCCACCGCAGGTTTATATTTGCAACATTCACGTCCACATGCAACTGTCACAGGGGTTGTGCTGCTGTGCAGAGACAGAGTCATCAACAGCTATAACTTTTGAGGGGCGGAAGTATGCCCATTATGTTGAATTTGTCAGAGGAAAGGACAGAAATGTGACAGTAAGGTGCAAACTGTGTCCAGGCTAGAACCTCTCAAGCACCTGCAAAGGCAACATGCTAACACGAAGCTAGTAGCTAAAGACCCCCGAACCCAGAGTGATGATGTTGAGTGTGTGCCGACTCCGAACAAACAGCAAAAACTAGAATTTCCCCCGTTATTAACTTGTGTTATGTCTTCCTTATTGCTATAGTAATTGATGTGTGCACATGTAGGCCCACGTTTTATGTTTTGGCTATAGGCTGTTGCTGAGTAACGCAAAAGTAATGTAAAGAGTAATGGAACGAGTTACTTTATGTAGAGTATTATGTAGAGTATTACTGTTTTTAAAGTAATAACTAATGTGTAATACATTACTTTTTTTGAGTAACGACCCCATCACTGGTTCTGTCTGATGCTGAAATAAAGAAAAAGTGAGTTTTAGTTCCTCACCTGTTGATTCTTAGCTCTACCGCCCCGAGAGGACGTGTCAGCAGAATATTTGTTCTCATCCTGAATCAGCCTCTCTACTTCCTGTCTGATGCTCCACGTCTTGTTGGGGGGGTCTGGAGAGCTGGACAGGAGGCTAGCCAATCCTGTGCCTCCATTTATCTCTGGAACAGGGTCAGTCTGTCCTTGTCTCTTGAGTAGGGACTCTGGAGAAGTCGTTTAGAAAGGAGCAGGATGTCTGCTCTTGTATGAATCCCACAGCACTGGGTTCATTAGAAGGAAAGAGAAAACAAGATCAAAACTGCTTTAAAACATTTGATGTTACTGTAATTCAAATCTATGAACCTGTAATGAACTTAACCAAGGTTTGGAGGTTGGAGGAAAGCAGCAAACATTTTTATGGTACAATGTTGGATATTCCTAGGTTGAATAAAAGACTGAACAAACAGATAGACAATACATATTAGGGGTAATTGCATGTTAAGCACAAACATTCACACAGGCTGGTGGTACATAGACAAACATCTTTCTCTGGTAGGCATTAGCTCAGCTCATAATTCAGTCTTGACATAATTACAATATTATTTATATAAATACTCTTCCATTATTAGTTAACTAAACTAGTTATCTTAAAAGGCAAATTGTTTCATAATGACTTTTCATCTTGAAATGTTGTACGAATATGAATTACTTTATTGTGAATTTTGAAGTAGAGTGGTCGTAGAAATTACTTTTTTTTGGTAGTCCGACCACAGAAGTAATTTTTGCAAAAATATCAATGGGATTTTTCCATTTGATTTTGGAATATTTACGAAAATAAGACCTGTAAAGCAGCAGGATAATCTTCACATATTAACACCACTTCATAATTTCTGGAGTAAAATGCTAATGTTTGGCTATAAAGAATACAGCACGCAAGATAATCAGAACGGTGGGTTACGTATTGTAACCCTAGTTATATAAGCACAGGCTCCGCCCTCTACTGGACTCTATGGGTACTACCTCTCAACCATACTATGCGAGCATTCATCAACTGAGATATTTATAACCGTAGCCGGCTCCCTGGGGCGGGCCTACCTGAATGCGCGCGCAAGCGCAAATAAGGCGCAAATGAGGCGCAAATGAGGCACAAATAAGGCGCAAATAAGGCGGCCTCGCCTCCTGGCTGTCATCCTACACTTCTCTTCAGCGAGCAGCATAGGACAGACAGGGCCCCGAGTAGAGGGCTCCGCCTGTGCTTATATAACTAGGGTTACAATACGTAACCCACTGTTATATCTCACACAGGCTCCGCCCTCTACTGGACTCTATGGGTACAGTGGGTGGAGCCCTGATGCGTAAACGCCCTGTCGTCCAACAACATCGAGTCACCACACTGCCCTGACCGGCTTTTTTTGGTTAACAGCCACTGCACCGCAACCCCCTCTCCTCCGGTTGTGACCGGGGAGAAGTGGGGGCCGCAGTTTACCTGGCTGGTAGGGCACACTCAGACATTCTTACCTCGTGAATAGTGCATCATCATGTCCAAGGGGGGGGGGGGGGATCAGATACCTGCTGACTCCAGCCCTGCAAGGGGCCTACAGTGCACCATGTTTCCCAGGTCCCTAAGGAGCATGGGGAGAACGTAAGTGCACCATGTCCAGGGGGGGGACGCACAGCCCCCCCACCCCACTCACCAGTCCTGTGTTACGAAGGTCAGCCGCACTGGACGAGCCGGGCCGTAGAAGCCCTGACGGAGGTGGCTCACCGGCCTCGGTGGCAGCGGCGGGGGGAGCGGTAAGCCTACACGCTCGTGGTGTCGTCGTCTTCCTCCTCCACGGGCGGAGCCGCCCGGCCCGCTGGCATGGCGAACACGAAGGCCTCGACATCCTACTCTTCCATCTCCACCACCTCAAGGTCCCGGTCCTCCGCCTCTTCCGGCGAGACATACTGGAAATGCTCCAGACGCAGGCCGCGGCTGAGTCCCGGGATCAGGCGGCAGGCGTTACAGGCCGGGGACTGGATCAGGCCGGCCGCCGCATGGTCAGGTAGGCCCGCCCCAGGGGGCTTGCTACGGTTATAAATATCTCAGTTGATGAATGCTCGCATAGTATGGTTGAGAGGTAGTACCCATAGAGTCCAGTAAGGCAAGGCAAGGCAAGTTTATTAATATAGCACTTTTCAACACAAGGCAATTCAAAGTGCTTTACAAAAAATGAAAGACATTAAGAAAATGGCATTTAAAATCAGTCATTAAAAAGAAAAGCTAATAAAATAAACATTAAAAGAAAAAATACATGGATAAAAGTTACAGTGCAGTCTAAGATATGAATAGTTCAATTAAAAGCAGCGACAAAAAGAAAAGTCTTCAGCCTGGATTTAAAAGTAGTAAGAGTTGCAGCGGACCTGCAGGTTTCTGGGAGTTTGTTGCAGATGTTTGGAGCATAATAACTGAACGCTGCTTCTCCATGTTTAGTTCTGACTCTGGGGACAGCTGACCAGTCCCTGAAGACCTGAGAGATCTGGATGGTTCATAATTTAGCAGGAGGTCAGAAATGTATTTTGGGCCTAAACCATTCAGTGCTTTATAAACCAGCAGCAGTATTTTTGAAATCTATTCTTTGACACACAGGAAGCCAGTGTAAAGATTTCAGAACAGGAGTGATGTGATCCACTTTCTCAGTGTTAGTGAGGACTCGAGCAGCAGCGTTCTGAATCAGCTGCAGCTTTCTAATAGATGTTTTAGTGAGACCTGTGAAGACACCATTGCAGTAGTCGAGTCTACTGAAGATAAAAGCATGGACAAGGTTTTCAAAATCCTGCTGTGACATTAGTCTTTTAATCCTAGATATGTTATTTAGGTGATAGTAGGCTGATTTAGTAACTGTTTTAATGTGACTGTTGAAACTCAGGTCAGAGTCCATGACTACACCTAGATTTCTGGCTTTATCTGTTGTTTTGAACATTGCAGACTGAAGCTCAGCGCTAACTTTTATACGTTCTGACTTGGCTCCAAAAACCATTACCTCAGTTTTATCTTTGTTTAATTGGAGAAAGTTCTGACACATCCAGTCATTGATTTGTTCAATGCACTTACTCAGTGTTTGAATTGGAGCAGTGTCCTGGTGAAATTGTTACGTACATTTGTGTGTCATCTGCATAGCTATGGTAACTTATTTTGTTGTTTTTCATTATCTGAGCCAGTGGTAGCATGTAGATGTTAAAGAGAAGAGGCACCAGGATGGAGCCTTGAGGTACCCCACATGTCATATTTGTCAACTCAGATGTGTATTTACCTATAGAAACAAAGTTGTTTCTGTCCTTTAAGTAGGATTCAAACCAATTTAGAACTGTTTCCGAAAGTCCCACCCAGTTTTCCAGTCGGTCTAGTAATATGTTGTGGTCAACAGTGTCAAACGCAGAACTGAGATCTAATAATACTAACACTGAAGTTCTGCCATTGTCTGTGTTTAAGTGGATGTCATTGAAGACCTTTACAAGAGCAGTCTCAGTGCTGTGGTTTGGACGAAAGCCTGACTGGAACACATCAAAACAGTTATTTAAATGCAAGAAGTTACTCAACTGTTGAAAAACAACTTTTTCAATGATTTTACCTAGAAATGGGAGGTTTGATATAGGCCTGTAATTGTTCATTACTGAAGCATCGAGATTATTATTTTTTAAGAGCGGTTTAATGACTGCAGTTTTCCGGGCCTGTGGAAAAACACCTGAGTGAAGAGATTTGTTTACTATATGAAGTAGATCTGAGGCCATGCAAGGAAAAACATCTTTGAAAAATCCTGTTGGAATAATATCAAGGCAGCAGGAGGAGGATTTCAGAAGTTGAATAATGTCCTCTAGGTTTTTATCATTAATCTGATGGAATTGTGTCATGATGTCTGAATTGATATTAGGTGGATATAGGGACAACACATTTGCTGTACCTGATGCAGAGGCACTGACAGCTTGTCTGATTTTCTTAATATTGTCAGTGAAGAAGGAGGCAAAATCATTGCACGCCCTGGTGGATAGAAATTCAGAGGCTACTGACACTGGGGGGTTAGTTAGTCTGTCTGTCACAGAGGTGATCTCTGGGCTTGACAATTGGTGTCAGAAGTGGGATTGACCAAGTGAGGAGGTGAGAGTGATGGAGGAACTGCAGGAGATGATGAGGTCACTCCTGCAGCTTCAGGCAGCGGGTGAGCAGCGGGTGAGCAGCAGTTCGCACGGGAAGAGGAACGGAGACTCCGGAGGCAGGACGGCAGATTGGCTGGAGGCTCGACGGGCGCTGGCTCTGCCGCTGAGGCATCAGAGATCCTGGCGGAGAACCAGAGATTGGTGCAAGAGCAGAAAGAGGAGCAGCTCTGGTTACAGAGGGAAGAAGAGAGGAAGGCAGAAGCATTGAGAATGGTTGGAAAGATGGCGGCGCACACTCAGAAGAATAACAAGCCAAGGAAACCTGGAGGAAAGGAGTCGCAGCTTTTGATAATTGCCAAAACTCCGGAGTTCGTCCGGGAGGTGATGGGTTCCAGCGCCGGTGCGGGCAGCCGGGAGTTCCACGTTTACCGGCACCTCTGACGCAGGAAGAAGCGGGAAAAACTGAAGCGCAAAATGCGGATGGCAAAGATAGCCGAGAAGGACCATCAGGAGAGAGAGCGCATCAGAGAGCAGAACCAGCAGGAGCGCATGGAGAGGAAGAATCAGATCCAGAAGAGAAAGAAAGGGAAGCTTCCATCTGACTACACGCCCCCCCCTGAGGAAACCAAGCTGCACAAGGGGAAGCAGAAACCTTGTAGGGAAGCCAAGATTTCCAAGACACTGTGCTTCCAGGGGAGAGGGGTAAGGAAATGTCACAGAGGTGATCTCTGGGCTCATAGATCTCGGCCTCCGTTAAGGGTTGTTTAGTTTTTTTGTTGTTGAAAAGTGTTCCCCTTTCCCCATGTCTGTCGTTGATTGTGTGCACCTGGTGCCCTGTGTTGTCTCCTCCCCCCTCACCGGTGTCCTGTTGGGTTGGGCATTTAGGCTCTGGGGTTTTGCTGTTAGTGAGGCTGGTAGTGTGGGTGAGATCCTTGTGGCTGCTGACTGTGTTCAGGGGAACAGCAATTGAGGCTGTGAATCATGTGCTTATGATTTGAATAAATGCCCACACCGGGTTGTATTTTTGGACGTTCTGCCTCTGCCTCCTTGCTTGGTCGGGCCGCTCAATTGTCAGCTTCACACTGTGTCAGAGAAGAACGATTGTCGTGCGTTTTTCAATTCCAAATTATAAAGGCCAAGTCTCTCTTTATAGATTTCAAAGTGAACCTGGAGATTTGTTTTTCGCCACCTACGTTCAGCTTTTCGACATTCTCTTTTTTCTGTTTACACGGTCATGACCTTTCTCCATGGAGATATTTTCTTGCCAGACACTTCCTTTAACTTAGTTGGAGCAATGGCATCTATAACATTTTTAATTTTTGAATTAAAATGATCTACTAGCTCATTTACTGAGATGTTACCAGGGGCAAGTGTGGAAGAAAAATTCTGAGTAAACATTTCCCTAGTATTTTCAGTTAAATATCGCTTTGTGGTTACCTCTTTTTGTGAACAGAAATAGAGCTCTCAAAGAAAACACAGGAATGGTCAGAGAGTGCAACATCACCACAAACTTAGAGATATTCAGACCCTTTGAGATAATTAAGTCCAGAGTGTGCCCCTTATTGTGCGTGGGCTCCGTCACATGCTGAGTCAGTCCATAGCTATCAAGAACACAAAACAGTTATTTAGCCCCTCTGTCCTGGGGGCTGTCAACATGGATGTTAAAATCACCAACAATGACTAGACGGTCAAAGTCAATACACACTATAGACAGCAGTTCAGTAAAGTCATCAAAAAAGCTTGCACAGTATTTGGGTGGTCTATAGATATTTAGGAACAGAGCTCGAGAGGAGCATTTCAGCCCACGTGACTGCAACTCGCATAATTGATATCGTTACGATCAATGTAGTCGCTCGCAAAGCGAGCGATAACCATGCAAAACCCACCAAAAACAGGGAAAAAGAGGGGCAAAAGCCCATTAAAAATGAGCATTTCATACTCAAAAGAAGCAAAGTTCCCATAAGATGTCTTCCTGCATTGAAGGGAATCATTGAACAGAATAGCAACTCCACCTCCTTTCTTATGCATTCTTTCCTGACTCATACAACTAAAGTTGGGAGGGGTTGATTCGATAAGAACAGCTGCACTGTTATTTTGTTCAAGCCATGTTTCTGTTAAAAACATAAAATCGAGATTGTGCACAGTGATAAAATCATTGATTATTACAGTAGAGGGTGGAGCCTGTGTGAGATATAACTACTTAAATGCTAGCTTATTTCTGGCTGTAGGATGAATCCCTGCACCACTCTATGCTAGATCTTGATCCTTATACATTTAAAATGTCCTCAAATGTATCAAAAAGTCTGATAAATGACTGCATTAAGACCAACCAGGGAACAATCGAAAATACACAAAAACCAACCGTCTGATAATGTTTTGATTTTGGATAATTCAAAGTAAGATGAATCCTGACCTGACAGGCTGGAGGGTGAAGCCTCTGACATCATCCTGCTCCGGACGGATGGGTCTCATCAACTCCTCTGCTGTGGGGAGCTCTACAGCAAAAGTAAAATAATTATTCAACATACCTCAGTCCTGTCCTGCGCATACAGTATGTACCAGGGACTGATGCCTTAGGACTGCTTAACAGCATCACTGAAGGGTCAACCAGAGCAGGAAGGTGTGTGAGCTGACAGCTGGAAAGGACACCTAGTTGTACCTTTCAGAGATCAGACCCTTTTAAGGGGAAGTTTGAACTTTAATAGGGCTTTATGATGAACTTATAATCAGAGTGAGACCCATAGTGGATGGCAGTCAGCAGGCCCCCAGTTTGAAAAAAACATACAGTTACTGTTCTGGAGCTAAGCAACATACTGGTGTGGACGAGGGCAGCAAAAAAGAGGATTTAGCCTTGCATTGATAGCAGCATTCATTTATCATGCTCTATATACTTCGAACAAACTATTAGAGAACTGCAGGTCTGCTGCAACTCTCACTTCTTTTAAATCTAGGCTTCATTAAATCAAATAACTAGTCATATCTTACAAAATGCTTTTAATAATGTTTTGTTAAGCACTTTAAATTGCCTTGTCTTGAAATGTGCTAAATAAATACATTGGACTTGCCTTGCTGTGAGACTTTTAATATAAGGAACATTTCTTTCAGCTTGGTGATGCAACATAACCCCAGGTAAAGCAGGGACTTATACAGATGATGTGTCTGACCTGACTCATTGGTATCAGCTGGCTGAAGAGACTGCTTGTGTTGAGGAAGGGGGGTGATGGTGATGCCCACCCTCCCTTCCAGAGAAGAATAATGGAGATGATGGTCCTCTGAAACCTCCACAACCTGGATCTGCCTGTAGGCCTCATGGACAGCCTCCATCTCTGAGCCTCCACTCTGCACGTAGGCCCGCCCTGAACAGGAGGAGCATGGTGTGGGAAGGACTGGATGTCAGGAGTGGCTGTGTTGGAAATGTTTGGATGTGTGCTTCTGTCTTTTTAACTCTTGACATTTATTTTTAAGCCCCTACCCCCTTCCCTCAATAGGATTGGATTTTTGCTAAACCACCAGCAGACCTGGGGGGACAGAGCCATAGACGCCGCCCCCTCCCTCTGGAAGTCTCTCCCAAAACACTACACTCATTTATCCATGTTCAAATAAAAACTCATCACTTTAAAAGTGCTTTTAATCTGTTTAATGTTGTGTAATATTGTAAGTGTGTTGTTTTTATGATGTTTTATTAACTTTACCCTGTTAAGACAGGGCCTTCGCCTAAATAAAAGCTTTCTTTGTAAAGAAGACCGGCCTGAGAATTACTAAAATGTCTATATAATGATAATTGCTGTACGTTAAATGTGAACACTTTAAATCTTTCTTTGATATCATACTCAACCAGGAGGTGAACTGGGACCTCTCCAAGTAGCAGTCCACACTCCATATTTAGGTCTGTTCGGGGACTAGAACCGGCGACCCTACGGCTCCCAGTCCAAGCCCCTACTGACTGAGCCTGTGTGTTTGTGTTACCTCTGTCCAGTGACCCTGCTGAGTCCTTTCTTCTGTCTTCTGTGTCATCCAGGGAATCATGCAGAGAAACTGAGACAGGAGTAAAGTTAGAGGGGGCCTACTTGTTATTGTATTCTTCTGTTTGGTCAAACACTGACTGACAAAATCCTGATCACCAAACGGATTCATTTGAACTGTGCTCAAAGGATCTAACACAGAGCTACATGACCATGATCACTTGTTTGGTTCATGCATGATGAATGTTGCCTGCACAGTATATTATTTGTGTTATTATTGTTGTATGAGTGCTATGTCATGCTTGTCTCAGGCATCTGACACTGAAAAACTCAATTCCAAATGTTCTAGAACAGCCACCCATGAACTCAGTGAAATGGGTGACTTCATAGAATAGAAAAAATTATAGAAATATCATAGAAATATCATGTCTTTTTTTCCTCTTACCTTTGGCAAGAATTGAAGACATCTTCGGTTTCTGAAAAACAGATGATAGCATTATGTCAGAAGAAGAATATCTGATGGCAGTGTAGAACTGGATGCCAGACAAATTGAGCTAGTTGGTTTTTTGGAGGCAGAAGAGCAGCTCATGCTAACATAAATCTATAGCAGTTTAACACATGGATTATGTCGTTTTTGTCCTTAGTGTCATGTACAAGCCAGAATTTCAAGAGAGTCCTTATCAGTGACTCTCTTTAAATTATAATACAAACCTCCTCCAGCGGCTCTTTCTCGTTTTCCTCTTCCTCAAAATCCTCACTGTAATGTGGAGATCCTGTAAGGGCTGAGAGAAAACGCCTGATTGAGACAAACAGAACTACAAGAGATACAGGAAACAGAGAAAGGGTTTATTTCTCTACCTGGAGACTCCCTGCTGATCTCTGTGACTCTCCTCTGATCTTCACTCTGCTTCCCCTCTGCATCAGCTTCCCTACAGGGACAATTTATATCCTTATAACATTACAACCGTGATCTTCAAGGGCCTTTTCATTGGAACGCGTTCTTGAAAACACATATCAAGACTTATTTCAGATGTCCACCAAAGTTAGTGAAATAAATGTACATACCTGTGGTGAGTAGCGAGGGTAGAGCTTGTTGAGTCCAGCGCTCTGTTCAGCTTGGAGTAATCTATAGTGGATAAAGCCCCCGCCTCAATTTGGGCAAAGAACCTGGCCTTCTCCTGTTCTTCTTCTATGGTGTCCAAGCCAATAACTGTCATGTTCCCAGCTGGTACCATCAGTGAGTCTGCTCACACATATAAAGGGCACACGGAAAGCACAACCACTTTCAAATCACCTCTCAAAACATACAGTATCTCTTTACACTGGCATATCCACCATGATCACTCATCATGACACATGCTCTGTTCTCATGGATTATATACTGCCTTGTCTTGTTATATACTGCCTTTGTCTCGGTTTTTTTGTGCATTTTTGTATCTTGTACGGAGACCTTGAGAGCCTTGAAAGGCGCCTATATAAATAAAATGCATTATTAGGGTCTGAGACCTAGGTCGGCGAAAACCCTATTGAAATCGGTCGTGCAGCGACCGATAAACCTGCGAAGAACACCCAAAAACAGGGAAAACGACCGGCAAAAGCACAGAAAAGGTTCGGAAATCATGACGGCTGATAGGCCGCGTGAGCCCAGTGACGTGGGCGGATGGGTGGACTGCAACTCGCATAATTGATATCGTTACAATCAATTTAGTCGCTCGCAATGCGAGCGATAACCATGCAAAACCCACAAAAAAACAGGGAAAACGAGGGGAAAAAGCCCATTAAAAGTGGCCTAAATCATAGCACTGCGACTACAGTGAGGTGGGCACACAAACAGCACATTATTGAGATCGGACCGATATTTGTTATTATTATTATTTGAACACTTTGCGCGCACTTTTGACCCCCGCAACATATTTGAAAACTCACCAAATTTTGCACGCGCGTCAGAAGTGGTGAAAATTGCGATGTGTAATTGGTTCCGGAGCTTTGCGTAAAAAATTGCGTAGGCCACGCCCACTTCCATTTTTAACGTTAACTCCCCCCACTTTAACTTTCACGTAAACAAACGAAACTCGCTACGCATATCTAGGGTGCGGAGACAAACAAAAAAGCCTCTTGGAGGGGTATAAAATAACGTACAGGAAGTCGGCCATTTTGAATTTGGCATTGGCGTTGAAAATACGAAATACGATGTTGTTGTAATTCAATGGAAAATCGTCCAAACAGCACCAGACTTCAGACTATCATTAATGGTCCGGCCCTCAACAGCTCTATGCCAATTATGGGATGTCATCATATGCCGTTGCCATGGCAACACATCCCTCGCCATAACACACACTGTTGTCGTAAGTCAATGGAAAATGGTCCAAACTGCACCAGACTTCAGACTATCATTAATGGTCCGGCCCTCAACAGCTCTATGTCAATTATGGGGTGTCTTCATATGCCGTTGCCATGGAAACGCATCCTTCGCCAAAAAATACGATGTTGTAATTAAATGGAAAATCGTCTAAACAGCACCAGACTTCAGACTATCATAAATGGGCCGGCCCTCAAAAGCTCTATGTCAATTATGGGGTGTCTTCATATGCCGTTGCCATGGCAACGCGTCCCTCGCCAAAAAACCTGGTGTTGTAGTCATTCAATGGGAAATCGTCCTAACGGCACCAGACTTCATATGATGGCTAATGGTCCGGCCCTCAACAGCTCTACGCCAATTATGGGATGTCATCATGTGCCGTTTCCATGACAACGCATCCCTCGCCAAATAATACCATGTTGTTGTAATTCAATGGAAAATTGTCCAAACGGCACCAGACTTCATATGATGGCTAATGGTCCGGCCCTCAACACCTCCATATGACAATAGTGAGTTTTCCTCAAAAGCTGTTGCCATGGCAACACATTCCTCGCCGTTAAGCACAATATTGCTATAACTCCTGTGTAAATGGTCAAAAACTGTTCAAACTTTACATGAGTTCTAACCCCTCGAGACATATATGTGCCAGTTTTAACAAAAAATGGTCGCCGTCAAACACGATTTTCTCATAACTCCAGTTAACAGGCTCCAAACGGCACAAAACTTCACAGGTTTGATAATGATGCAGCTCTCAACACATCTATGCATATTATAGGGTGTCATTAAATGCCGTTGCCATGGCGACAGATCACCCGCCAACAAACACAATGTTTGTGTTACTGCTGTTTGTGTTACATTGTCCGATCGGCCTGAAACTTCCCACGTTTGCCAACGGCCGAGTCCTCGAGACACCTAGACACACACGTGGACGTGCGCGTCCCGATGCTGACATTACCCCCGCTGACTAAGTATTGATAGCATTAGTTGTATTGTTAAGGTACAACAAAGAATATCCATTAATTTTAGCTAACTATTTTAACTGTTTATCTATTACGTTTTTTGATTCTTGTTCCACATTCCTGCATCGTTTCTGAACATCTTGACCCCCTAATCCCACCAGGAGCGTCTGCGCTGCGGCGTTTTTAGCGATCGCGGCCACTCTAGTCAATGGGTGCTATTCCACCAGACCCGCTGCGCCACGGCTCGAAGCGTCCCAGAAGCTCCTCGCCGCAAGGAATTTCTAAAATATAGGATGAATCCTATTTTTGACGCAGCGCAGCGCAGGCAGGAAGTGGAACGTTCATCCAACAACTGCGAGGCTGCACACACGACGCTCCGCTTCTCTTCGCAACGTTTTGAAACGCGCCTGGTGGGTTATGACGCTGCGACGCGCTGCGACGCGCTGCGACGCGCTGCGACGCGCTGCGACGCGCTGTGTGTGCAGTGTGTGACTCCATATGATATTGTCCTGATGCTGTAAGGGTGATGCCCAAGCCCCCAAGGAAGTGTGCCGGACTCTGAGGAAAATATTCGTTGTGGCCAAACGGCGGTACTACACTTCCGTATCAGTCGCTGGGCCCGGAAATACTTTTTCCCATTGACTAACATTGGGAAAGAGACGTCTGTAAATCGTTGGATAATTTTTTTAAACTACCCAGTATGAACATTTGTATAGCCCTTATTAAAAACATTCGGTCCTCAAGTTGTAAAATACGGAGGCCCCTAGGGGACATGGAGAAGGAAAAAAAATGTATTTGAAAAAAAAAAATAATAATAATGTTTTGTGAGATCTCGCAAAACCTTTGCGAGATTAATTTACGTTGTATGTTAAATTTGATAAGACAAATATAAAAGACTATCTTTTTATATCTAACATACAAAATACATTTGTTATTAAAAAACTAAAATATAATAACAACAAATTGTTGTTAATAATAATAATTTAATTTCTGTAAGAAAAACATATTTCAATGCATTTTTAGATCGTTAATAACATTACATTACATTACATTACATTACATTGCATTTAGCTGACGCTTTTATCCAAAGCGACTTACAATAAGTACATTCGACAAGGAAGACACAACCTTGAAGAAAACAGAATCATATAAGTACATCAGGTTTCATAGAGCCAAACATTTCAAGTGCTACTCAACTGGCTTTAGATAAGCCAGTACTTTATTAGTATATAAGTGCTTTGTTAATAATTCTATCGCTCGATAGAATTATCGATGTACATCGATGTACATTATCGATGTAACATCATTACAATGTCTAAAGAGACTCGCTGTGTATGAGACTCAATACTCGCTGGTTGTACTTTTGCAGGCATCCAACTCGCTAGGTGGCAATGTTGCAAAACAACTAGGGTCCAAGGAGTGCGGTCCCAGGACTGAGGTCCTGAAACTGCAGTCTCCGACGCTGCAGCTTCATACTATTGAAACAGAGGCCCGAGATTCAGAACAATCATGCACAGATAGATCGCCGCCACTGCGCCCAAACTGCCCGCCGCCATCTTGTCCGGCCGCCATATGTGTAAGTCCGTTTGATTAAGGCGAGACACGGCAGGCAAAAACATCGTTTTTCAAGTACTAGTCAATTTTGAGATTTTGTGCTATTTTGATTCCATAACATGTTTTCTTTCAGGCTTTTGGAAGGAAAACGTACAAAATACACATTTAAGTGTTTATTTTACTATAGTTTGTCTATTTGCGTCTGTAGATTTCTCCTAAATTCACCAAAAGTTAGCATTCTAACGTAACATAAAGTACCGCGACCGCTGTGTGCACCATGTCAACAGAGGTATCGCTGAAAGCTCCGTCTCTCCTGCACAATCTCATCGGATCCAAATATGGTCATTTCCTTTGTATCAGCAACCAATCGTGAAAGCACAAAGGGGTCTTAAACCAAGAAACGAAGTCTCATTGGCTGGTGTCAATTTCTGACAACGTGATTCGTTCAGATGCGTCACGTGGTGTGCTAAAACACTTCCTGGTTAGCTTTCAGCTAGAAATTGAAATCTCAAAATGCCAAAAGAACGGCGAAAAAAACGTTCACAGAGAAGAAGACAGCAATTGTCACTTGCACGAAGCAAGGTTATATAAAAAAAAATTACCCTGAACATGAAATACCTTCACGGAGTGCGTCGATGCGCAAGCTGTCATCCAAAGAACAGGAGGGTTTAGCTAGCACTGCAATCTTTAAAGGTCCTTTTCTCAAAATGAGTTTTTTCTCCTACTCTGAGTTCGAAATTTCAACTTCAGTAGCACGTACATACACCAAACCTTCCAGTTATATTCCTATCAATATTATGAAGGCTTTTACAGAAGGGTTTGTTCATATATAATTCATAGCCTGAATTATACAACATTGTATACCTAAAAACATGGCGAAAATGGATATTTTAGGGCTGTTGACAGTATTTTCTGATTTATGGAGTGATAAAAAGATATATCCAATATCCCTTCTGTAAAAGCCTTGGATACTAATATGACTACAAAATGAAACAAGAATTTTGAATCTGGCTATATCCAAAGTTCAGATTTCGATTCCTGAAATGTGTTAAAATATGTGCATATTTAATGAGATAATGGGTAATTTGCATAATTAAACATGCTATTTCAGAAAACTTGTAATACAAAAGACAATTGCCTTATTGTAAGTAATTAACTGGAGAAATTTCTAGCTGATACCTTTAAGTTAAAAAAAGTACCCTATTCACCTGGGGTGTCTCGCCTTAAATGAGCATATTGCAATAGTTGGAAAAAACTCTTCAGATTTTCCAGCTCCTCTCCCCTCTAGCCGTGATGTCTTAACCAGCTCTCTAATACACACCCATTAGAAAATGTGAAAGTGTGACATTTTCACAAAACGTAAGCTGCGACTACGTGAGAACCATACTAACTATCAAAAAATATCCAATTAGTCTAATAAAGTCCATAGTCTCTTGTCATTTTTGTTCTAAGTATGCGGAATCTGTATGGGGTCAAAGTGGGGTGTTTTTGAGCTCTGTTCAAATGGATTTCCCATTCATTCCTATGGGGCAAATGATCGCAGTTTTCTGCGATTCGCGTGAAAACGGCTAGACAAATCTCTTATAAAAGACATAGCAACCCGATCCCCGTGTTTTTTTGTGTTTCGTGTCAACGCTGCCGGACGAGTAGCATGACAACATTTGTGGCGGAAGGAGAATAAGATGAGATAAGTATGTTGAATACTATACTGTGTTTGGCTTCACCACTCACACAGAATTAGACTTGTTAGGTATCTTCCCAAGAGACCCATCGACATTGTGACTGCGTGCTTTTAATAAAATGTATTTGTCCTCATAACCATCTCTGGACTCACCCTCTAGCTCAGCATTGGCACAGCTGATAAGGGCTGATTCAGGACTGACTTCCTTCAAACCAGCGTCTCCTGGATCATCCTCCTCCTCTTCAACAGGCTTCCTCAGAGACTTCCGGAAAGTTTTCCCAAATCCCAGCAGTCCTAGAGAAACATGACAATGCACAAGTGAATCTTGTTTTAGTGAATGGAGGTTATGCCACCTAGGTCAGATGACATACTGTAAACAATCTGTGATTCTGACTAATAACTGTAATAGATCATCTAAATGTTATATTTGTCATATTTATTCTACTATTTAGAGTGGTACAGGGATGAGTCCTAAACACATCCATTAGTTAGCGTTTTAGCCCTTTCAAGGTCCCTCTTATGGCAGTAATTGTTTGTTTTGATTCCCCAAATAAGGTATGTGGTGATGCGCAACCATGTGACCATGATGTAGTATCTTTATAGCCTGACATTAGCTTTTTCGGCCAATTGCATCTACGCTTCAAGAATGTTATCATGTTGAACAAAACGTGTGCACATCATAAATGATTGTGTGCCACATATATCATTTTCTGCCATATTTCTAAATCCAATGGAAAGATCCTATTGCTTTTTGTCGAGGGAGCCCTTGTGGTGCTAACTTCCAGGTCAGTCTACAAAAATACGTGATCACTGCACCTATCTGTCAAGTCTACGTGTGCTTACTGACTCACCAAGGCTTGCCTATTTTTCATATAAAAAACTACTAGTACTACAATTTGTTTGTAAGGAATAATACTGATCTGAAACCCGATTACTATGTTGGGGATTCAGAACCTGACACAATCGAACAGATCATCCTCATCATCAACATAATCACGTTAAAGAGGCAGCTTTCATCTGATCAGGACTGTATTTGTATGCATTACATTTTACAGGTGTGCCCATGTTGCTCTTTTCCCTATGTGCAAATATGCAAAGACTTTCTAAAAGTCTTTATACGTGTGTGTTTCTCCTGAATATATAATTGGTAACTGGTCCATCAATCAGCTGTAGGTGGGTATTAATATGGATGACCCAACAATAGAAACTGCATAAATCTGTGTTTGACTTGAGCCTTGAAAAAACGATATTACCAAAAACAGAGTGTGAATAATGCACAGCCTTCCTTTCCTTTCTGTACACCCATTTGAGTGTGTATTCACATGTTGTGTCCTTAATAAACTAACTGGTGAAAATGTCACAATTTCCTTATGCGTCTTCATTTGTTTAGATCGACAGGAAATGTACTCTTACAGGACACAGTGCACTGCTACTCTTGTCCCATACTGCCACCCGCTGTCTTTTGCTATGCATGCGTTCTTCAACTTTGCTTTTGAATCAAATTCAGTTTTGCAGTTTATGAAACATTTAAAAATGAGGCTTTGTTTGAAATGTGAGGTAATAAATGTTTTCTGTAAAATATGTGCAGTTGTTATGACATTTAAAGGTTGCATTCCTGCTATTTCATTCAATGTACAAAAGGCAATTAAATGGAATTACCAGTTAATCAGAATGTTTGAAAACACTTTCAAATACATCAGTGAACACAAGACTACTAGTTTTCATGTATATGTAGCAGGTGGAGAAACTATAACGTTAGTGTACAATATAAAAACTAAAAGCTGAGTGAAAACAATGAGACAAACTTAAAAGAGGAGTACTATTTGTGCTAGTGAAGTCTGTCACTCTACCACTGAGGGACTAAAGGAGAACTACCAACAGGTGTGAGGCTTTGAGTTCCTGTTACCATCTCCATTGTCCCTCTGGGAATGACTATGAGAGCTGACTGCTGGAGGATCATCAGAGAGGGTGTCCTCAGGGCTCCTCTCTCCTGAATCACTGGGCAGAGTGGGACTGCTGCGGCTGTCAGAGCCATCAGACGGAGTTCTGTGTCTCTCTACAGTTTGGCAAACCTCCAACACTGCATCTGTGTGAGTGTTGTCCGACTGAATCGGTTCATCAAGAGCTTTGCAGCGAGGTTTGGGGACCGGCTTATAAACGGGATCCGCACTGACCACTTCAGATTGCAAGAAGAACAATAGAACATAATATTGGAGCATGTAGATTTCAATCTGGAATAGATTTAGATTCAAGTTGGGGAAAACATTTTATTTTTTCTTCTGTTATATATGCTAAAATGCTTTACAGTCAATATTAAGCAGTTCCACAGAAATACAGCCTGTGAATTTCAGTGATTTACATGATGAAACCACTATCTTAAACCTATGCAAGTGACTCAAACTTCCTCCTTAGTGTATCTGAATGTAAACACAGTAGAGGTCATGACAGAGCAGGAAAGGAACAACTGAGAAAGGAAAAGACAAAATGTCCTTCTTATTGTAGACATCATCTAATGGCGCATTTCCACTACAGGGCCTCGCTCGGTATGGCTAGGCCTCGTTAGGCCTTGTTAGGCCAGGCTCACTTTATGCTGAGTTGCCATTACAGTTTAGTAGCTGGGGCAGTAACTATAGTAACGCAGTGTAGGCGGAGCCGTGACGTCCTCTTCAATGCGAACCACAGAAAAACAACATCAGCCGTTAGCAGTTAGCCCTCAGATCCTCATATCTGTTCAGAAACTAGACAAAAGTTAAACAAGTACAAACCACAGACTGCCTGTGTCATGGAGAATACAGTCGCTGGTTTATTTATGTCTGTATAGGCCGTTGTTGTGAGTGTGGACGGTCGGAGCATATATAACGTTAGCTTAGCCAGGCTACATTTAGAAAACAAGCATTTTAAAAGGGTTTTTCGCCTGCGGTCTGTCTGCAGACTTGTCAAAGCATTAATTCATGGTTTTTACTAACCGGTATCAGTATGTTGTTACTTCGGCATCATTTAGAAACGTATATTACAATTAAATCACGGTCAAATATGTTCATCTTGTTGTAGTTGTAGCCCCCTCGCCAGCGATTCTTTCTCTAGTTTAGCATACTCAGCCCGACTCAGTCTGGTTGTTGGCCCGGAAAGAACCTCGATTTTATGGGGCCAGAAAACTGTGAATTAGTACCCGCTAGCCGGTACTACGCCAAGTGGAAACGCAACCGAAAACAGGTCCTGCACGGCTCGACACGCTTAAAGCGAGTTCCGCGCTGTAGTGGAAATACTAAACTGTTTAATGTGGGACTTCTTTTCAACTTGCTCTCACCATTGGTGTTCTCGGGCTTAGCCTTTTTGGATTTGATAAATCTTTTCTTGGCCATCTCTGCTAGGGAAGAAGGAAAAACAGAAAGGAAAAGGCATGCAGAACAAGAGATGTTAAACAGACACATGCACATCTGGGAAAGATACACAGTTTTCTGAAGAGATGAACATGTATGTCGTGCCTTTGATATGGTACGTAGCAGCAATGTGAGATATGGGTAAAGCTAACCAAAGACTGATTTAGAATCTAAATGAGTCTAATGTTGGTTTTATAAGAAAGTTATCAGTAATCTTGATTTGAAGATAACTTTCTTAAAAGGTGCAATGCCTGGTCACAACCACAAAAGAAATGGGTGCTAGGAGGGCAAGAATAAGCAACAATTCAACCTGCTGAAACTGAGTGCTGTTCTATATAACCCTGCAAGGATATTATCTTATGTACTTCAGGTAAGACACAGTGTGTTTGTGCCATTGATGAAACAATCTGTGTATGCTAGAACAGATAAAAGACCAACTTGAGTCAAATAACTCTGCTCCAAACACAAGCATGTTGGATTAGTGTGTTTCACTACTCGGTGAATATCAAAAAGGAAAGTTCAGGGAAAGGAAGTTGTTATGCAGGAAGCAGGGCAGACGGGACAATGCTGTGAGGAAAAGACATACATTAAACAGTATATAGAAACCATCATGCATATCCTGGTATAATTGGATCATGAGAAGAAGGGACTGGAGTCAAGGAGAGATCAGTGAAAAGGGCAAAGTAGAAGCATACAGGTCGGACAGAAGAACAGGGCAGAAAGGCGAGGAGGTACAAACTTGAGTTTTGATATCATTGGAAAAATGTCTGATCAGCAGAAATAACTTCTTACAAGCCTTGCTATGTGAGGAGGTATTTAATAGGCTTGCATGTATGCTTGTTTTGTTCAACCAATATACTGTAATAACAAAAACACCGAATCCATCAGTCAAGTCATGGGCTCAGTTCTACCAATACACTCAACAAAAGCATCTAGAAAAACGAAATGTTATCGTAAGTCAATGCCTAAACAACTATCCATACATGTCTGTTACAAACAACGTATGCTGCTGCCAGTAATTCATATCCTAAGTGAATACACCATGACCTTAATAAATCTTCATTTCTGTGTCATTAATTATACACTGCATGTTGTACACCGTGAACACATGAGCAGTGTGTGATTACGGGTAGATTCTCAAATTGCACAGCGCTGCTGTTCCTGCGACAGAAATTACAATTGCTGCTGTTAGCTGGGTGGCTTTGTAGCAGCTGGTTGTGTGTTAATTAGATGCTAGCTAAATCATTACAGAATGCTCTATTAACCCTATAAGATCAACGTTGGCTTCTTTACGACATCAGTATAGTGGCAAGCAACTTTACTTAAAGGTCCCATGTCATGCTCTTCCGGTTATCACCCGTCCCCTTGTGTGTTATGAAGCTTTGTCTGCATGTAAACGGTCTGCAGAGTCACAAACCCTCAAAGTACACCCTGTAGCGAGTAAAACTCTAACACAGAAAATACCTCCCCAAAACGCCTCGTTGGACATTTCTCTTTTTCCAATGTTTTCTTCCTGAGTATAGTGACGTAACCATGCCCAGGTTCAATGGAGCAATCCGCGGAGCTCCTCACACACACACACACTCACTCAGCCTTATCGGTTCTCAGCCGCGGCTCCGTGGATCTCAACTCACAGTTCGCCACACACTCACGTGTGTGAGCTCAGGCTGAGTTCCGCGGTGTCGCGCTGTCTCGCAGACCCCACGCAGCAACCAGGAAACGACACCAGTAACCCAGCTCACACTGTCCGCTCCTCGAGCCTCAAAGGGCGGAGCAGCGAGCCCCGCAACGTCACGCCCACACAGCACCCAGACCCCACGCAGCATTCTCATCTGTTTGTCATTACTGGTGTCATTTTCTGGTTGCTAACAAACGCCATTGTAACACATAAACACTCATCAGCGCACAGTGGGCTCACAGGGAGGGAAGGGGGGGCAGGAGCTCCAACAAGGCGTGTAGGACAGAGAGTGAATACACATACTTTACAGAGATGCTGTGAGAAACCAATGTGAGTTTGGAACATTGAACAATGTAAATCTATTCTAGTAGACCTCAACAATGGAATTATGATCAGTAGAAATGGCCATGACATGGGACCTTTAAAGAAACTGAAAAAAACCCACTTGTATAACTTTTATTGGTAGAGTGCTGTGTTGACCAGATTAGCCTGAATCGTGGCTGGTCGCATAACTTCTGTCACTCCAAGACGGCGTTAAGTGTGAGAATTGTCCAGAGAGAATTCCACAGGCAACTTTTTGCGTGTAATGAGTGCACCATCCGAGTACTCAAAGTGAATTTCGCCATACTGTGCATTGGGACGCACTGATGCACTCAAAACAACAGAAGTATGTCAATTCAGACTCAGCAATGGTGTATCACCCACACAACATTCAGAGTAAGCTACTAAACAGGTGCAACAGGCACCTTAAAATCACTTTTTTTCATCTGAAATTGCATATAATATATCTACCAAAAAGAGGAATTTGACATCCTGCTGCTTTTGATCAAGACTACTTGCCAGCTGTATATTACAATTGTAAAATCCAGTAACAAACACTGGCACACCTGCAGCCAGTGACCCATTGTCCTTGTCCGTGCCAGGCTAACCAAGGCGAACAGTGTCCAGTGTGATGGAGAATCCTCCTTTTATCATTACCTCTCACTGCTCCCCCCCCGCTGGGTTCCTCATCCGGCCGCCAGGACGCTTTTGGTTTCCGGGCCGATGTCTGGCTGCTGTTAGCACCCAGCTGCTTCTCAGATTCATCTGAAACAGACTGACAGGAAATAGGATTTAAGTCAGGGAAGTGCCTTTAAGATAAAACTGTGTTATTAAACAATATGTATATTAACAATACATACAATAATAAATGTACGAGATGATAAGCTAACTTAACAGTGTCAGTCAGTTTTTAACTGTACAAGAGTACAAGTTTGTGTGGATTGGACTGATGGTGCCTTTCACTGAGCTGCCATGTTGTTACGGGAGTGACCATACAAGGTCCCTTAGTCCAACAACCTTTAACAGATCGCTATCTATAAAGAGTACCACAGTGAGTCGAATGATTCATTACCTCTTTCAAGAACAGCTCAAACTGTTCATCCAGCTGATCCTTGGTTAGTCTGTGAGACATAGCAACACAACTGTCCTCTCCATCAGCCAATGAGAACCCAGACAGCTGACTGACATAAGGACAAAAAGAATATCATGAAAAAAAAGTAAGAGAAATGTAGAAAAATACTGTGATGAGCTGAAATGATGTGTTATGTACAGGTATCATATTATTTGTACTTAATAACTCAAGTTCTTTATGAGAACAGTAAAGAGAGGGAGTGGGACCAAGGTGGCTCATATACACATAACGCGATTATCACTGAATATCAGAATGCAGCACAGTGAGGTTACACAGATTTCATACAGCTGACGCTTATAACGTATTCCTGCTGATGCACATCCAATTTGAGTCAGCTGTCACCCTGTGTTACTGTTAGAATGGCTATGCAGATATTATATTATGAAACTAGGTATCGCATTTTGCAAATCGTAACATCACATGTTTTTCTTTGACTTGTTTTAAAGGCTGCATACAGTACAGTGGGGCAATATTCTGAACCCACCAGACTGTTCTAGCTAAACTATTATTTGCCTTTACCCATTAAGTAGCTTTCCACCTTCTTCTCCAGTAGGACTCGGATGAGGGTGTTGCACTTTTCTTTTCCTTATACATGTGATGTTTTGGTGTTGTCTTGTTTCTTTCCGTTAACCATCAAGTGGGAAATAAGTATTTGTTGTGTGTGTTTCTCTTAGTATCCTAAGGTACTGTTATGTTTGGCTGTGAACAAAAAAAAATTATGAAGGGCAGACCATCTATTTGTATTTATGTGTTTTTTTTAGAAAGGGGCAGATAAGATTGTATTCTTCTCCCTGCTCCTTTTCGCTCAATGGTAGAGTCATGTTTTGTGAAAATTATTGTACATTTGGTTTTGCGTACCATGAGCGGGACAAATAAAAAGTAAATTAAATGAAATGAAAGTTATTACAGTATATCCCATAACTATTGATTATTTATCAAACATTTGTGGGAGGACCAAAAGTCAACCCTACAATATGGTCAGAGTTTATAACTAGCTGGCACCTTCAGCTAGTAACACACATCCCAAGTGAGGGTCTGCCTTAAACTATGTATTAAGGTATCAGCATTAATAACATACCAGTTAAGGGGTCTTTATGAAAAGATGTTGACCGGATTTAGTTTAATTTGGCCACTTCTAAGCCAGACAACCGAGTGTTTATCGGGAGTGCTCATTATTAGTGACACTGTTTATGCTCATTAAAAGGTCTTATTTAAATAATGGCCTAATAATAAATAAAAAGAACACGCACAGATCAAAGAAAAGGGGATGTTGTTATCGAGGCGTCATGCAATAGAAAGAAAGCAGTGCAGTTTCCGGTGATAACTATCAAAATAAAACATGTTACCGACGTTATGTCATTAGTTATGCATCGACATTAAAGTTCGGTTAAGTCTTCTTCCCACCTCCAACCGATAACACCATGATGTTTCTTGGTGTAGCACAAATTGTACTATAGATACGTGAGCGCACCATTTTTATTTTGAAGAAAGTATTGCCTTCCTTCCGGTGTTTTACAGGATGATTGACAACGCTAGCTAAGTAGTTTATCTCCTTAGCGTTAGCTGGTTAGAAAAGTAAATAAACGATATGCTACTGCATAGATAAAACGCATTACAATGTCCTCAGCGTACATGTATCAAGCTGCCATCAGCAGAACTCACATGAAAGACTCGACTTTGATAGAACTCTCTTAACTGGACACTTGTTCAAACGTCCTCCTCCTTAGTTTGTTCATTTGAGTATCTGGCAGTTCCCGCAACACCCAGAAGAAGGCTTCTCAATTCTCTAATTTCCCCTCCTCGACTCCTATCCTCATGTATTAGTCCCGCCCACAGGAGATGCGAGCGGAGGAGTCGCTGAGGGGAACCGAGGAGAGAGGAGTGGAAGCAGCAGGCGTTTATAGAAATGAGAAATCCTCTCCTCTGAGCGGTCATTTTAAAGAGACGTCCATTAATGATGACAGGAGGCACAGCAGCACTCTGGCCGTTTCTCGTTTCTCAGTGTAGAGTACATTTGTTCTTCTCACAAACACCCCCGCCACACATTTACCGACATAAACATTTGTATCATCTGTTGTAGACCCAAATATATTAAATAAAATAAGAACTCATTCTCAAAAAAGATAAACGCCATTCTTAAAATGTATTTAACGAACCATAGTTTGATTAATATTGATTAGAGTGCACAAGAAATTAATTGAGAGAAGAAAAAGAGATAGGTTATCTATCAAAACCCAGTTAGATTAACATTCATTGGATTGCACACTTTGTTTGTGTGGATATGTAACAAATTAACATTTTAAATAGCACTGACTGAATGGAAATGACAATAAATGAAAATGTAAAACGAAAAAAGCGATCATGAAAATGTTTCCAATAAAATGATTTTTGACCACTTTGTTGTTCAGATATATCACATATTTGTAACTAAATGTGTGTAGGGGAGAGTGGGGTAAGTTGAGCCATTTTGTAGTTATGCTGTCCTCTAAGGCTGAGCAAGGATAAATGACACATAGTAAAAATGAAAACACACACCTATAATTCAGGATGTCTCCTATCAATGGCAATGATAATAATTCATATTTGATGAAGGGCAGTGAAAATATAATTTCTTAAAAAAAAAGTCCTGTGTCTCAACTTGCCCCGGGTTAGGGGTAAGTTGAACCACTGTTCAAACCTGGGCATACCTACAACAAATCTTAAAGGTAACTATAATCAATAAATAACAAACCAAATACAAGCTTAGTTTTTCAAATATTTTTAATATAAATTTCGATTGAATTGATTGATTTTTTTTAACATGTTAAAAGGAAAAGTAATCATACAAATGGTGATACAATTTCATACATCTTACCAATCAAACACAGGGTAAATTCAACTTTAAATGTAGCCTACAATAAGCTCTTATTATCAACTTGGCCCATTTAAAAACTGGCTCAACTTACCCCAAGGCCCATGGTTCACTTTACCCCATAGCCACCATTTTAGAAAAAATAGCCTAGCATTAAAATTCAGAGTCATCTTTAGCTTAATGATTCACATGGTTTAATACGGTGGCTGGGAAGTGCAATGGACAATTACAAAGTGTGAAACACTTTAACAAAGCTTGAGACAAATGTACATTTTATAAAACAAAATTACATTAGCAAAAACACTTTTACCAAGGAAAAAAAACTTTAACATTAACGAAAATAAATAAACAAGATGCAAAACACTTTTACAAAGCTAAAAACAAATTTACATTTTATAAAACACTTTTACCAAGGACAAAACTATTTAACATTAACAAAATGCGAAACACTTTTACCATAACTGAAACAAATTAAAATGTCCCGAAACACTTTAACATTTCCCGAAATACATTTACAAACCAGAATCAAACCGGAAGTGACGTTTTAGTGATTGACTCAAATTTAAATTTGTTTTGGCGGAAAGACCGAAGGTACGAGTGTGTTTACGTTCGGTAAACATGTTTTGTCCGTTTTGTGGGAACAACCTAGATACCCATAACCCTAATCCTAACCAAATCTGTGGCGGAAAATGTAAGGTGGGGCCTCTCACCTGCACACTTGCTATCCTGTTCGACTCTTTGTTTTCCGAATGGCAGGAAGGATTCTTGCCTAGCTTCTGAAGGAAGTGACTCAGAAGACATGTGCTACCAAGCAAGCGTATACTCGCGATTGAGAAACACCCTCTGTCTGATGGACAGATGTGTTCATGACGACTTATATATTTACTTTTAATGAATTGACAGTGCGGTATAATGACAATAACAGGCTACAGATGAGGACACATACACACACATTGTCAAGTTCCGCTGGTTTTTTGCAGACTCCCCACTTGAAAGGGACTCGAGGCATCTACTGGACGTTAATAACAGGATTCCACTCCGCAGCTTTTCTTTTAGACTTTTTATTTAGTAGATTATGCAGCAGCTTTAATCAGATTCATTCAGCAGCTTCATTCAGCAGCTTCATTCAGCAGCTTCATTCAGCTTCATTCAGCTTCATTCAGCAGCTTCATTCAGATTCATTCAGCAGCTTCATTCAGCAGCTTCATTCAGCAGCTTCATTCAGCAGCTTCATTCAGCAGCTTCATTCAGCAGCTTTAATCAGCTTCATTCAGCAGCTTCATTCAGCAGCTTCATTCAGCAGCTTCATTCAGCTTCATTCAGCAGCTTCATTCAGATTCATTCAGCAGCTTCATTCAGCTTCATTCAGCAGCTTCATTCAGATTCATTCAGCAGCTTCATTCAGCAGCTTCATTCAGCTTCATTCAGCAGCTTCATTCAGCAGCTTCATTCAGCAGCTTCATTCAGCAGCTTTAATCAGCTTCATTCAGCTTCATTCAGCAGCTTCATTCAGCAGCTTCATTCAGCAGCTTTAATCAGCTTCATTCAGCAGCTTCATTCAGCTTCATTCAGCAGCTTCATTCAGCAGCTTCATTCAGCAGCTTCATTCAGCTTCATTCAGCAGCTTCATTCAGCAGCTTCATTCAGCTTCATTCAGCAGCTTCATTCAGCAGCTTTAATCAGCTTCATTCAGCTTCATTCAGCAGCTTCATTCAGCAGCTTCATTCAGATTCATTCAGCTTCATTCAGCTTCATTCAGCTTCATTCAGCAGCTTCATTCAGCAGCTTTAATCAGCTTCATTCAGCTTCATTCAGCAGCTTCATTCAGATTCATTCAGCTTCATTCAGCAGCTTTAATCAGATTCATTCAACAGCTTCATTCAGCTTCATTCAGCAGATTCATTCAGCAGCTTTAATCAGCTTCATTTAGCAGCTTCATTCAGCTTCATTCAGCAGCTTCATTCCGCTTCATTCAGCTTCATTCAGCTTCATTCAGCAGCTTCATTCAGCTTCATTCCGCTTCATTCAGCTTCATTCAGCAGCTTCATTCAGCAGCTTTAATCAGGTGAAAAACCTTCAAACAAGAAAGGTGCATTTTAGTGATCAAAACAAACAAAACAAACCTCACTATCAAATGCTTCTAATAAACTAAATGAACATGAATGAATCACTTTCTCCCTTGTTTAGCAGGACTCTTCAGTCAAAACAACAGGATTCTAAGTCAATCAAAAATTAAACTTTCCAAATATAAATCCCTCTCTCTCCCACCTATCCCTCCGAAGATAACCAACAGAGCGTCCAAGCACAGAATGCCCCCCACAACCAGCGCACCACACTGAAACCTACTCTCTGAGCAATGCTGCGCAGAGTTTTGACAAGACACGTGACACACACGCAAACAATCCAAACAGAAGATAACATCAGCTGCTCTGCGGAGCTCTTACACAACATTTTGATCTGCTCTTACCGGCTGCCTGTCCTGACTTAGTAGAAAAATGCCTCCCGTCTGCATGCTTCCGTCTCACTGGATCGCACACAGCAACTATTTAAATACTTTCTTCCTACTGTAGCTGGGGCTCTCTGATTAGGGTGATTGCACCCAGCTTGCTAGAGGAGGCCATCAGGCCCCCTATTTAAACAACAAATCAAAGTCATTTATAGCCTCGGCAGGCTCTGTGATCGCACTT